TGCAAAATGTCCTGAAAATGAAAAACCTTCGCCCGCTTGGTACTACGGGATCCCCGCGGCCCGGGCGGACCCAGGGGATCCCGCGATACTAAGCGGGAGTAGGTTTGCCACTGACAGCAAAACACTCTGAAAGTGGGAAACCTACTCCCGCTTGGTCTTACGGGACCCCCTGGGCGCGCCTGGGCCGCGGGGATCCCGCAGTACCAAGCGGGAGTAGGTTTGCCCATAACAGCAAAACTTTGCAAAATGTCCTGAAAATGAAAAACCTTCGCCCGCTTGGTACTACGGGATCCCCGCGGCCCGGGCGGACCCAGGGGATCCCGCAATACCAAGCGGGAGTAGGTTTGCCAATGACAGCAAAACATTCTGAAAGTGGGAAACCTACTCCCGCTTGGTATTACGGGATCCCCTGGGTCCGCCTGGGCCGCGGGGATCCCGCAGTACCAAGCGGGAGTAGGTTTGCCCATAACAGCAAAACTTTGCAAAATGTCCTGAAAATGAAAAACCTTCGCCCGCTTGGTACTACGGGATCCCCGCGGCCCGGGCGGACCCAGGGGATCCCGCAATACCAAGCGGGAGTAGGTTTGCCAATGACAGCAAAACATTCTGAAAGTGGGAAACCTACTCCCGCTTGGTATTACGGGATCCCCTGGGTCCGCCTGGGCCGCGGGGATCCCGCAGTACCAAGCGGGAGTAGGTTTGCCCATAACAGCAAAACTTTGCAAAATGTCCTGAAAATGAAAAACCTTCGCCCGCTTGGTACTACGGGATCCCCGCGGCCCGGGCGGACCCAGGGGATCCCGCAATACCAAGCGGGAGTAGGTTTGCCAATGACAGCAAAACATTCTGAAAGTGGGAAACCTACTCCCGCTTGGTATTACGGGATCCCCTGGGTCCGCCTGGGCCGCGGGGATCCCGCAGTACCAAGCGGGAGTAGGTTTGCCCATAACAGCAAAACTTTGCAAAATGTCCTGAAAATGAAAAACCTTCGCCCGCTTGGTACTACGGGATCCCCGCGGCCCGGGCGGACCCAGGGGATCCCGCAATACCAAGCGGGAGTAGGTTTGCCAATGACAGCAAAACATTCTGAAAGTGGGAAACCTACTCCCGCTTGGTATTACGGGATCCCCTGGGTCCGCCTGGGCCGCGGGGATCCCGCAGTACCAAGCGGGAGTAGGTTTGCCCATAACAGCAAAACTTTGCAAAATGTCCTGAAAATGAAAAACCTTCGCCCGCTTGGTACTACGGGATCCCCGCGGCCCGGGCGGACCCAGGGGATCCCGCAATACCAAGCGGGAGTAGGTTTGCCAATGACAGCAAAACATTCTGAAAGTGGGAAACCTACTCCCGCTTGGTATTACGGGATCCCCTGGGTCCGCCTGGGCCGCGGGGATCCCGCAGTACCAAGCGGGAGTAGGTTTGCCCATAACAGCAAAACTTTGCAAAATGTCCTGAAAATGAAAAACCTTCGCCCGCTTGGTACTACGGGATCCCCGCGGCCCGGGCGGACCCAGGGGATCCCGCAATACCAAGCGGGAGTAGGTTTGCCAATGACAGCAAAACATTCTGAAAGTGGGAAACCTACTCCCGCTTGGTATTACGGGATCCCCTGGGTCCGCCTGGGCCGCGGGGATCCCGCAGTACCAAGCGGGAGTAGGTTTGCCCATAACAGCAAAACTTTGCAAAATGTCCTGAAAATGAAAAACCTTCGCCCGCTTGGTACTACGGGATCCCCGCGGCCCGGGCGGACCCAGGGGATCCCGCAATACCAAGCGGGAGTAGGTTTGCCAATGACAGCAAAACATTCTGAAAGTGGGAAACCTACTCCCGCTTGGTATTACGGGATCCCCTGGGTCCGCCTGGGCCGCGGGGATCCCGCAGTACCAAGCGGGAGTAGGTTTGCCCATAACAGCAAAACTTTGCAAAATGTCCTGAAAATGAAAAACCTTCGCCCGCTTGGTACTACGGGATCCCCGCGGCCCGGGCGGACCCAGGGGATCCCGCAATACCAAGCGGGAGTAGGTTTGCCAATGACAGCAAAACATTCTGAAAGTGGGAAACCTACTCCCGCTTGGTATTACGGGATCCCCTGGGTCCGCCTGGGCCGCGGGGATCCCGCAGTACCAAGCGGGAGTAGGTTTGCCCATAACAGCAAAACTTTGCAAAATGTCCTGAAAATGAAAAACCTTCGCCCGCTTGGTACTACGGGATCCCCGCGGCCCGGGCGGACCCAGGGGATCCCGCAATACCAAGCGGGAGTAGGTTTGCCAATGACAGCAAAACATTCTGAAAGTGGGAAACCTACTCCCGCTTGGTATTACGGGATCCCCTGGGTCCGCCTGGGCCGCGGGGATCCCGCAGTACCAAGCGGGAGTAGGTTTGCCCATAACAGCAAAACTTTGCAAAATGTCCTGAAAATGAAAAACCTTCGCCCGCTTGGTACTACGGGATCCCCGCGGCCCGGGCGGACCCAGGGGATCCCGCAATACCAAGCGGGAGTAGGTTTGCCAATGACAGCAAAACATTCTGAAAGTGGGAAACCTACTCCCGCTTGGTATTACGGGATCCCCTGGGTCCGCCTGGGCCGCGGGGATCCCGCAGTACCAAGCGGGAGTAGGTTTGCCCATAACAGCAAAACTTTGCAAAATGTCCTGAAAATGAAAAACCTTCGCCCGCTTGGTACTACGGGATCCCCGCGGCCCGGGCGGACCCAGGGGATCCCGCAATACCAAGCGGGAGTAGGTTTGCCAATGACAGCAAAACATTCTGAAAGTGGGAAACCTACTCCCGCTTGGTATTACGGGATCCCCTGGGTCCGCCTGGGCCGCGGGGATCCCGCAGTACCAAGCGGGAGTAGGTTTGCCCATAACAGCAAAACTTTGCAAAATGTCCTGAAAATGAAAAACCTTCGCCCGCTTGGTACTACGGGATCCCCGCGGCCCGGGCGGACCCAGGGGATCCCGCAATACCAAGCGGGAGTAGGTTTGCCAATGACAGCAAAACATTCTGAAAGTGGGAAACCTACTCCCGCTTGGTATTACGGGATCCCCTGGGTCCGCCTGGGCCGCGGGGATCCCGCAGTACCAAGCGGGAGTAGGTTTGCCCATAACAGCAAAACTTTGCAAAATGTCCTGAAAATGAAAAACCTTCGCCCGCTTGGTACTACGGGATCCCCGCGGCCCGGGCGGACCCAGGGGATCCCGCAATACCAAGCGGGAGTAGGTTTGCCAATGACAGCAAAACATTCTGAAAGTGGGAAACCTACTCCCGCTTGGTATTACGGGATCCCCTGGGTCCGCCTGGGCCGCGGGGATCCCGCAGTACCAAGCGGGAGTAGGTTTGCCCATAACAGCAAAACTTTGCAAAATGTCCTGAAAATGAAAAACCTTCGCCCGCTTGGTACTACGGGATCCCCGCGGCCCGGGCGGACCCAGGGGATCCCGCAATACCAAGCGGGAGTAGGTTTGCCAATGACAGCAAAACATTCTGAAAGTGGGAAACCTACTCCCGCTTGGTATTACGGGATCCCCTGGGTCCGCCTGGGCCGCGGGGATCCCGCAGTACCAAGCGGGAGTAGGTTTGCCCATAACAGCAAAACTTTGCAAAATGTCCTGAAAATGAAAAACCTTCGCCCGCTTGGTACTACGGGATCCCCGCGGCCCGGGCGGACCCAGGGGATCCCGCAATACCAAGCGGGAGTAGGTTTGCCAATGACAGCAAAACATTCTGAAAGTGGGAAACCTACTCCCGCTTGGTATTACGGGATCCCCTGGGTCCGCCTGGGCCGCGGGGATCCCGCAGTACCAAGCGGGAGTAGGTTTGCCCATAACAGCAAAACTTTGCAAAATGTCCTGAAAATGAAAAACCTTCGCCCGCTTGGTACTACGGGATCCCCGCGGCCCGGGCGGACCCAGGGGATCCCGCAATACCAAGCGGGAGTAGGTTTGCCAATGACAGCAAAACATTCTGAAAGTGGGAAACCTACTCCCGCTTGGTATTACGGGATCCCCTGGGTCCGCCTGGGCCGCGGGGATCCCGCAGTACCAAGCGGGAGTAGGTTTGCCCATAACAGCAAAACTTTGCAAAATGTCCTGAAAATGAAAAACCTTCGCCCGCTTGGTACTACGGGATCCCCGCGGCCCGGGCGGACCCAGGGGATCCCGCAATACCAAGCGGGAGTAGGTTTGCCAATGACAGCAAAACATTCTGAAAGTGGGAAACCTACTCCCGCTTGGTATTACGGGATCCCCTGGGTCCGCCTGGGCCGCGGGGATCCCGCAGTACCAAGCGGGAGTAGGTTTGCCCATAACAGCAAAACTTTGCAAAATGTCCTGAAAATGAAAAACCTTCGCCCGCTTGGTACTACGGGATCCCCGCGGCCCGGGCGGACCCAGGGGATCCCGCAATACCAAGCGGGAGTAGGTTTGCCAATGACAGCAAAACATTCTGAAAGTGGGAAACCTACTCCCGCTTGGTATTACGGGATCCCCTGGGTCCGCCTGGGCCGCGGGGATCCCGCAGTACCAAGCGGGAGTAGGTTTGCCCATAACAGCAAAACTTTGCAAAATGTCCTGAAAATGAAAAACCTTCGCCCGCTTGGTACTACGGGATCCCCGCGGCCCGGGCGGACCCAGGGGATCCCGCAATACCAAGCGGGAGTAGGTTTGCCAATGACAGCAAAACATTCTGAAAGTGGGAAACCTACTCCCGCTTGGTATTACGGGATCCCCTGGGTCCGCCTGGGCCGCGGGGATCCCGCAGTACCAAGCGGGAGTAGGTTTGCCCATAACAGCAAAACTTTGCAAAATGTCCTGAAAATGAAAAACCTTCGCCCGCTTGGTACTACGGGATCCCCGCGGCCCGGGCGGACCCAGGGGATCCCGCAATACCAAGCGGGAGTAGGTTTGCCAATGACAGCAAAACATTCTGAAAGTGGGAAACCTACTCCCGCTTGGTATTACGGGATCCCCTGGGTCCGCCTGGGCCGCGGGGATCCCGCAGTACCAAGCGGGAGTAGGTTTGCCCATAACAGCAAAACTTTGCAAAATGTCCTGAAAATGAAAAACCTTCGCCCGCTTGGTACTACGGGATCCCCGCGGCCCGGGCGGACCCAGGGGATCCCGCAATACCAAGCGGGAGTAGGTTTGCCAATGACAGCAAAACATTCTGAAAGTGGGAAACCTACTCCCGCTTGGTATTACGGGATCCCCTGGGTCCGCCTGGGCCGCGGGGATCCCGCAGTACCAAGCGGGAGTAGGTTTGCCCATAACAGCAAAACTTTGCAAAATGTCCTGAAAATGAAAAACCTTCGCCCGCTTGGTACTACGGGATCCCCGCGGCCCGGGCGGACCCAGGGGATCCCGCAATACCAAGCGGGAGTAGGTTTGCCAATGACAGCAAAACATTCTGAAAGTGGGAAACCTACTCCCGCTTGGTATTACGGGATCCCCTGGGTCCGCCTGGGCCGCGGGGATCCCGCAGTACCAAGCGGGAGTAGGTTTGCCCATAACAGCAAAACTTTGCAAAATGTCCTGAAAATGAAAAACCTTCGCCCGCTTGGTACTACGGGATCCCCGCGGCCCGGGCGGACCCAGGGGATCCCGCAATACCAAGCGGGAGTAGGTTTGCCAATGACAGCAAAACATTCTGAAAGTGGGAAACCTACTCCCGCTTGGTATTACGGGATCCCCTGGGTCCGCCTGGGCCGCGGGGATCCCGCAGTACCAAGCGGGAGTAGGTTTGCCCATAACAGCAAAACTTTGCAAAATGTCCTGAAAATGAAAAACCTTCGCCCGCTTGGTACTACGGGATCCCCGCGGCCCGGGCGGACCCAGGGGATCCCGCAATACCAAGCGGGAGTAGGTTTGCCAATGACAGCAAAACATTCTGAAAGTGGGAAACCTACTCCCGCTTGGTATTACGGGATCCCCTGGGTCCGCCTGGGCCGCGGGGATCCCGCAGTACCAAGCGGGAGTAGGTTTGCCCATAACACCAAAACTTTGCAAAATGTCCGGAAAATGAAAAACCTTCGCCCGCTCGGTACTACGGGATCCCCGCGGCCCGGGCGGACCCAGGGGATCCCGCAATACCAAGCGGGAGTGGGTTCGCCCATACTTAACAGCAAAACATCCCGGTTGCCCACTCTAGCAAAACTGGTGCGGAGCCAGGGGATCCCATAATATCAAGTGGGAGTAGGTTTGCCCACGACACGTAATACTCAGGGAGTCCCTTACTTCGAGTTCTGCGCGTCACATCATTCACGGTTACGACCATGATCCTGCGCCTTCTCGTTCTCATCTTGATCTTCCTGATGGAGCAAACTTCTAAACTACAATTGAATGCAAAAGTCAAAGCAAAAGTTCAGGTCTGCAAGTTTTTCAATCCGACATATCACGCAGCCAGTAGAGGGGTAAAATTAGAGGAGGTAAGTTCAAGCTGCACGACTTCAAGAGCTGAGCGCAAGCTGAAGTCCAGTGGCGGCGGTACCGCACGTGGTGGCGTTCTAGATACATTCTCATAATTCTAATTGCTTTATTTTGTTAAAGTTTGTAGTCTGCAAGTGCTTTTCGATAAAGTGTGTGGTCTGAAACAAGGTACTGGAAACATAACAAGGTTTTTCTTTTTTCTTTGAAATGGTAGATAAAGTTGGTTCGATAGGGACACGATCGCGCAGCCGATTCTACTTCAATCAAAGATGAAGTAAGCATGCAGCTACATCATCAGGATCTTCGTCCCAAAATTCTTCACGAGAGATCCATCTTGATCTTCAAGAGAAGTACAGTCTCATTGCTAACACACAACTGCCACAACAGCTGCGGGCATCAATGAAGTTTTAAATAAACCGTAGTCTTAACATCTTTAAAGCAGTATTAAAATTGAAGCCATATATAGAAGATTTTTGAGCAGGAGAATACACTCGAGCGTATTCAACAAGGAGAACAAGCTCTCTATCAATCTTGTACAATAATACTGCACGGGTCTTTTCAGCTGCATGCCCCTAACCCTAGCGTCAAAAGCATCCCAGCAAAAAATAAACGCATCGATCATATTATCAATATCTGCGAGAGTCTGTCTCTGTGGCTGTGCTATTTGTTTTTCATGGAAATCGAATTGTATACAAAGGTTTAAATCCCGTAGAAGTAGACTTCGGTCTTGTAGCACCCACGGATGCAGCTTCTTGATTCAACATTTCTAACTCTAAGTAACATCTTCATCAGCAAATCTTTGCAAAAGCTGCATATGCATTGCAAACTCTACATTTTTCCTTTTCGACTAAACCCCGAGTGAAGAAGTGAGAATCAGATTGACGTGTGCTGCCTCTCCCTGTCCGCCAGATCTCTCATTCCGGTAAACTCGCGAGGCAAGTTGATTTTGAAAAACGTCGTCATTGTAGGTGCTCTGACGCCAGCGGCTTGCTTTCCGACGTACTTCTCGAACGTTCCGCTGCTGACGGCCTGTTGCAGAAACGCCTTGCTCGCGTTGATATTCGCCCGTGACTTGGCGAAGCGAACGATCTCGTGTTCCGTGACGACGTATCCGTACAACGCTTTGGTTTCACCATTGTCTGCGGTATCCATTTGGACAGCTTCCCCATCTCATCCGCGTAAGTAAGTAAGTATCTTTTGAATAATAAAGGTAGCTGGAAGTAGATGATCACTGCAATCATGAAAATTGCAGAACGCGTACTTCGTTGTAGTGCTAGAGCGGCAAATTTCCTGTTCCTTGTGAGTGTTCATAAGAAAAATTTGTCCCTCGTGCTCGTGCAATAAATATTATCGCAGCTGCAAATAATCACAGTGACGCGTGTGCTTGGTCATTTATATCACAGCGAAAAAAATGAAGACGAGAATTCTTGAAATGGAATTCATCGACATTTGCATGCTCACAGATGAGAGTTCGGATGGGGAGTTGTGCAGCCTCATACAGCGTAATTGTCTTCGGGTCGATTTCGTACTTAAACAGCGTCTGGTGCTGTTCCTTGTGATCCGCCCCGGTCTTCTGCGGACTCGAGGACCCCGGTTTGCCGGACACCTTCTTGCGGGGCGATGAAGCGTTGTTCTCCGGCTTAACGATCGCCTGTCACAGCGGAGGTGTGTGGGAGTCATTGGTAAAAACAATCAAGAGACCTACAAACTTCGATCTCCTCACTGTCATTTTTGGAGGTTGTCTATGTCTACTAACTTACACATCAAAAACATTGCGTTTTACTCTAGAAGAAATAGGAATACAGATACACGGTGGATTCGGTACAGAAAATACTTACCTCAAGCAGCTTGATCATGTCGTTCTTTTGTAACTCGGCGCCGAAAACCGGTTCGTCGGAATTGTAAAGCCATCCAAGGAAAAAACATTGTTAGTGTAACTTTGTCTTCTTGCTCGCGATATTGCAAAATCGTCATAATTGACCAGTACAACTAGCTTCTCTCTCACGTGGTTTCAATTACTATCTGCGCATGGCAAGTTTCTGCTGTTATGTTGCCAGACAGGTTTATATTCATAGTACTGCCATGATTAGCCTATGCCCAACAAACACCACTTTGCACCATCAATGTTTTTCTCTTGAATAAAAGCTCCGTGACTTTCAATATCTTCTCAAATTGATCCACTCGTGGTGTGAAAGTGGACAAAACTCTTCCGACCCCAGCGCATTTGAGCGGCATCAGGATGAGCAGCAACAGAAGCGGAGGGCCCACTAGTACTACGTACAAATCATAAATGTAGCGACAAATCGATGATCCGACCATGCCCCGAGTTCTGGAAGGCAAGAAGGAAGGATAAAGTTTGTGATTGTGTTGGTAATAGTTATGGTATTGGTACATATTTTTTTGCATAACAAACGAGGTAGAGGGGGAGTTGTCGTGCACTTTCATACCGGCGTCACGTGCCGCGGTGCAGTACACAACCTTCATCTCCCGGATGGCCTGTCTTCGCCCCGACTTCACCTCCTCGGACGGGTTCAGCATGTCTCGCAAGACGGCCTTCTGCGTCGCCAACAGTCGTATGCAGTGCAAAAATTTTAGCTCATCTTCGGTAGCACCGGACCATCCTCCACCTGCAGATCCCGCATGAGTCTGCTGCGTATTTTTCCATGCTCTTCTCGCCAGCTCGACGAGATCCAGCACTGAAACAAAAACAATGTATGGTATCTATCTCGTCCCACCGACAAAAAACAAAAAGCAACCGAAAGCAGCTGCACCAAGCACAGCAAGAGCATACACATCCATGCATTACAAACTAGTAGGATGCTGAACTTCGTTTTATAATTGTATAATTGTATTTGATGTGCGCTGTGTGGTGCCACGTTTGATGACTGCCATGCAATACATACGGGATAATCTGTTCACGCTCCAACTTGAACCCGGCTTCGTCTTCGCGCAGCAGATAATTCTTGTTTAAAACCCTTTCCTCGAACCCTTTCGGAAATAACCTGATTTGAGTTTCGGGTTTTCAGTTCGAAGATAAGAATAACATAGTTGGCTCTTATTTGTCTACTTATCATATACTTTATTCCCTTCTCCATATGTTTTGCTTTATTTGGCTTGTATTTAAATTCGTCGTAGATTGCCATATGAAGTCCAGCAAGATCCTACAAGCGCAGACCGGTTGTACGAGAACAAAAGGCAGGACCCCTACAACCAAGCACCGCTGGGTACTGCGCGCCATGCATGGGGGTCCCATCTTCCCAGTAAAAAGCGTATAGAAGCAAAGTCGATCAATTTCGCGGACGTATCCGCGAAATTTCAAAGTGTTTTTCTTTTTTCCCTTCAAGCAGGAGCATAATAAACTACGTCGGTTTACAACGGTATAGATACACAAAGCCTACAGGCAGGTCCTCTGCTGAGGAGATCGCAAAAGAAAAGCAGATGCCAAGAAATGCTTGAATGATGGTTTTCCGCAACCGAGCCCAGGCGGATGACCGCAGAAAAGATTTGGTGTGCGGGGTTGCCTGGTAAAGCGCCCAAATCCGCGAAATTTTAAAATTTTACTTTTATCGCAGACCAATATCAAATCGAGCTTTGGAAATGCGATCTCATAGCACAGTGCCGATCTGTGGAACGAAAAGAAAAAAGCTTCTGCAGGTTCTTTGTTTTCGCAAGCTTACAGAAAGGCGTGTGTCATCATGGGTCGCCCACCTGGACATTTTTTGTTTTCAAAACTTTGTTTGTATCTAATACGAAGCAACGGAACAAATCGGCGCGCTTCTGCGGTCCGAGGATAGCTTATGCCTTTCCTTGAAGCAGAATTATTTATGATCCACAGCAGTAAAACCAAAATAGTTGTGAGAGAGTTATATTTATACGTGCAAACGACTTCCGGAACCGGTACATTCAGCAACGCCATTAACTCCGTGATCGTCGGCCGGTCCTCAGGGCAGAATCTTGATTATGCAATGCAAATAAGGTATTGCACACAAACGCGAAGCGCCACGAGCAAGACACACGGACCTCAAGAAACGCGGCCCAAGGCCAAGAAGCGTTAAAACCTCCTCCAACAAGAAAACCAGCCTCCAGCATCAGTAGTTGCAGTTGGCCCAGTGGTGCTTGCTTCATCAGGTGTGCGCGCAATACATGTACAACTTCTGCTTTGCATATTAGCATGGAAAACACGATTTTCCGCCCAAAATCGCCGTAGTGTTCCAGGATTTTCCGCCATTTACTGGCCAGCTTCCGCAGCTCGTCGTGCTGCGCGTGGAGGGCAGGAGGAAGAAACTGCGTTTTGAACCCGAAAGTCGCATCAATCGGCGCTTCCTCGAACTCCAGCGGAATGTCGCAGAAACCCATGCACCCGGGCTGTGCCTGTTTCGCGACCCGGGTGGGTTTCTTGTCCGCGGTAGAGGGGTGGTTTCCCGCCTCCGTAACCAGCATGTGCAGCCCGGCGGACTGCAGCTCCTGCCCGAAAGATCCGATGAACCGCGCCGTGCCGCAGGGGGTTTCGGAGGTCGTCGTTGAGCTTGAGGAGGAGGCCTTCAACATACTCCCATCGGCGGGGCGGTCCAGGATCCTTTTACTTTCGTCTGCTCCCTTGTTCATCAGATCCACTAAAAAAACCGCGAGCATGCCGATGTCCACCTGCTTGCCGAACCGAACCGGATCGGGCTGCTCCAAGATGCGGGCCTTGTAGGTCCCGAGCCGCGTAATTGGGTTCAACGTCTTTTCGCGCAGTTCCCGCGCCGCGTTCTGCTCCTCCGGCGACGGCATCTTGAGCATCGTCCGAATGTAGTCCGACAACCGCCTCCCGCGGTTTTCCTTCTTCTTGCTGAACACCCCGGGTTTGCCCAGGACGTCGAAATGGTGGTCGATTTGCTATCAAATGCAAATGCTTATGCCTGGGTCTGGAAGGTTGCAAATTGTCGTGCTTTCTTCGGATCATAAAAAAACTTTCATGGCGTGACCAGGAAGAGGAGTCCAGTCTGTGCTACGCGGGAAGCGAGGGCATTGATTTGTCATCCATGCGGAGCGAATAAGTACTTACGCATCAGGATGCCCTCCAAGAAACAGAAGCCGGCGACGCTTACGCTAGGTCATGCATTACAAACATCATGGGCCACACACAACTTGCATGACAAGCCTGGCAATCTTCCAGGCTCGGGCATATTTGCACGCGATATCTGTTCGAAGTTCACAAGTTCCGGCAGGAACGAGTGCTCTTGCGTCGGCGGGTTGTCATCTGAAGCACACGAAAACTCCCCGATCTGCACCCGGATGCCTTTGCCGCCGTCTGTGAACAGATGGAGCAGGGTATCTTCCGTGATGTCCCTGTGATAGACATCATTCACATGGAGTATCAAATGTAAAAATGTCTGCGTCTGGAAGAATCCAAGTTTGTCATGCCTGTCTGGCATGACTCTTAAATCTGTCATGCACATTACCAAAGAGCCCCACTTTTCTGTCATGCAGAGACGTAGTTTGTCACGCAGAATAGGCAACATCTAGAAGCTCACAAACTTGTCATGCTGAGCCAGCAATTGTCGCCTCCTCATGATACGGCGCACAGCATCACAAGTCTCCAGACCCAGACACTTTTACATTTGATATGGAGCACATGCAACCCATTCGCCACCTGGTTCGCGATTGGCCGGATGAAGGCCTTCGTCTGTTCCTCGGTCAACTGCCTTGCCGCGAAGCTCTGAAGCCGCGGAAAAACAGCGAAGACCGTGTCCATCCGCGGGCCATCGAAGAACATGTGTAAAGGCGCCAGCAGGCCAGCGGGCTTGTGTAAGGCGAGCGAGGCCAGCAGTTGGAGCTCGACCAGCGGTTTGCGCTGGGGCCAGGTTTTGTCGCGCTGCGCGGTCGACAACACCGGCGACTTGAAGATCACCTCCTTTACCGCTGCTCCTCCGTGGTCGAAGACGATCGGGGGATGCACTTGTGCCACCCGGTACGTGCTGTACTTCCCAAACTGCACCTGCTTTGAGAAGCTGTGGTAGACTCGCGCTTTTTCCTCGGTAGTCCGCGGAACGGGGAGCACAATCTTCTCGTTAGCCGGAAAACGCTGAACTGCGGCGGCCCCGCAAGCTGCGAGCAGATCCCCGGGCTCGGTGCCAAGGCACGACACGTCGTCCTCCTGCAGCAATTTTTCCGGTAGCAATTCCGGAATCAGGTCCGGGTTCAGAGAGCCCGCCAGCGACTCCAGCGCCGATGTGTTGCTAATAGACATAGGGGGGAGAAGGGCGCAGGAATTGCTAGTTTGCAACGACGGTGCCGCTGCCCCGGTGGACGCCGGCTGCTGATTGTTGCTGGAGGTGCCGAGGGCATCGGCGGATGAAAGAACCCCGTGGCTTGCTTTTACCGCCCCTGCAGCACGCGGGGGGGCCTTCAAAGACTTAGTTTCAATTTTAGCCCGCTTGGCCCCTGGAGATCGTGATGTGTCTCCTCTGGCCATCTTGGATAAGCTAAAGGGTGCGACAGAGTCAGTAACTGAAACACAACCAGATTGATATTACAATGCGGAGTGTTAATACCTTGAGGAGATGAGTAAAGGATCAGCTAGTATGCTATCGAAATCGAGGCAAAGAAGGTTGCAAAATACGAGCCACTACCAGCTCAAACAAAAAATGCTAGATTTTGGTCGAAAGTGAGTTTGGTACATTATAATCAAAATCATATTTTTATCTGGAAACCACGTCAAAAAGACAAAGTACAGACTAGAAGCAGCACAAGAAGCACTCTGACGTCATGTTGGTCATACGGTAGTTACATACTAGAAAGAAGCAAGTAAATCGACGCAGCCGCCCAAAGAGGCTCGAGTCAATCTCGAGTCGAAGGTTTGCAAGAGATCATGCGAACAAGCACACGAAGACGAAGTACGAAGTATCTATGATCTTCTTTTTCACGACGATCCCCGTTGTCATTCTTATCGTTAGCTCTCTACAGTCCCCCAAAACATTTGTTTTTAAAGCGTCAACGATGGAACAAAGAGGACGTACCCGATACGAATAAAATACGACTTCTTCCCTCGCCAATTCAGACGCTCACCTTCTACGAGTCTAATGAAACTCAACGGAAATTTAAAGTGTATGCGTTTTTGGTCGATGACATGAACATATCGTTACTGAGAGACACGGTCACGACAGATCACTTACTTTGACCACCTGCAGACAGAAACAACTACCAGGAGCCGTTCTTCCACTCACAGCTGGGGACGTTGGCGTTCTATCTGCAACAAATCCGTGATCCTATCTTCCTTATCGTGATCTATCTTTCTGCAGCAGATCCGTGATCCTCGTCATCGTCACGTGCCAATGCCATACTTTTAGAAGTTTATCAAATCGATATAAAGCATGATGCTACCTGCTGATCAATTACTGGGAGCCCGGGGATCCCGCAGTACCCATCGGGAGAAAGGTTTCGCAAGACCGCAAAAGCTGCCAAAACTGCGAATCCAACTCCCGATCTGTTTCACGGGATCCCCCGGGACCGGGCGGGCCCCGGGGATCCCGCAGTACCCATCGGGAGGCAGGTTTCGCAAGACCGTAAAAGCTGCCAAAACTGCGAATCCAACTCCCGATCTGTTTAACGGGATCCCCCGGGACCGGGCGGGCCCCGGGGATCCCGCAGTATCCATCGGGAGAAAGGTTTCGCAAGACCGCAAAAGTTGCCAAAACTGCGAATCCAACTCCCGATCTGTTTCACGGGATCCCCCGGAACCGGGCGGGCCCCGGGGATCCCGCAGTACCCATCGGGAGAAAGGTTTCGCAAGACCGCAAAAGCTGCCAAAACTGCGAATCCAACTCCCGATCTATTTTACGGGATCCCCCGGGACCGGGCGGGCCCCGGGGATCCCGCAGTACCCATCGGGAGAAAGGTTTCGCAAGACCGCAAAGGTTGCCAAAACTGCGAATCCAACTCCCGATCTATTTTACGGGATCCCCCGGGATCGGGCGGGCCCCGGCACCAGGCTCGAACCGAGGACATCAACGATCGTAGACGAAAGAGAACAAGGTGGTCCCGCCTGTGCTTTGCACTAGTTGTACTAGAATGATGATGCAGCTTCTTGTTCTTACAAGACACCAGCATGGGAGCAGCATCAAATGCAGCTTTGATAGTATTGATGGCCTACCCACTTGTTGATACAGCGAGAGCATTGCTTGCAATAAAAATGAATCGCAATGTCCACAAAAAAAGTTCGTATCCATCAAAGTTCAAATAGAGACACCCGGCGGTGGTCGTGCTATGCACTCTCATACCCGCGGGCCATCGCGTCCGGGTAGCCTTCCCAGAACAGCAGCAGTTCGCCAGGGTAATGCGGCTGGTCTTCCTCCATCAACCGGTAATCCGCATTCGGGTGCCCCATGACGTACCGGAAGTCTGCGGCCCGGCTGTGCCGTTCCACGGCCCGCTGTCGTGCCTCCTCGACGTGCAGCAGACACTGGTCACCCTCGGTTGCCTTTCCCTCCGCGTCCGGCTCGTCTCCCAAGCGGTGCACGAGCAGCGGCACCGGCTGGCTGCTCGACCGGTTGTTGCCCGAGGAGGACACCACCCCGACCGCGCCCCTTCGCTCGCTTCTGCTGATGTCCACCATGCAGGGCAGGTGGTCCGCGAATTTATTTTCGCCGTGCGGGTTGAGCAAGAGGGTGTCGCCGCCGGCGCTCTCGATCTGGTCGCGGGTGCGCGGGTACAAGTTAAAATCCTCGCCCCGGGGCGCGAACCGTGCGTAATCCACCAGTCGGTTGTTCAAGTGCGCGGACTGCTTCGTTGGGTCCACCGGATCTAAGATCAGCACGTCCCCCTCTTCGTCGGCGTCCAGAAAGTTCTCCACGTCGAAGTTCCGCTGTTGCGGGAACACCTTCCAGTCGTGGCGCGGCGCGGATTTGTCGAAGGAACGGACCTTGTAGGAGCTTTTAGAAGTTGTAGCATCTTCTTGTTTCAGACGAGCCTCCGCTGGGGCGCTACCGGCCCTCGTTGCCGCCGCGCCGAGCATTTCCGAACTCGTACCGAACCGCCACGGTTCGCGAGAAACCAAGATTTTCCGGGACCTCTTCTGTTTCCGTTCCTCGACGTCCGCGAAGTCGGCAAAGTCAATGTGCCTGCTGAAGTTTCTACCCCGAAACGCTCCCGCGTCGCTGCCGCTGGTCGGGCCAAAGGACACGCAGTCGGGCATCAAGGCTTCCCGGGCGTACAGCCGGTCCACGGTGCGCTCCCGGTTCAGGTTGAGCCGTCGGGTCTTAATTGGGGAAAGGCTGCGCGTTATCAGCGCCGTCCGAGCGCGTTTCAGCCGCACCAGCGCGTCGTGGAGATTCCGCCCCAGCGGGCGTCGGTCGTACTGTACCTTTGCGGCTTTGCGTCCGGTTGCCCGCGAAAAGGACAGGGCTTGCGGTGCGGTCCGCAGCCGGAACCGGTTGAAGGCATTAGTCGCATCGTACGTGTTCGGCCCCAGGTGCCGATACTTGCCCACTTCCCGCAAGTAGGAGAAATCCGCGCGGGACCCCGTCTTCTGCAGCTTCTGCAACCTGCTGCTATACACAGGCGGAGCGAAACTGAAAGCACTGATGTGCCTGCTCCCCGGTAATTTCCGGCGAGAAGCTGCTGGGCCACCGTCCTGCAAGTCGCTGGCGCTATCGACGGTCGACTTGGAATGTAGTTTCTGGTCACCAGCTGTGAAGTCACTGTCGTTGTAGAACAGCATCGTAGACGCCGACGGCTGGACTGCGTAGTTGCTCCGCTCAACAGCTCCAGCATCCCCATTCCGTTTGCGAGTTTGTACAACGACCTTTGAAGCGCAGCCGTATTCCAGTGTGTGCAGGTTCTCGTAGGGTAGCACGCCGACGGTGACGGGACCTTGGGTGCCGCTCTTCCGCACGATACGAAGAATTCGGTAGCGCTGCGGTCCGTGCTTGAAGGAGTGCGTGGCCACCCGGCGGTGATGGGAGGCCAGCTTCTCCTCGATCTCGTACTTGCCTGGACCGAGCAGCGCTGCAGCCTTCTCCTTCTCCACCTTACTCGGTATCGATTTTTCCTCCGTAGTTGGCTTTCGGTACCGCACAGTACCTTTGGCATTTTGTCCAAACGGTTTCGCGATATCGTAGGATCCGGGGCCCAGGTGCGCACTGGGATCTTCCTCTTCGCTTTCCGAGTTGGTAGCGTCTGTGTCGCTCTCTGCCGTATCTTCGTCATGATCCAGAGCCGCACTGTACTCGTCCTCGAGTGTTGTTCCTTGATGTGCCACACAACTCCCATCAAGTTGTGAAGACTTGTCGCCGACCAGATTTGAGGTCGGAGCTACTTTAATGTTTCGTTTTTTTCTAGCTCTGTTCTGCGGTGCACGCCCGGTCACGCGTGCTGCGGGGGCGAAGGAGAACTTGTGTTTCAGCTCGGTGTCGATGTCGCAGTGCGTGAGTGGCCGCTCTTCCAGCAGCTGCTGGTTACGGACCGACTCGGTCGGCACACGGGGCGGCGCAGCGGGTCCGGCCGCACCAATGTAGCCTCCCCGCCGCGGCGCGACGGACGGTTCCTCCGAAAGGCGCGTGATGGTCGACAGATTTTCACCGTATTCATCGTCGAAAGCGAAGCTATCATCAGTCGTCTGGTTCTTCTGCTGGCGCCGCGACGAAACTGGACTCGTCCCGACTAGCCGCTTCGCCTTCCCAAATGTGCCCCCGCGGGCTGGATTGGACCGCGCTGCGGCATCGTACTTGGGGTTGTAGTGGCCCGGACCAGGAGAATCGTCCTCGTCGGAAGACGTCGAATAAAGCAGCTCCGAAGGGGGCAGGATGGTTGAGGCCTCCTCAGACAGAAACGTTGTGTTTACTGCCCGCAGTGCTCCGCGGTGCTGCTTCCCCCGCCGTTTCTTTACCGGTGACGGTGTGCGCGACTTGAGTCGCTTCTGGCTACGAAAAGTAGAACTTTGCTGCTGCTGTTCCTGAAGCTGCTTTCGCTTGCGTTTCTGCTCCAAGAATATCGCACGATTTTTTTTTCTTACTTCTAAGGCCTTTCTCTCCTCGTTGGCCCGGAGAACGCGCGTCGGAGATAAAGAGCGGTCCACCCCGCCAGACGCGAAGTCGCGCACCATGGCCGCCGCGTCACGAAAGAGCGGGTCTCCGGCTCCGGTGGAGAGTCTCGCAGCCTCGGCACGCAGCCGATTTTCTTCTCGGCGTCTCGCACTGGTTGAGCGCAGTCCAAGGTTCCTGGTTTGCTGCGAAACGAACTGCCGCTCCTGCGCTGGGTCGCGCGACGCTGATCGTGAGCGTCCCGCTGAATGCATCCGTTCTGCAGAACGCCGCTGCGCCAGAATCCGTTGCATATTCGTCAGCTCTTGTCGCACCCCGGCAAAGTTTTCTGCTTGTAGTTGCCCAGTTGGAAGATTCTCTTGCAAACGAGCCGTCGTGTGCACTTTCAGAATACCCTTCGGCTTTGATTTGACACTCGAGCGCTTGCTTGCAGCTGCTCTCCCTTCCTCAGGCTCGTCAAAGATTCGTGCAGACCGGGCGGCTCGCCGCGTTGACAGTGCGTCAATGCTAGGGTACAGCAACGCGGGCTGTGGTTCTGGTTCCTTTGCACCCACCACCGTGGATTCTTGGTCCGCATTCGCTGCGGATGATGTGTCTACAGTTCCGCCTGAAGGACTTTTTGACTTGACCTTGACAGAACGAGCAGTCGCTGTCTTAGACGGCCGCGCTTTCTTCTCACTGTTCTTGCTCTCCCGGTCCCGCTTCGAATCTTCTGTTATTTCTCCTTGTTCTGGACTGAAGGCGAAAACACTGCGTCCCCGGGGCACGTTGTCCGCTGTCCTCAGCGTAAAGGGATCTGCGACAGTGGACTTGGAGGAGGGCGCGGAGGCGTTCGCGGGTTGATGTCCAGTCCGGACGTGAAGATCCTTAGCCTTTTTCTCCAGGCTTATGCTTCTCGTGATCGCGTTGACCTCACCCGCCACGAACCCGGGCGGCCGTTGGTTCAAAGCGCTCGTCACGTGCCCCAGCGTTGCGTCCACGACAGCTTGAGCGCGAACGTCGCTTCGCAAAGCTTCCGGATCATCGTTGACATTGGCAAAAAAAAGTCGCTCCACTTCGGTTTTAGAGATCATCGGCACTCCGGCTGCTGCATCAGTATTCTTATTTTTCTCCGCTCGCTCCGCCTTGATCTCCTGCCGCTTCTGCGCCAACTCACGACGCAGCTGCAAATTCAGAATGGGTCGCGGGGGGCGCAAGGCGTCCCACTCGCGCAGCGCGGCTCGCACGTCAGACTTGCCCTGAACCCGCAAAAGCCGGTCGCCCGCGCGAACCACCTGGCCGTACGCAATGTTCTCCAGCGCCCTGGCGTTGTGCAGGTCGACGACAGAATTCTCCTCGATCTCCAGAATTTCGCCCGTGTCGTAGCGTAGGCGGAGCCCTAGCTTCTTGGACTTATTCTGAGAGGTTTTTTTGTGCCGCTCGACATGATTTTGTTCTTCGTCCGGTGGCTCCTGAACCTGGATTTCGCGGAGTTCGAAACCCAGCAAGTGGCTCCGGGAAGAACGTGGAAAGGACGGAGCGGCCGTGGACGTTGTGTTGAGGGCGTCTCTGTGCTGCAGTGCGTGCTCGTTCTGATCATCCTCCTTTCCAACAGCCGCGTATTTTTCATCGCTGACATGTTCGTTGAACCGCTGTGCTTGCGGAAACGAGAATCGGTTTTTCCCAGATTCCGCGCCGAAAACGGACACCGGGTCGGCAAAGGTGCTAAACGCCGATTGGTTCTCGGAATAGTCCAACGAACTGCGGACTGGTCCAGGCGCGAACGAAGACGTGTGCACCAGACGCTCCAGCGCTGCCAACTGCTCGTCAAAATCGTCGAATTGCGTGTCCAAAGACGTCGGCCCTTGGTGGTCCTCAACAGCCTCCATTGGGCGATTGTCTGGGGTAGTACCTTTCTCTGCACCCATCTTCGGTAATGAAAACCTGCTCCTGGAAAAACCAACCAAAACCTTGCAACTGCAAGACTACATCCGATTCGGAGAATGAAAGACAGGTTTACTAGACCAGCCTACTCTCGCCGTTGCAAAACGAAAATCAAACGGGTGCAGCTGCCTTCAGCTGTACTTCTTGTTCTTCCTTTTGCGGTTTTGATTTTACATTATTGTGCAACTCTGTACAGCTCGAGCTCGAATGAACGAGTTCTCTCGCCCGGCCTCAGCGCTGACGCTTCTTTTTGGTTTTGCGCTCCGTCACCGTCATAGTTCCAACCTAAAGATAAGAAGAAATTCTACTCTGAAAAAACGATGACTGTGTGCACATTTGACAATCTCTCCCAAAAGAGCCATACTGGCAATCGCACACCCAGTCTCTCCAAGCGAACAAGAAATCACAAGCGAACAAGCTCTCTCAACAAGGGGATCGCACGCCCTCGTGGTCGTGGGTGCGGCAGCTATTTTATTTTGTCAGGTTTTTTTCTTGTTCCAGTTGAAGAAGGAGGGGACTTCAACGCCTGTATCTATCGTACAATTTAGGAAGTGCAACGGCAAAACAAGCAATCCGGCGGACTCATAGCTATTTGCATCTCAATCTTGTTAACAACACCGTCGAGGTCGTTCACATTTGGATTTGCGTACAACTGCAAGAAATCAGAAACATCAACATCATACACAGGGAATACTGCAAAAGGTGACGAAGGCTGCTGCATACTTTTTATTTGGGATTCAAAACCGGTTTCATTGGTAACAGCACTCCGGCGACGATTTCGCATCCATCTGGTGTCGGTGCATGGCTCGCAAGCTCTTGAAGGTCCGCTTGCAACCCTCGCAAGTCGCGACCTCCTTTTGCGTGCGCTTCAAAGTCAACGATGGAGCTGTTTGGCACATCTCCTGCTTTTGGAAGCCCGACTCGGACAGCAACCGCTGAGGAACACCGGTAATATCGGCAGTACTTTTCATTGCAGTCGATCGTGGTGGAACAGAACCACTTGCTGGCTCGGATGTGAGCGTCGGGTGCGAAATAGTACCCCCGTGGTTCTCCGCCGCCTCCTCCGGCGAAGTCGACGATGTGTCGTGCACATTGCTTTCAGCTTGTCCCCGAGCCTTGTTGCAGAAGTTGCAGAACTCCGCGATCTGGCGGTCGGCCTCGTTCTCAAACGCGTTGGGATCACGATATCCCTTCTGGTCCCCGAAAACATCTGTGAAAAAGCGAGCCCAGCGGCAAAAGGCCGCGTCATTCATGAAAATGTCGGCAAATGTGCGTCCCTTGTGCATCCCGTAGTTGAAGAAGACAACCTGCTCAGACGACGTGGCCGTGGCGAACGGGCAGGCCTCATCGTCGACGACCGAAGGTTCTTGAGCTTGCTGTGCAAACAGCGAGGTGTCCTGCTTAGTCCCGGAACAAGCACAGGAAGCGCAGAAGTGCTGCGGCAAGCTCATTCCTTTTGCCGCCTCGACAGTTCTAGTGCAGCACGCAGGAGCAGCCAGCTCTGCAGACGGAACTGATCGGCCGTGCAGTCCGAGGTCACGAGCGATCTGTGGCACCTGCATTCGTGTCCGTGGCTGGCGGGATCGGGCTGCTTGCTGATTCTGTCTCCTGTTTTTCCAGCCAAGTGCAACGGCATCCGCAGTTGTCCTTGTGGTCCTTGTCACCTGCTTTTCATTATTTGGCACAACCACAAGGACCGGCGCAACGAGAGACTCGAAGAGAGACGAGCTCTGAGAGATCGCTGAAGTATCATGTTCCTCCAACGCACAGGCGGTGAGCAAACGGCACAGCCCCTGGTCTTCGGCCTGCAGATGCGCTGGAACAGAGGTGAGAACACCTGCGGAAGCCGCTATCTTGATCAGGTCATCGACGGCCTTGGCACGCTGCGGCAAAAGCCGTCCGTGCTCTTTCAGGACCGGCATGTAGTCTTTTCTCCACCTCGCGGTCTCTTCGTAGTGTAAGTCCTTGAGCGCATCTGTTTCCTGCAGTCTCCGCAGAAGCTGCTCCTTCGTGAAGCCGGATGCTAGGCGACCGTACCATCGCAAAAGCGTCTGCAACGTGTTCTGGTTAAACTCCGCACCGGTCTTCCTCGCTGGCGGAAAAGGAATCTTCGCCCTGGTGTACCGTAAACTGTGATGATACGTCTCCGCAAGCTTCAGCATCCGCAGCATACAGCCGCCTTTCGTGTGTCCTTTATCGATCGCGACCTGAATTGTAGTTTTTGGCTGGCTAGAATTATGGGTGTCTTCAAATCGGAGAGACTCCAGCGAAACGTCCGCACCTCGAATCAGCAGCTCGACTACTACATCTACATGGCCGTTCCGGACGGCGGCAATCAACGGTGTGTCGTCTTCTACACTGGTGACATCGACATCGTCCTCGTAGCCCCCGGCTCTTTCTTCGAAATCCAGTCGGACACGGCGCGCATTCAGCTTTCTCAATCCGTTCTTCGCGTCCAAAATTTCTTTCACTTTGGACACATCTCCGTTCATTGCCGCCTTTACGATCGGCGGATGCGGTTTGTCTCTGCCGCCGAATTCCATTTCCACTGTCGACTGATACAGCATATCATCGTCCGACCTGGGATCGGTAGTGCCGCGTCGCTGTGTCAGGTGTCGCGTGCAGTAGCCATATTTCAGAATATTGTGTGAGCAGTCGTAATCCAGCTGATCGTCGTGGTCGGTGGTGGTGCCGCAGCGCTTGCCTTTCTCCGTCTTACCTCGGCACCGAAAGTGGAAACCAGTGCCGTCCAGGTCGGAGCCCGCATCATCACTTGACGACGTCGACGTCTGCATTTCGTCAGAGTGGTCAGAGTCATTGCCATTGAGCAACCTGTCAAGGGAATTTTCTTCCCGGTTGGCGAGCAAGGTGGAAACCACGAACGACATGATGTTGCGAGAAAACTTAACAATCACAATCAGTAAAGACTAAAGAGGTGGACTCTAATCTTGTATATCAGCGTTTCCTCGTACTCACAAAAACCTTCCCCGTAAAAAACGCCTTCAAGCACCTTTAGCCAATGAGAGGAAAAGCCACTGCTACCTTCGCGTAGATGAAGCCGCTGATGCTATAATTTGTATTCGTGTCGACCCTTATGTGTGCTTTTTCCGACGGGCCCTATGCCTATCTGAATCGACAAGGCGACGAAAAACGAGTAATCCCATCACGAACGCGAACTTGCACTTGGCTCTCTCCATCTCGACTTTCGTCCGTGACAAAGACCACTCATGGACGATACTGAATACTGTACAGAGAACCAAGAAAGCTTTTGGCGTAGAAAACAAGCTCGTGCTAGCTTCGCCAGCAGAGGGCAACAGCTTGCAACATACTGCAGGTTCACAACCTGCACCTTCAAGCGGAAAGAGTGATACCAAACAACAAGCTCTCTCAAGGGCTGCGTGCTCCCTTGCGCGAATAAAAACGTTGTAAAGTAATCCTTTGTGCGCCCATCCGATCCGTGTGCCCCGTGCCAAAGAAACAGCACGTCCGCACGGTCCGGCGACGAATCGAAATTGAGTCAAGCAAGATGTCTGTTTCAAGGACGTTAATCGGTTTCAGTTCGTCACGGTTAATTAGATTCGACTAAGTACCATAAACCATTTGCAAATACAAGATCTTCAAACAGGGTCTTCGATGAGAAAGTCGTAAAAAAGTACAATCAGTACGAAAAGTTCGTCAATTTTTCATCTTCTGTCCCGCCCAACTACGACCAGCAGGCAGCAGCACTGTCACAGTACTAAACTGCATCACTAGTTCTGCGATTACTAGTACCCCATCGTCTTCGCCATCGCGCGGGCCATTTTCTGCACCTCCATATCCGCCACCTTGGCTTGGTGGGACAACCGTGCCACGGAGTCCCGCTCCTCGGCGAGGCGTCGCTCGACGAACTTCCGCTTCGAGCGCTCCTTCTGCAAGGCCTCCTGGGCAAGCTTCAAGACACGCTCGTTCGCCTTCTGCTGGTGCTTCTTGTGCGCCGCCGCGGGGTCGAACACGGTGCTCGAACTGCTACCGGGGAGAATGGAAGACGGCAGCATTGCGGATACGTTCGTTGACCAAGTGGAGGAACCGTGCATCACAGACTGGCTGTGCTCGAGCTCGACCTGATAGGTTGTTCATCGAGGGTCTTGCTGTTCTTTCAAGCATGTCAACCGAACAAAAGTCCTTCCTTTGCTCTCTTTGTGCTGAAACACGTGATGATGCTCTAAAGTATCTACGAAACAAAACAAAAGCTGGCAAACGGCATATTTATTATACGTCCTTGTGCTGCAATTGGTTTTCCAGGTAGCGAATTCGGTTCTGCATACTGCGGATCCGCATTTTTTGCTCCGCGTGCTCCGCAAAAAGCTCCTTCCGGTCCGAAGAGGTGGCCTTGGCTTTGTAGAACTCCACGTCGAGCTGCAAGTGCCTGATTTCCATCAGCAAGTCCTCTTTCGTGTAGTCCGCCATCGGGATGTGGAAGTAGTCCGACGGCTTCTTGTGGTTTACCTGCACGGCCAACGTTTTCACCGCCTGCACGGCGCCGTTGTTGATCGACGTGGGCTTCTGGGCGGAGTCGCTCGTGATGTTGATCTTCGAGCTGATGTGGTCGAAATTCTCGTGCAGCGCCTTCCTCGACTCTTCCCCGAACTGTAGGGAAATGTGCTCCTCGGTGTATGTGTTTGTGTTCAGGCGCTGCTTCGGGGAACGCTTCCCCGGATTGGCCTGCCGATTCAGCTTGTCGTTGTTGCTGGAAAAGGTCTTGTACTCCAGCTTGCGCTGCTCCGCTAGCTGCGCGTGGAGCCAGGAGACCTCGTTCTTCAACTTGGTCACCAGGTCCGTGTCGTTGTCCTCCCACTTCGGAAATTTGATCCCGTCAAAAAACGCCGACCCGGTGTGTGCCTGGATGCTGGGCAGCTTCACCTTGGGACTCGGGGCAAAGGTACCCTGGCCGTCCCCGCCCATCTGGTCCGCGAGCCAGGAACGGACGACCAGAAACTTGCAGGCTGTGATTAATGGTATAGGATTTTGGTGAGCCACGTACGCTTACGCAACCTTGCGCTCGTTTTTACGTTGGGGATGGTTATATAATTCATTGTCATTCTCAACGAGGACTTCCAAACATCGCATAAACAAGCACCAGCAGTAGTCAGCCGTTAGGAAGACGAGTATGAATCTTTCTATCACCAGGAAAAAATACCTTCTATGAAGTCCTCCAAGGACAGGTTCTTTGCGGGCGGGAAGATGTTCTTGAAGTGGTGAATGACCGGCTTGATATCCAACTGCGTTCCCCCGTCGCCAGGCAAATAGGCACACAGGTTTTTCACAATCTCTTGGAGAACAAACACGGGTAAAATACCTGTATTAACTAAGCCATTGTTCGACCGCAAGATGTAGTACATGATGAAGAAGGTTCTTGGCTACCACAGTGAAGTTGTTGTAGTACCTACTTCCATTGATTTGGCCAAGCGCATAGTGGTACAGTGGAATTTGCTTCTGCCTAAAATTCCAGTACTCACAGCAGCATTCTTTCGGTTTCAGGCACCCCTCAAAAAAAGTAAGTACCGTCCCCCTCGGTGTCCATATCCATGAACGCCTTTTCCACCTTCTGCGCGAAATCGTCACCGTAGAGCGTGTAGTCCAGCCAGATCGGAATGCCGTTCCCTATCTTCTCCCGAAACTTGTAGATGTTCTTCACATCCTCTTCGAGCCAGAGGAACATTGCTGTTTTTTAGTCGTGAATGAGTCTGGTTCCGTGCGCGCACGAGTTTTAAACTCGAGTACAACTTGTTCCTACCCTCATGCATAGTACACAGCGAAGAGCATCGTTGTACTAGGTCTAGATTGTATCACCTCATGATAATGCAAGCGAAGAAGGGTCGTCCTCGCGGCGGCGGCCACGAACAATTAAAACGTAACCGGAAAAAGTAGGCAGCATTCATATGTACTTATCGCTTCCCGCTTGTCTAGCACCGAGGGAATTCGTCGTGGGGACAAGGTGCGCGAAGTTCCTCGTAGGTTGCCCTTCATGGTGGTGAACCGACTGTCGGGTCGAAGTTTTGGATAGCTAATCTTCGCGTCGGTGTCAACCTTTGGCCGCGGGAGGGGCATCGGCCCCGTCCGAAACGGCACCAGCTTCTGTGGCGAGGCATTACTTGGGCCTTTCCGGGTGGTGACTGAGAAGATTTTGAAATCACTTCATAGTAGCTTCTGCTGCTGCACGCGAATAGGTAATGTTCCCACATGTTGCAAGTTGTAGCATCAATCTGAACGACAGAATGACTATATTCACATGCACTTTACCTTTCGGTTTTGGCGGCGTGTAAACTTCCTTCTTTGCTGGTTTTGCGGGTCGGGGCGCTGTCGACCCACTCGAGCCTCCTCCTTGCGCTACTGGTTTTGACGACGTTTTTTTCCGCGCATGCACTCCCGCCATCTTGCTTCCCCCAGAACCTGAAGACGGACGTAGACGTAGACGTAGAGGTCGTTGGATATGAAATGTAAAGAACATGTTGCTTTTCTTCAGCAGTACAGGGCGAAATGCAGCCCAGAGTCTCCTATGCACGCGAAGAGGTGGAAAAACTCGTAAAAATAAATTCATTTCAAAAATACTGGCTTTTCCTGACGACTCGGTAGTCGCGAGCAGCGATCCCACTGCAGAGGACACCAGATGGTTGGCCTCGCTCTCGGCTACTTCTTCCCGGGCAACCTCCGAGTTTTTAGAGGATTGGATCTGCTGCACCTCCACATCCGATCCACTCGGAATCATCTGCGGCCCACTCCCGATCTCGTCCGGCGGCGGGGCCTGCGATTTGCATGTGCACTCAGTATTATACTGGCATGTTTCTTGCTTGTAAAACTTCTTGCAGAATATCTCACAACTTCGACACAAAAGGAAGCTGGCTTAGAAGATTGCGTTAGATGAAAATTAAGTACGCTAGAGGCAGCTCCCGCGGCCGCAGCCTCCTCCGCGGGGGGTGGTTCGGCTTCAGATGCTGTTGCCTCTGCGGTTGCGGCGTGCATTCCCTCAGTCACGATGGCTTGCAGGTGCCGTCGGAAAGCAATGTACTTCCCAAACGTCGTGAACTCCTCCGCGCTCATCCCGTTTTTGAAGGTGCTGAGTGTGTACTTTCGAAATTCGCTCTCGGTGTCTTCTTCCACGGTTTTATTTGCAGGGAAGGAGCTGGTGCTCGAGGAACTACTACTGGAACTTCTCGATCCAGCCACGACACACGCTGCAGGTATCGCCTCTGCGACGAGGCCGCCGATCTTCCCGACCAGGTTGTCCTGGACCTGGTCGAAGGAAAGCGCGTCGCTTCCCTCGGGATCTGCATCTTGGTACTCCTGCTCGAGGGAGTATTCAAAGTCTGCACCTAGCACCTCCTCAAACCAGTCGAGGGACACGCCTCCGGACCGAAACTCGTCGAGGGTACTACCTGTCTTTTTCAGCAAGGCAGCCGCTTCGGAAGCTGACGCCGGCCCTCCGGCGGCCATGATGGATGCAGATATAGGTGGAGCTGCGCACTGTTCGTCGTTTTGCTCGAGCGGACGGGACGATTTAAGTTCTTAGCAGGCACGTTAAAGGAGGGGCAGCAATGTTGAGCCTAAGCCTATGGACTACAAGTACAACACTACATCACACAACTAGTTCGTATAAGATAATTGACGACAACATCATCGTCGCCAAAGTTCTTGCGCTCGTGGTTAACATCCTCTCGACTTCGAACAATCGCAATAGGATCTTGCTGTGCTGCTCTCCTCGAAAACTGGTACACAAAAATCGTCACTCAGTCCTTCATTCTCTCCAGCGAAGTAGCTGCGAGCTCTGGATCCGCCACGAGGAAGTTCATGAGGTTGATATTATCATTAGGAGATACGTAAAAAACGAAAAGGACCAAACGCTCGTTGAGTGCTACGGAACCTCGACAGATCGATGAACGAGGTAAAGTAATCCGTACGGGAGAAAATAAACTCCAACACGACAAATTCAATGCTGTCCGGCAGGGCTAAGTACATAGAAAATACGCGGGAACCTTAACAAACCTTTCTACTCCGTGCATCACAAAGAAAACCGCGATAACGAATGTGGGAAACCGAAACGGTCTAGAAACCAAAACCTGCCCTGTCACACACGCCTCCAAGTTTGCATTCTCATCAACTCTCTGCGAAGTAGAATCGTGGCTTCTTCATGCTTTGCAGACCAGTGGTCATACTTTTTTCATTACGACACAGCGCCAACACACGAGTTTCGACGAACAATTATCTAGTACACGATTTGAAACGGCTTCAGAGGAGAACAAGGTGAGGAGAAGCCTCGTTGGATTCCTCGGGCATCTTCGGATGTTGGGATGACCTTTTTCAATCCGATGCTGATATCGTATGTGTTTTGTTGTACCAGCATGTCGTCTTGTTAGTCCATAGGGGCGATTCCAATTTATAGACCTGGATCTGCTCTGGACCGTGTCGCTTTGTTGAGAATAATAAAATCTGATTCGTCTTTCTGCTCTACTTTCATTTCACAGAGCGTTGCTCTGGCTCTCAAATCTTTGCTTTTTCAGCCGTGATTGTCTGGACTAAGTTAGTGAGCACTTCGGTGCTCGGTACCTCAGGGAGCTCTCGCAACAATCTTTGCCGCCTGTCCGGGTCCGACTTCGTATCCAGGATTTTCAGCACCTTATCGTACAGTTCTACTCGCGCTTTCTTTTCCACAGCTGGCAGTCGGGCCATGGCCAGGTAGCTGAGCGCGACGCAACCATGGTCCGGACCGTAGAGACGCATGTAGATCTCCAAACTGCGCTGGTACGCATCCCGTGCCTGGTCTGGGTCTCCCTTTGCCCGATACGCCCTGTGATTAGTTGTATGTTGCAGATACAAAAAGTTGTACTAGACGCCTTACCACGATTGTTCACCAGTTATATCTTTTGAACTCTATCTGTTCAAACCATGCACCATAACCATGTTGTTTTCAAGTAAGCAGTTGCTGATGCTGATCACAAACCGAATCCTCGAGAAAACAAAAACATTTCCTTATTCGTTTGTACTGGCCAAGATTCTGGAGTATCTGGGCACACAAGCTGGTCGTCAAGTTTTGCTCGTCCCCTTTGGTTGTTTCGTTGAGCGCGTTTCGCATCGAAGTTATCGCCGAGTCCACGTCCCCGCTCTGCTTGCAAGCGAGTCCGAGGTTGGAGTAGATATTCGCCAGGTCGTCCCGGTACTTCTGGGTTTCCTCCTTGAGGCGCAACTTGAGGGCGAGTTGGGCCTGGAAAACGTCGCGCGCCTCCTTCGGCCGGCGGAGCCGCATAAAGCACTTGGCCATCCACTCGTGGGCCTCCAAATCCGCGGTTACGTCCACGACATCAAACTCGCGCAGGTTCTTGTTCCCCATCGCATGATCACCAGCCTGGCTCGTTCCGCTCGGTTCCTTATTTTCCTCGCCTTCCTCACTCGTGACCTCAAATACATCTCGCTTCGTTGGCGTTTCGGCGGTGCACGTAGCACCTCCTGCGGGACTGCTCTCATCCGGCTGATCTACTAGGTCGGCAACTGCTGATGATGAGGTCGCGGCACGACCCGTGGTACTACTTGTTGATTTTATTTCCGGCGATTGTTCTTGTGTGGGCGCAATTATGGGTTTGTTGTTCTCGAGCAAGACTGCCTCAAACTTGGAGATGGCGCCCATAACATCCCCCTTTTGGTACAGTGCTTTTCCTTCGTCGAGGTGGCGTCGCTTGGCGGCGTTGTGCGGATTTTGCTCCGCAAGTTTCACTGCCGTGTCGCTCTTGATCGTTTTCTTCATTTGCTTCTGGATTTCGTGTTCCGCCTTTTTCCGCCAGTCTCGAAGGACCTTGTCGAGTTCTTGTTTTGTTGTATCGGCGGGTTTACTATTTTTGCCCTCAACATCAGCCACCAGCGCCTGGAATCCTTTATCACTTAGCTCGAGACACTTTTGCCACTCTTGCAAGGCGAAGTGGGCCCGGAGCGCGTTGTGGTATCCTTTCGCGTTGAAAGCATCTTTTTGCACCGCGAGCGCGCCGTCGGCCGCGGCCTTACGATACTCTTCCCGCGCGTTGAAGCACATCGCGCGGTTGCTGTACAGCTTCGAGTTCTCGGAGCCGCCCGGCATTTCTATGGCTTTCGTAAAGTGGTCAATCGCCTTCTCGAAGCGCTTCCGCTTGTAAAAAAAGTTGCCTGCAAGCCGCTGGCTTTCCGCGTCAGAGCCACCACTTTCGTCACTCGACCAGTAGTCTTTTTCCTCGCGCCGTTTTGCTTGTTTACGCGTTCTTTCGCCATCTGCCTCGTCTGTCGCCCCAGTCGCACTGGCACTCACGGGGAGCTGCACGACTTGCGCACCCGAAGGAGCTTGCTCTGGAGCCGTCATGATAGTTGTTGTCGTTTGGAGAAATTATGTTGCCACTAGTAGTCGTGGTTTCTGCTGCAATTGTCTCGCCAAATCTAGGTACTACTTCTCAATGTGCCCATTTGTACTCAAGCGATACTTCTACGGAGGGGGGTACTTCGTGGCGATTCATGAAAGTATCTGAGACTCAAAAACCACAAACACCGTACTGACAGACCTGTTCCCGTGCAATCAATCTTCAAGTTGCGCCACCGTGATTACCGTCTGTCAACAAGATGATGAAGAACAAGAAGTGCAAAGCATCAGCGTTCTAACTAAGATCTATCAGAAAAAAAAGTGGGCTTACGTGCGATTTCAAGCACGAAGTATCCACGGAAGTTTGATTTTTGCCTCAATTCTGTTGAAGTTGAAGAAAGGATCGCGTTCGAGGACAAGGCGGACGATTAATTTGTCTTGCTGGTCCTACAATCAAACTTCTCGTGATGAACTTGTTGTTAATACTTCTTCTTTTTTGTTCAATTTTCGGAGGCGTTGAATCACCTGGTCGCGATTTGCCAGCAGATCGTCTTCCGTCAGCATTTGGCCCCGCTTCATCAGTTCCGCCGCTGCCAATGTAATGGGCTCCTGGATGCCCATCGAAGCAACCGCTTGCACCTTGCCGTCGACGCAAAAATAGGCCGCGAAAAACATGGAGTTTAGGTCGCCGCGAATCAAGATTCTCTTTCGACAAGGCGAGGAAGCAGCTGTTGTTCGTGCTGTGGTTGATCCCGAAGCAGGTTGCTGCGACAGATGAACTACTTCAACGTCAGGCCCGGCCCAGTTTATGTGACTGTGTACTTGCTGTGACGATGCTGTACTGCTTGATGTAGTTCCCTTGCTGGCCTGGCTGCTGGCACTCGTACTTGAGCCAGGTGCTGTGCAATAACCAGCGTACTTGATCGTTTTGCCACACACAACCGTCCAGAAGAAAGGAACCAGCTCGCCCTGCTCCAGAGCTTGCAGGTCCAGCATGGCGCGCGCCGCGAGGCGACCGTGCGTCTGCGCCAAGCCCCAATGCTCGATGCGCCGGCGCGCGGACCCGTCACCTGTGAGAACCGTAGCCACATCGCCCGCGGCGAACAAATCATCCGCAGAGGTGCGAAGAAAAGAATCCGTCAAAATGCTACCGTCCGAGCACTTTTCGATCTCTTCGCCGGAAACCATTTCCCCGTTTGGAACGATGCCCGTCGCCGCGATCACCAAATCACACGAAAGCGGGTAAGACGATGCTGTGGCCTCGCTGGCAGCGGTAGGAGTCACGGTCACGGTCGTTTTCTTCGTTGTACTCGCGCCAGCACGTCCAGCACTCGCTACTACGTTGTTGGCACCATCTCCGAAAACTTTTGCTTTGGGAACAAACTTGATGTCCTTAGTTTGCAACAGCGCCAAAATTCGTGCGCCAATGGCTTTGCCGAGGAGTCGTTGAAATGGAAACTCGTCGGGGCTCACGACCGTTACGTCACAGCCTTTGCGCTTTAATGCGCTGGCGCACTCGACACCAATGAAGCCCCCGCCGGCGATCACCACCTGCTCCTGCTGATTCGTCCGTTCTGCAATTGCAGCTGCGTCTGCCGCCGTCCGCAGAGGCAAGGCGCCCGGCACGGTTACACGCGGTCGCCCGCCCGTGCAAACCAGGCACTTGTCATACGGAAGTACGATTTGGTCCTGATCTGTTTCAGCAGCACCGCTGCTGCTGCCGCTCGTGGAGACCCCAACCTCCAGAGTGGTTTTAGACTTCACCAGCGTCACTTGTTTCGCCTTCGGGTCCAATTTCGTGACTGTGCAGCCCAAACGCAAATCCACGCCGAGTTCCTCGGAGTAGAAAGAGCGGTCCCGCAGCAGGAGTTCCCGTTTCCGGCGGAGCATGTTTTTGCTCAGCACCGGCCGGTCAATCGGCGTGTTCGGCTCTTCGGAGACCAGCACGATCTCGCCCTGAAACCCACTCGCGCGCAGCTCCTCGATGCAGGAGGCGGCCGCGGCGCCGCCGCCGACCAGGAGGAAGCGCCGAGGATCTTTCGTGAAGTCCAAAACCGCCCGTTTCGGCAGCACGAAGTCCGGCTCGTGGTTGGTGGGAATGTCCACGTACACCGCCTCTTCGACGAGCTTCACCTTGTAGACCGGAATCGCGTCCAGGACCGGGCCCCGGACCGGGCGCCCGGTGCGCAGATCGAAGGCCGCGTCGTGCCAGGGACACGTGATCGTGTGCTTATCCACCACGCCGTGGTACAGCGGCGCGCTGTAGTGCGAGCACGAGGCCCCGACGCAGTAGATGCGGCCCTCCGTGCGCGCGAGCGACACGACGGTCGGCTCATAGTTGGTTTGCGGAAACTCCACCCGGTGGACCGTGCCGTCCTGGAACTCGGCGACTTGTCCCGCAAACTTCCACTCGCACAAAACCGGCGGACGTGGACGGTGGCTGGTTTTGGTGGAAAAAAAAGGGAACAACCTTGGTCCCCTCGTCGTTGATGTGGGATCATGACTGCTGCAGCTGCTCTTGGTGCAGCTGTGTACGAATCCACTGTAGCTATTCGTCGTGCCGTCGTGAAGTTGTTGTGATTGTCCCCGTGGTAATGATCTTCTTGGAGTAAACCAAAAGCCTGCATTGCGATGTGTCCACGTCCGACCTGCCGAAGGTCCTCGTGATACTGATTCATCTTCTACTGCGTGTTCGTTTTTCTTTTCCCTCGTTCTGTTCTGCCCCTGGCAACTGCTCGCATACACAGACACAGATGTGCCTGCTGCACCCGTGAGCTGCACTGCTCTGCAACCGCGTGCATAGTACGAATGCGTCCATGCCATCACAACTTTGAAGGAAAAAACGCGAAACCGATCCAAGAAGGCAGCCGTCTCCTGCAGTCCTCATTTACTGCACCTGTTGCGCTTGTGCGTAGTACGCGCAAATGTTTTTCTTGCGCTGAAATAGTTTCGGGTTATCTTGATCTTTCCTCAAAAAAACTCTCTCTCTGAAGAACACGACGGATCGAACTCCCGTTGAAAAGGAGAATATGCTCCGTCCTGTCGGAATAAACCAAGTTGATATTAGACTCTTCTTTCAAAATTTCTATTTCGCACGGGAAACAGTCACACTTGTTCTTACCCTTACGGGAGATGAAAACCTTGATTTTGTTGCGCTCTTGGAATACATTATTAGGGGAGATACTTACTGTTATAGTCTGAATCTATTGTCCAGGGAACAAAAAAGCTACTCTACTACACGAGTATCAAAGGATGAAGAAGGGTGGACAACTCTATTGGAGAAAAAAATATCAGGTGAAGGGTAGTTGTAGAAGCAGAAAAGTAAAGACATTGCCTGTCCTTTCACCAAAATTTGCCCTTGCCTTTTCGATTCGGGCGCGCAAAACCCGTCATTTCTGCCCACTTGCCCTCGGCCCGCCTCCGGTGGTAGTGGGCGCCCTTTTTGACGCCCTTCCCCTTTCCCCAGATTAACCGCCCCTTTCGCGACGGCGGTGCTCCCTTGACCCAAACGGGAGCGTCCTTGTAACTGAGCGCTCCCGCGTCGACCCAGTTGGACCCGAAGGTTCCCCCCGTGAAATTCACCATCCCACCTCCCAGGATGTTTCCCTTATAGCCCCCAGCGAACCTTGGCAGGTTTTTGGCGAACCCGCAGGACCGGCCCCGCTCCGCTTCGGAAACGAGGCAATGCAGGTCCCCGTTTGTCCCCTGCGGCCCGATGAGCAGGAGCAGGCAGGGGTAAAACACCAAAGACATCAGCGCCGCGTACAGAATGGTGAAGAACATCGCGGCGCCGAGGCGCGTGAAAACGGAAACGTTGCAGAGGCGCCACAGCACCAGCGCCGTCGAAGCGGTTGTGACGAAGCCGGCCACGATCGACGGGCCCATCGACTGCATCGCGAATTGCACGCGGGGCCTCCGCCCGTAGAGCCCGTGGTTCCGTCCCCCCTCAATGTAACCGGTGCTTAAGTGCAGGATGTAGTCCATGGTCAGGCCAATCGCGATCAGCACGGCTAAGCTCTCGACGAGCCCGAACTCGGAGTCCATACTAATCAGCGTGGCGACGACCATTTCCACGACGAAAAACGCGACCAGGTTCGCAAAGATCGTCACGATCCAATTCCGCGTGGCCAGGAGGACGGCGAGGAACACCAATGGGGTGGCCCACGCGATGCCGACAAAGTAGGAGATCGACACTTCCTTCATCGTCTCGTAAAACTGATAGCCCGTCGAGTACTGGTGCGCAAACCCCGCCTTCGCCGGCGCAATCAGGTTGAAATGGTCCAGAACACTCTGCACCGCTTCTGAAATCCGCTCGGCGTCGTCAAAGGGGATGTGCCGCAAAGAGGAAAAGGGGACAGAAAATTTCAATCCGTACATGGCGAAATTAGCCGAATTGATCCTGGTTTCGTCAAAATATAATCCGCCTCCGTCCTCGGTTGTGGACAGTAGAACGGGTACTTGGTCCGCGTCTTTATTCCCGTATTTCGCCGGGGGCTGGCAGGCGGAGGCACCGCTGCTCCAGGTGGTCGAGCCCCAGCACTGCGGACCGGTAACGTCGTCGCTTTCCAGTTTTCGCGCGGCACGCACGAATTGGTCCGTCCACGCCGGCCCCTGGTACACCGTGGTTGCGTCGGGCCGCTGGAAAAAGGCCGACTCGCCGCTGGCGGGGCCCCCTTGCGCGACGCGCTCCGTTGCGTAGGCCCGGTGGTAACCGCGAACCAAAGTCGCTCCGCCGGCCAACTGCCGTTTGGTTAAGAGGAAGCTCGCTGTGCTATCATCTTCGGAGGACTGGTAGTTGACGACGGGCAACGTGGTGTAGTCAAAGTCTTTGGCAAAAATGGTTTCTTCGGTTTGTTGCTGCACGACCTCTAGCACTGTGCGAAACGGACAGCGCAGGCTGTTGTCCACAAACGAATCCGTTTTATCGTTGAAGCTAGTCTCTAAACGTTTCCCCAGCTGCAGAATGTGGCGCACACTCTCGGGCGCGAGCAGGTCCACGGCCGGGTTTTTGTTCAGTTGCGGGTAGTTTCCGGAACTTTCGTCCCACTCCGGCAGCCACCGGGAACTTACGGTGGAGTCGCCCCCTTCGACCCACACCTCCTCCCTCACCCCCCAGAACACGTAGACCGTGTGGTTATTATTGGAAGACGGGAAATGGTGCCCCACCTCGTCCAAAATATCGCGCTCGTTGTACATGTGGGTTTCCGGGAAAAAGGACACGGGCTTCTCCGGGTAGTCAATCTGGCCGACGACGACGAGAGAAATGATCACCAGAATCCCCATCCCGAGGACAATCCCCATCGCCGGCGGGTAGCTGCACGCCGGGGTCGCGCGCAGATCCGCGTGCGCCGGGTTTATGTCCTCGTACGACTTGCCGAACGTTCCCGTGTACAAACCGCATAGCTCCTTCATGAACTTCGCCTTGGCCGAACGAAAATTTTCGTAGTAGTAATCGTTCCGCACGCCCCACAGGTCCTTTTTCGGCAGCGCGGAAAGGAGCGGGGAGGCGTGGAGGTACTTCAGGTAAGCGCTGAGAACCGCGGGCGCCACCACGACGGCCAGGAAATAGTCCGCGGTTAATAAACATGCCGTCAACAACCCGAGGTGGACCACGCCCGCGAAACTGCTGCTCAGCATCGCGAGGAAGGCGATGATAGTGGTGAAGGAGGTGGTGAAGATGCTCTTGTTGCTCCGGCGCAGCGCGCGGCGCAAAGCGATGTAGATGCGCACCTCTGTGTAGGCGGCTGGCCGGCCGGCGTTCAGGCCGTACTTGAAAGACTCCCGGGCCTCCCAAGCCAAGTCCGGATCATCGGTAACCGCCATGTATTACAGTGAAAAGTGCCCCCCCACCCCTGAAATTGTGATGCGAAGTTTCCACATGAAAACTGTTTGTGATGCATGAAAGGACTATGAATCTTTCTGATGCAGAGCCTAGGCGTGTATCGCATCGCTTGCATGACAAGCGCCACCCTTGCTGGGGTCTTTTGCAATACAAATTTTCGCTATTCACGATTGGAAACCTGTCATGCTGATAGATGCAAGAGGGCGAGTGTTTCATTTGGAAAGGTTTGCAATACAAATGCTCCCAAGTTCGGGGGTGGGGGCATTTTTCATTGTAATACCATGGTTTGGAGCTTCGCATCTCCGTCCGGAACGTCGTGTCGCGCGTCCGGCAGCTCCTGTCGTAAAGTTTCGAACAGGACAAAGAAGTCGTCCGTGCCAACGGCGAAGAGGACGAAAAACGCAAAGTACATCACCGGGTCGAAGTAGCTCCGCCAGCAGACGTAAAAGTAGAGAAACATCCCCAGGCACAGGCTCGACAGCTGGAGTAAGAGCAGGTTTAAAATGCAGAAGGGGCTGAAGGTGAAAGCGTAGGTGATCACCACGATCGCGATCAGCGTGAACGGCAACCCGACCGCCACGTCGCGCGTCGCGAGCGCGTTGAGTTCTTCCCGGCTGCAGGCGGAATCGTAAAACCGGACCTGATAATCCAGGCTGTTAGGAAATTTATACCATCCCCCGTCGTTATTTAGGCGCGGGGATAAACCGGAGGCATCCGCGTCCGTGAAGGTCGATGCGAGCAAATCGTTCAGCCGTTCGCAGTAGTCGATGGTGAAATTGCTTTCCCGCGCGAACGTCGTCATCCCGGTGGAGGCCACGACGCGGAGGGTAGTTATCAAATGTAAAAATGTCTGGGTCTGGAAGAATGCGCGATTTGTCATGCTGCTTTTCCATGACCCGTGAGGTCTGGAATGCAGGACCTAGCATGACAGATTCTGCGACACTTCTCTAATGCCTATCCTGCATGAGAAACTCCCTCCCGACTTGGTCAAAACTGGACGACTTTTGGTAATCACGCAACACAGATTTTTGCATGCTGCGGATTTAGCATGACAAGTTGCAATCTTCCAGACCCAGACATTTTTACATTTGATAGTAGTTTGGGCATTACTATCTCCGACAACCGGCATTGCTTGTACCGTGCTGAGCGTTGGATCAATGGCGCCGACGGTTTCACAGCTGAGGATGTCGTCGATTTGGTCTTGCACCGCCTTCCAGTACGACGCTTCCGCGGCCTCGCGCGCCTGTAAATAGTCGGTGGCATCCACGTCCAGATTCGCCAAGTAGGGCTCCATTTTTTCCTGCTCCAGTCCCCCCTCGCCCCAGAGCTGGGACGAGGAACTACTAGAGGCCAGCCACGCGAGAAACCCGATCCGACTGCGACTGTACACGAACCGCAGAAAGTAAAAATCCTTTCCCAACGGGAGGCTCGGCGAGCGCTGCAACGCGCCAAATAACGTCGTCTCCAGCTTGCAGGCAGCCCTCAAAAAGTTCCCCGATTGCAGGAGATTGTTGCCAGGATTATAGCTGATGTCCCGGTACAGGAGAAAGGGCTGCTGCATCAGCGTGGTCGCGTTCTTTTTGTCCCGGGAATCTGCGGAGAAAGTGGTGTAATCTGGCCCGTTGCTCGCTTCAAGCCCCTCCCGCCGCCGCAACGTCTGCATGTAGGCGAAGCTGTGTTCATAGTCCACCGGCGGCTTCCCCGAGTCCTCGTCTTTTAAATGTGAAAAGTAGGCCCGTGCGGCGTCGAACCCGTTGAAGCGCAGGTCCGTGTCGTTCCCGAGAAAAATGTCAGCTTCGGAGACGCCGGCCTGCGCGGACGTCGACTTGGGAAACCCGAGCGTCTGCTGGGGCAGCGGGATTTTCAACCTGCCGTCCCACATGGTCCCCGCTTCTTCCCTCCACATCTGGTTCAGCGCCAACCGGATCTGCACCAGGGGAGATTCCAACGGGGCGTAGGACTATTACAATGAAAAATGCTCCCACCCCAGAACTTGGAAGCATTTGTATATGCAAACCTTCCCAAATGAAACACTCGCCCTCTTGCATCTATCAGCATCACAGATCGCCAATCGTGAATATGGTGTCCAGACGACAGAAGTTCGTAGTTCGTAGTTCTATGACGGCACGCAAGACACAAGAGTTTCGAACATCGAAAGACTAGCAAAAGAGGAAGCTAAGCAGCTCAATGTCCGAAGTATTCGACTTCAGTCTATCCCTGTCGACCTGTAAAAGGTTAGCATCAAAAGATGAGGAAGAGTTTTAATTTGGAAACTTCGCATCACAAATCATCGAAACTTTGGCGGGGTGGGGGAATTTTTCACTGTAATAAGGAGAGCAGCGTGTTCCTCCAGTCGTCCGCGTCCACGAGGCTCGAGTCTACGCTGGAAATAGCCACCAGGCCGAGGCCAAGTAGGGTGAGAAAGTACGTCACTCCCAGCACCACAAAGGGAATCTTCGCCGCCGCGGCGCAGATCGGCCTCTGAACACAATCGCAAATGTACATTATCCTGTTGCCGCAAAAGTTACTATGTGTCTGACTGATAGTACACTAATCTGAGTGAAAGCATTGTCGTCGTGGTCGTTTGCTTTGATATAATTTTTGAGACACGATGGGTAAGAGTATCGGGTAAGCATAACAAAAACTTCTGGCGGTGGTCCTTTGACAGAATCTATTTGGGCAGCTACAGGCTAAGAGAAACAGTGCAGGAGCAACGTTCTCAACATAATCCTCAAATGGGCACGGCGATAAACATGGACAAGCAGCATAAGTACGAAATAAAACAACGCCTAGTAATCCACGAGCACGACCACGCACGAAAACGACGTCCAAGATTGAGTATAGTAAGTACAAACGTAAGTACTTTACGAAGCGCTTAGTGAACGACAAAAAGGAAGAACGAATTCCAAATTATTTCCTGTGGAGAGCAGTAGTATCAGAGTTGTAGATGGAGGACGAGACGATGGTAGTAGTGAGTCACGCAACGAAGAGAACGGACAACAGAGTGAAGCTGAAGACGTACGATGTTCTCCAGAGGACTAGGACTATCTATGCATACCTCGAATTTGACAACAAAGATGAAAAGTCGATCACAGGCTTATCTCGCGGAAGGATACAATGCTCCCCCAGCATCAAGCATGCTAGCTCGCATTCCTGCGGTATCATGGTCCATCAATCAGCAGCGGCGAGAGAGAGAGTCCAAAACAACGCGTTCGCAAATCTGTCACAAAAAATCAGGACTGATTCATTACAAAAGTTTCTGTACGCGGAAGAAGTGTTTTAGATGCCATACTTGCCAAATGCTGGTTACCAAAATGAGGAAAATCATGCCCAGGTTGACGGACATCATAGTGGAGATGGCGGATTCCAATAGGTACTCGAACTTCGCCAATTGCTTCTTCTCGTACTCGTTTTCGGCCGCAATCAGATCGGTCTGCGAAACCGACTCCTTCAGCAGCGCGTCGAGGGTGTTGATGTCCTTGGCCTTTACCAGCCCCCGCTGCTCATATAGACAGTATGGAAACGAGAAAACAGACGAAGTTTGCTCCTTGCTCACTCGCTTTTTACCAACATGAACCAGGGAAGAGCACCACAACTGTAGTCCTGCTGTGGCACCGATTGCTGTAACCACGTAGTGATTTTTCCTATCGCGTGGAGTAGACGTAGAAGATGACCTAGAGTATACTTAGACTTACTTACCACCTCCTTGAACCTGACATACACAAAGTCCTGGCGACGCTTCAGTATTGAGCAGAAGCGGTAATGTTGACTTTGCATTTCCCTATGTTTGCGATGTTGCTGGCATCGGCATCCTCAATTGCTGCGGTCTCTAAGGCCACAGTCCACCTGCTCTTCAGCTGGTTTCCCCACCAGTTCGTCTCTCCGCAGATTACTGAGAACCTTCGCGTTTATTTGTGCATACCGTCACTACCATGAAAGGTCTCCATCGATCGCTGCAATTGAGCCTGATCGTCATCCTGATCTACTTCAAATGACATATTATAAGCAGAAAAAATCGCTCCTACACCAAACAAACTAGTTTTACCCAGTAAGGGCCTTAGGTCTAGCAAACGAAACAAACTTATGTACGAGTGTTCTCCTTCCATGTTGGTCAAGATGCTGAACTTGCCCGCAGACTCGCCCTTGTCGTTGGGGGCCACGTTTTTCGTGTTGCGGACGACACCGTTGGTGTCTCGGAATTCGAGCCGGCAGTGCGTGGCACGGTCCTCGCTCACCGTGTACTTCACGCTGAACACTTGGCCCTCATCGAGGACTTTCACGAATGTTCTCGTCTGTCCCTCGCTCAAGTAGAAGTACGCACCTTTTTTTCCCTCCTCCACGGGGTCCGAGAGGGCGAGTTGCAGAGAGGCCGGCTTGGCCACTTGTTGCAGCATTTGTGTTGTACCCGCGGGCTGCAGCTCGGGGCCGGCGGCCGCCGCGGAGTCCTCGGAAGAGGTAGAGCCTCTTTGGTTGCTCCGCCCACCGCCACCCAGCGCGGCCACAGCGCCGCTGGCCACGAGGAAAAACCTCTTCCACAATCGCGGAAACCGCATGGGACTAGCGCGCAATGCTTGACGGTGCTGCGCTCTTGTTAGTGTTGCTGCCACACCCGATTTTGGTCCTGCAGGTCGGTTTCGCTTACTTGGGTGCTTAAGGTTCTTTTCTACTCGCACATTTTTTCGATTTTCCTTAACGACATTTTGGCGGTGCCACGAGGGTGAAGTGAACGCTGATAATGTCCTGAACCTCGACAGACTCCAGCATGCTGACGTCGTGCGGCTGCAGGACGCAATTGGTGCTTCTTGTTCTGCAGGAAAGCCTCCCTCTTTGTTCCCGTGCTTGAGACGCACAAGACTTGACTGCGTCAATCCATCGTCACCAGTCGCGCAACTTGGTTGACGCAACGCGTTAGTTGCTGAAGTCGGGCGGTTAAAAAACGAACGCACTCTGTAGTTACTGCTCCTGGACCGCACCTCGTTGTCCATAATGAGACCTTCCATATCCATCGGGCACAGAAAGAAAATCGATGCTGGCACCTGTACAACACGAGACTAATGGGCTCACTTCCGTCTAGGTCATTCAAGACTTCTACATAAACGAACTACAACAATGCAACCGTTTTACAACTACACCCTTGCGACGGTTGAACTTTGTTTTTAGGGTTTAGGGTTTATCACTTGATGTTGATCTTGCTACTTTATGTATGCGTAAATGGTAAAAAAGCCGATTTGTTTTAGCAGCACCAGCAAAAAGAAAGAAAGTGAAAGATGATGATCCATGAAAAACAAAGCAGCTCTGACAAAATGGAGCGTTGGAAAAAGCATGGAGCGGAGCCGACACACAGGTCAGATGCTGGGTCGCTCCTGAAACACACGGCGCCGGAGCGCAGCTCATCAGAGCATGATTGAAGCGAGCCTTTTCTTGTGATCCCGAATCATCACTCTCGGGCCGAGTAAAGCGAAAACCAGAAGCCTCGTCTGACCCTGACACCGAAATAAATGCTTCTTCTGCTTTTTCATTTTCGCTAACTGCGCATATGCTGGCAAGCAACTACAAGAATAGCTACGACGCCACCTCTGCGAACACACGAATCAGTAGTTCGCACTTAGTACATGACGCGGCAAATCTAGGTCGTTATGTCCACGGTAAATTGTTGCAGTGACTGACTATTCCGAGCACAGCGTACAAGGCTGTCCAATAGAGAAAAAACGACTGCAGGTCCGGCCGTAGCGCGAGCCAATAGAGTATTGGACTGGAGGCCCAGGCGAGTCTCGTAATTGTTTCCACATGCGCGTTCAGAAACACAAACGTTACGAGAAGAATCGTGTGAAGTTCGTACTTCAAGAATGGGTCCCGCACCATGCGAAGTAGCAGGCGTTCTCGCTTGGTGATGCTCTTTTCTTCACCGCTTTGAGGCTGAAAACACGCAATCAGCTTTTTCGCGACGGCCGGCGCCACGTAGCCGTACACCATCCACAACATCGGCCCAGCCAGGAAGAAATTTGGGAGTTTGCGCAGCTGCCAATACCGCAGAAACCCGTTATTCCAGTACTTTTCCTGGACGGTAGCATATGCACTCTGCAGCCGAAACTCCGGCAAGAAGAGCCACCGGTCTGCCGTGGACGACGCCTCATCGAAAAGAACGCCACTGGTGGAAGGAACTTTGTGGGAAAAATCAAACCGCTCGGCTGCAAAACCCTCTACCAGCAGAAACGGCAGTACTGCTGCCGTGGCAAGAACCGTGAATCGCATCCACTTCCCACACAATGGATTGGAATCTGGATGTAATGCGATGAGAACCAGACTGAGAATTCCATTTGCCCGAGTTGCGGACGCTAAGAAAAAGCCAATGGCCGGTAAAAGCACGTTCACGTTCGACCCTTTCTCGAGCAGCCAGCAAGCGGTGAAATGCGCAGCTGCGTAGCTACTTTCCGAATAGTTCACGACGAAGAAAACCAAGGCGGGGTTGACGCACACCCAAAACCACAGCTTTTCATGCAGCCGCACTATCGCCCCAAAGTCGAGACTACTGTTTTCTCGTGGCTCGCTTGCACCAGGCGAAGCTGCAGGTGGTATCGACGTCCTTGTGCCTTGTTCACCACTGGCTGATACTCTACAGACTATAGTTAATTTCAGAAGCGCAATGCCGATGACGACCGACAAGAGCAGGTTTAGCACCACTCCGCTCCACGGCAGGGTGAGCGGCGTCCAGCTTGCGATTTCTCGAATCACGCCCGGGAAGAAGGGAAAAAAAGCCAACTGCGGCTCTTCTCGGTAGCCGTCTTGCGCAACCGTCAGGAATTGCGCACTGTCCCAGCGGGTAAACGCCCTTTCGTGCCAAGCTGCACCATCATATCTTCGAACACTAGCATCAGGCACATGGTCGGGAAGAAAGTAATCCGCCAATAAGCAGCATAGGACGAGGACGCAGCGTGGCAAAAGAATACCTTGAACCGCAGCAATCAGACCGGTGTCCTCGCGCAGCCGAAACCACATTTGTTCGTCAGTGTCAGGGCTGCTACAGTGAAGATGACGAGAAGAGGCTACACCATGATCTTCCCTCCAGGATGTGTTCTTGTAGAAACGCATTTGAAGTGCGATCACTTGATAAAGCGAAAGCCGCAGTGTGAACACAAAACAGCAAATGGAGGCTTGTATGTGCAGCTGCAGACGGGACTTTCAAATGATCTGATCTTCATGTCTTGCTTCACGCACAAGAGGTTTTATTGGTTTATCAGTTTTACCATGCATACACGTGGAGGTCGTGCCTATCCGCACTAGGCACCACAACCGCATGATAGCTTGAAAGGCAACAGAAGGAAGAGAAATAATGCCTCTATCTATGATTTGTTAAGTAGATGTCATGTTATGACCTTACCGCAAGACGGATGTATGTGTAATCATTAGAGCAAAAATCCCAGTAAGTTTCGTTTGTAATTGAAATTGTATGCAAAAAAAAATAACGTCCTTGAATCTGAAGATGAAAGTATAAGTTTGAGTATGTAGCAGAATAAATGCGAAAACAACTGAAAATTTTTTTGCCAACTCATGTTCCTTCGTAAACTCTCGGTGCCGGCAAACACCAGGTAGGTCGGTACCAAAAACTCCCGCCCGAGGGTAATTTGCTTCGCTCATTTCATCATGTAAGCTCCACTGTGCGCACACTTGTCACAGAAGAGTTGTCTGTGCATGGTCATGACCGCAAACTCCGTGTTGTTGTAAGGCACAACCCCGATCGCCTCGATCTCATCGGGTTCGTACAGCACGCTTTTGCTCGCTTCCTTCAAAATGAAGATCTTGTTTGACTTCTTCAGGAAGAGCACTTGCACCTGTTAATATGGGATAAGAACCACATGATCATTGTCATTCTATGACAAACTGGTGCCTACTAACTTCATCGGTATAATTTCCTTCAAGAATACGGTATTGCTTTATTGAAAGATCTGACCCTTGTAGAAATGAAAAATCCGAATCCCTATCAATCTGTATGACGAGGTCGTACTAGAAGGGGACAATCATGAGCATGGGATAACTGCACAGGCCACAAAACAAACCATACTAAGTAAAAGTACCTCCTTGTTCTCGACGTGCGATAGAATGGTTATTTTGTTCGCCTTGTAGGTAACCATGAGTTCCCGCACGAAGCGCGAAATGGTTTCGAAGAACTTCAAGCCCCCGTTCACCCGATCCGCCAGCTGTACACGGCCGGCGTTTTGCGTAAACTTGAACTTCGGCACGGGCGCCTTGGGTTGCATCCACAGGATGGCGTTCGCGGGGGTGTTTTCCGCCCATTGCATGTATATTGTGCCGAAATTGTCCTCCTTGTAACAGAGGTAGCACCCCACACCGCAGGCCTTCAAGTCCGAAATGTCGGCGCCTGTTTTTAGGTGAGGGATGTTATCAAATGTAAAAATGTCTGGGTCTGGAAGAATCCGAACTTGTGATGCTGCATTTGGATTCCAAAAAAATCTGTATTGCATAAGCAGCAAAGGGAATGCAATTTTGGCTACGGGGAGAGGGCATTTGCCATGCGGAATGGGCATCACAGAGCCCTCAGAAAGTCTGTGATGCTAGGGCATGCATCACAGACATCATAGCCCATGCAAAACGTGCATGACAAGTCTCAGAATCTTCCAGACCCAGACATTTTTACACGTGATAGATGTGGAGAACGCGCAACGAAGTGCAGGCGCAAGGTAAATTTCAAATCGAATCGACCGCAAAACCACATAATTACATACTGAAGTAGTGCGATTAATATAGTCCAAGACTTTACTTACCTATGAAGGCCATGATCATGAAATCATCAAAAAAGCCGAAGTAAATTTTTACCGTCTCCTTTTGCTCTGGCGCCGTCCGCTTTCAAGCCCCTCATGGCTTCGTCCGAGAAGCCTTCCGAGAGGGCAACCGCCCCCCCTGCGCCCGGAGTAGCAGGACCCAGAGAGAACATCGAGCCTTCCCGGGCGACCCGGCCGTGGGGAGAGCCCACGCCCGCGGGCTCCTTCGCTCTCTCCTCCCTCGCCGCGGTGGGCGAAATTTGCAGCCCGGCCACCGAGCTTCGCTTTGGAGTGCCCGAGTACGCGGAGGGCGTCGGAGGTCCTTCCGTCGCGAACGACATTGTCATCCGAACGTACTTCTCAGAACGCCAACGCTGGTAAAACGGGAAAGTGAAATAAAAGTTTTTGTTTTTGAATGTGAACAAACCTTAATTCGAAGAAAATACGGGGACAATGAATCGAAAAGTAAATACTTTTGACAATGACGCCACCTGTCTTGTTGAGAGTACATCAAGTGAAGAGCTGCGAAAGCAAGTTCTTGGTGATCTATCGACCGAAGTTGCGCTTGCGGCAAAACGCGCAAACGGATTGGGCACATTAGGCGATGGCGAACCAGCTCTGGCTTTACGACAGAAAAGTAGATCAGCACGTTCAGGCACGAAAATTCGGACCGACTGTCTAGGAAGAGGCACATCGTCAAACCGAAAGCTCACATCGCGAAGGCGACTGACCTCCATTTCATGTGTGCATGTCGAAATACCGAGGTGGAGGTATAAAGGGCTAATCAACCTTCGAAGCCACAAAATTTACCGACTTCGTGTTTTGGAAAATCAAACCGACAGCCCATCATCTGAGGGGATTATTAAACAGGTCACGTGTTCATGCTTGCTGTCCGACGCGGCACTCGTCGTCAAATTTGACGACATCTTAATTCTGAGAAGTAGAGTATGCGCATAGTTTCTTCATTCGAGTAATGGAAGATTTGGTTTCGTTTTCGATTTTGTGTTAGTTCATTTGTTTGTGCTCGATGCGACACAGGAGTCAAGAAGAACTTCCGCCAACGCGACTTGAGGGTCAACCTCAAGGATTTGTGGTCTTATGCAAAATGTAGCTTTACCTTCTATGTTTACACTTTGGTCAACACAAAAATCGCAATATGCGACAAAATAACCCAGTACCCTGGTAGCTGGACGATCTTCTACCGTCACTATTTGTAGATGATTTTCGCGCTGGACTTTAGTCGTACGGGGTCGTCCTGCGCCGCGGTTTCAAACTCGACGACAGAGATGGCGTTTTCCCCGGGCTTCAGCATCACGCCCGGGAGGTACAGGGTGTAGATCGGGCCTGCCGAGTTCCAGTATCTGCCAAGGTGCATGCCGTTCACAAAAACCACTCCTTTGCCAGTCGGAGACGGTGCGTTTGTGGAAAAAAGTGTTCGCATGTCCAGAAATGTGTCGGCCAAGAGCTGCGTCGCCGGGTCTTTCGGCTCTGGAACCGAAAAAAAACCGGAGTAAATCGCGGGAAGTCTTGCCGTGGTGTCTGCGCTTGATGTAGTTTCCTGCTCCCGCTCTTGCTCGTTGCGCTGCCGTTCAGGTTCGTCCTCGCTTTGCTGTACTTGCTCGGTTTGTTCTTCAAGCTTTCTGCTCATTTGAACGACTACGTTGTTCGACTCCTGTATGCTGGACCCAGCTGCAGACGTAGTTGCTCGCTCTGCAGCGTTTTGTCGGTCCATGAGAGGCCAAATGTATCGCATTTGCGCCTTGGTAGTGTTGAAGGCCGCCATCTGGGCCGTGGCACGCTGTTGTTGTTTTCCACTCGACCATGTCGTCGTTTTAATCGATGCCGCCACAAACTCTTCGTGCTGTGCCGATATCTTGTCGAAAAGTCCTTTGCACAAATGCAACGTACCCGCCGCAGCGGCTTTGAAGCCCGAAATCTGGAACCCCTTCCGGTCCTGCAGCATTTGGGGCGAGAAGTTTTGCCGGCCGTAATTTTCCACGACGAAATCAATTATCCTGTGCAAAAGTATCGTACTCGTAGTAATTACATTCATGCATTACAAATCTTGCTCTTAAGCTAAATCCGCATTACAAATTTTATTTCTCATGCTGAGGAAACTTGTAATGCATTTATACGAGTACGATACTTTTGCAGTGCATATCAATTTCCGCGTGGCAATCTTTCTTTTCGATGTGGAACTCCGCAGCTCTGTTTTGATTTTGATTTTGTAAAAGATAAAGATCAAGAAGCACCGCATTAAATCGGACAAGCAGTACAGTACTTCTTCAGCAAAGCCCAATTTTGCGCTCCAAACAGAAGTTCAAATCAGCAAACGCAGCAGTTGTATTCTAGAGTTGAGTACCCACTATCTTCGCGGTCGACCCAGCGGATGAGGTTTCCGCCGACAAAGACGTAGACTCGGTCGTTGGCGTTTGTGATTTTGAACGAACGCTTCGAACAGCCGGAGGGTGTGGAACGGTACAGGAAAACGTGATCGAATACGTCGTGCTCGTGTGCAAACAGGTCCGCATCCACCGCCGGTGGGAGTGCTTGACACCGGGCACCGTCACTCACGTCGACCTAAAATCAAATTGACCGTTTGTTTGAATCAACCCGGCTCTTGGTGATCATTTTTGAGATCTTCATCTTCTACGAGGGGAGGGAGCAGATTATACATATTTGAATGCGGAAACTTCATCAAAACAATACCGCCTTCAGCAGCGAATATGACTCCTTCTGCAGGACGATATCTGGGTACACGGTCGGTGATGGCAGCAGGCTTCCTGACCTTGATGAAGATGATGTCCTCGTCCCGACTGGAGCACCAGGAGTTTTCCTTGATGCGATTTCGTTTTTGATTGCCAGAAATTTGTCTTCATTATCCGATCCGATGCCGTGGCCGCCGTCCTCCGCGATCGGCGCGTTATAATCGTAGCTGGTCACCTGCGGTTGCCCGAGGTATTTTTCCTTCAGCCAGGACTCCGATTTCAGATTCAACCCGTTCGTGAAGCCAAAGTTCGTACACCCGAAGGCCATGTAGAGGTTGAAATTGGGCAAGGACTTCATCGTGCTGATCATCGTTTTCGCGTCCGTGGTGGCGAAGTTGGAATCTTTCCAGGCCGTCATCCACCCCGTGTAGTACTCGGACACAAACTCCGGCGACTTTCCCGCCTCGTTCCAGTGGCGCATGTTCATGAAACTGATGCGCGGCGACCAGATGGTCGGCCCGAAATCGCCCACGTGGTACACGTGCTTGGTGGCGTCGTGGATGCCCCCGGCGTTCAGGAGCAAGTAGTTGTCCGTGGTGTAGTACTGCACTTTCGTGCCCAGGTGCCTCTGCTGCTCGCTCAACGCCCAATCTATCCTGAGTAAAAACGTACCCACACCATAGTCAAGATGGGGAATCGGCTAGACAAGTCCACAAGTTTTGGCTGTTTTGCATGACAAATTTGGATTCGTAGTGCAGTGCTGTTTGAGCTAGCTCAGCAGCATCACAGATCTAGCATACCATGCTGATTGGAGCATGACAAATTGCAAAACACGACTAGAAAATGCTTCTCATGGGGCTCCGCATGAGAAACATTTTCAGCATGCAGATTTGCATTACAACTCTGGTGTGGGTACGTTTTTACTCAGGATACAATCCATGTATTTCTTATCCTCGTCCGACTTTTGCACGTGCCCTTTGCATTTTGTGCAGGAAATCTAGCCCGGTCCTGGGACAAAAATTTCGGGCGGCTAACCTCCCTTTGCATTTCAAAAAGGGAGGCTAGCCCGGTCCCTGGGCAAAGTTTTCGAATGGCTAACCTCCCTGTGCATTTCAAAAAGAGAGGCTAGCCCGGTCCCTGGGCAAAAATTTCGGGTAGCTAACCTTCCTTTGCATTTCAAAAAGGGGAGTTAGCTCCTGCCCAAAAATTTCAGTGGGCTAACCTAGGTTTGCATTTCAAAAACCTAGGTTAGGAAAAATGAATTCGCGCACTTTTGCTAACCGCCCTTTTCAAAATGAAAAAGGCGGGTAGGAAAAAAAATCCGGCCGCTTTCCCAGGTTCAGCCTGGAAAAGCGGCACATTTTTTTTTCCCCATTCAAATGAAAAGGGCGGTTGGGAAAAAGGCGCCAATTCATTTTTCCTAACCTCCCTTTTTCAAGTCTCGTTCTCGTGCCCAAGCCAAAGCTGCCCACTACCTGAAAAAGTATTGAGGTTGTGAGAATTTAAATGGTGGCTTTCTAGCAGCCAGACTGTGCAAGTTGCGGCAGATGCACTATCACAAGGAAAAGCAAACGATAGGCATCGCAAATGCAGAAACCGACTTGCGTTTTTTATTGTCCGGAAAGGAGAGCAATTAATAGCGCCACTCGTCGCGCACGCAGCATGGGATTGCGGCGGGCGAGGAGTAAGCTTTCCGATTTTCAGCTGCCTTGCTCGTTTTCTTGTTCAGTTCTTGCGCCTGGGCTGTGCAGTTGCCGCAGACGCGCTACGCCAATGATTACGCGTATGCATCTTGTATATTACATAGAAGCAACTTGCGCTGTTTGTTCTACGGAAATAAAGGGCGCACGCCTGTCGCACAAGGACGAGCAGCAGACGCAGCGCACAAAGGTTCCGACGCGTTTTTGTTTTCCATTCCTAGTCATCAGCTACTCGCGCTCGCTAAAATTATTCCGAGCGATGGGGCGTCAAATGTCTGGACTTATGAAAGGGCCGCTAATTCGGTTCTATAGAGTATTTCTTATCCTCGTCCGACTTTTGCACGTGCCCGTAAGACCCAAACTCGTTTTCCACCTGGACCATCAGGATTTTGCCGCCCTGGTTTTCCACAAACAGGTGCTTTTTCAGCGGGGGGAGGAGGTAATTCCAGAAGGTTTTCACTTCATCAAGGTATGGCTTGGAAAAGGTGCGGATCTTCGGCAACTTTTGCAACCGTGCCGGCAAACCCCCGAAGTCCCATTCACCGCAAACGTACGGGCCCGGGCGAAGGAGAAGCCAGAATCCCAGCTTGGACGCCAACTCGATGAATCTGTGCAGCAGCCGGGTTTTTTCTTTTGGTGACGCCAAAAAGTTGTCATGCGTTCGTGCTATAATCACCGTTGCGTAAAAAAATAGGGTGTGATCAGTGATTTTGGCCGCAGACGTACTTACACAGAAAAAAAGCATCGCCATCGGTTTTTTCCATCTAAAAATAAATGCGAAGCACCTGACATGGCTCCCCTCACCGGCTAACTCAGCGAGATTCCAGGGCACGTAGAATTGGATGGTATTGAGCCCCATGTCCTTCATGCTCTGCAGTCGGTCCGCCCAGTACACTTCGGGTAGCCGGAAGTAGTGAAACGAACCTGAATACAGATTCAGCTTCTCTCCGTTGATGTGAAACTCATCATTCTCCAGCGTGAACGTGTTTTCCCCGGCCAGAGAGCTGACGTCTTTTGCTGCTGCGGCACTTGAATCATCATAACCTGGAGTCGCCACAGCCACAGGAGACGCAGTTTCGGCAGGACTAGCTTGTATCCCTTTCCTGCCTCGCAGAATGTCTTTTTCTCCCGGATTCAAATCCCCTGGCTGTGGCAAGTTGGTGTTTTTTAGCACGTAGATTACCGCGTCCCAGTCCCCAGGTTGCAACAAGTGGTTCCTGCAGCTGTGAAACAACGCGAAAAAGAGCAGAGCCAGTGACAGCACTGCGCCAAACACGACGACCGCGCTAACGCGCACCATTTTCCGTGCCTGGCTTTCGGCCGAGGAAGGCCGTTAATGTAGTCGAAAGGTGTAAGTAGCCTTGCTCGGCGGGGGATACCTTCCTGATGCTCCAGGCAGGGGGCACAACTTCGCGGGCAGTTTTGAACTATGAAGTGCTGACAGGGGAGCAGGGGGGCATCTAATAGGTGCGTATGCTTTTCCAACACGCTCGAGACTATTCCAACACGCTCAAGAAGGTTTGGCTTTTGCTCCACCAGCATCATGCTGCACCACAACTTAATAGTTCTCGTGGCCCGGCGCAACAGAGAAACTAAACACATGTGGGCAAATGAAATGCCTCAACTTTGGTCTGATCTGTGGCTTTCAATCGGTAGCATGGACGTTCGCCAATGAAATTTGCTCTCTCTGCACGATGCACCACGACAGGTTGGAATCACACTTGTTTTTTCCACGTCTCGTTTAATATTCGCGCTTGCACACGACTAGAAACGAGTGAGATATTAGAGATACACGTTATCGCTGTTAAGTCAAGTGGTAAACCTAAACTCTTCAGCTGTTATTGTTATATGCCTTAGTTTATTTGTGAATCGTGCTTTGTATGGGAAGAGCAAGTTGCTCCTTAGACACATCACTGTGCTATATGCTTTGGAAAAAAAGTACAGCAATGCGGCTGGGTTTTTTCATCCCTGTTCCTCTGGCGGAGGAACGTTGGCCCAGTTTCGTACCGCTTTCAGACGTTGTTCTTGACGCTTCTTTTGCAAAGCCCGAAGCTTCTCCGAGGCCGATACCGGCCGAGGCACAGCACTTGTTTTTGCATCTGGCTTATTTTCCACCGGCGGTGGTGCGGTTTGCGGACGAATCTTGTGCCCATTGAGCTCCAGTTTTGCACTTTCGACCCGTTCCCGCGCACGGGCGATCAGCGACTCGTTAACGCCCTGCGACGCGGTGTTTTCCACACTCTCACGCAGATACGCCACTGTTTGATCTCCGGAGCCTGCGCGAGCGCGCGCAACGGCTCTGCTGGACGGTGTTGTAGCACTGGAAGATGATGAGCTCGCGGCCCCCGTTTGGGGTTGGACCACGACCGCGCCGCCCCGGTCCTGCACGGCAGCTGTTTGGTTCACCGAGTGCTCCAGCTCTCGCCGGAGCAACGTGTTTTGTTGCTCCAAATTTCGCAAGGCCTGCTCGACCGCGTACAGCTTCGTTTCAAACAGATGCTCGCGCTCGTACTCCTCCACTTCGATCGTCCCAGGGGCAAAGGAAACGCTCCGCGGCTTCAGCATCGCGGACGAGGAGGAAGACAAGCCTGAGCCAGAGACAAGCGTAGGATCGTCGGATAGTTCATTGGGGCCTGATCTACCAGCGTGTACCAATCCCCGTGATGAATTATTTTCACCAAAACTTCTCGAGGTGGAAGATACCGCGCCCCCGCCGGACTTGCTCAACGGCGTTGGCGGCGTCGCGGGAACGGGCTGCTTGCGTGTCCGCACCACGGGCAGTCGTTCTCTTTCTGCCTCGTACCGCAGCTTGTTGCTCAGCTCCATCAATTGGCTCCGTTCGAACCGCAGCTTTTCGCCGTCGGTTTGCAGCTCCGTCACGCGACCGCGAAGACTGCTGAGCTCTTGCTCCTTGCAATCAAGCAACTCCTCGTACTTTGCCTTGACCAGGTGCAGCGTCTCCTCGCTCTTTCGCATCTTCCGCAGATTCGTGGCCTCGGCAACCAGGGACTGATGCTCACTGGCGGCTGCCTTAGCGGCTACCGCACGGACCCGACTCTGGGCCGCCTCGACAAGTGAGGACGGACCTCCAGTGGCACCGCTGGCTGGTTGGTCCGGCGAAGAGGAACCGGGAAATTTCTCCGGCGTCAGGGTTCGCTGCCTGCTGTCTACTTCATCTTCCCCGTTCATCAGCTGGCGTCTCTCCGCGGCGAGTCTCATTTGCGCCATAACCTCGCGTATCTCTAGCAGCTGGTGCCGCAAGGAGTCGTTTTCCTTGCGGAGCTCGGCCTCGACTTCCTCACGGTCGTCGAACGGCAGCGACAGTACCTGCTTTTTGTTCTTTTCGAGCTCTGGAGACGTAAGCGAACTCGTAAGCGTTCCGCCCCCGACATTATTTGCAGTACGCCTTGCTGCAGCGGAGGAGCCCCCGGTGAGCTTCTTGCCCGACGTCGCACTGGCGGAGTTAGAAGGGGACCCCACCAATATGTGCCCGAAGTCGCCCGAAAAAAGCGGGTTGAAGTCGTCCTTGATATTTCTACTACTCGCACCGCTGTTCCGCCATGCCTGCTGGTGCTGTTCTATGCGCTGTTTGTGATACTCGACCTCTGCCTGCAGCCGCTCCTGGTCCCGTTTGTGCGTTAGTGTGTCGTCCTCCTTCTCTGCACGCAAAATGTCGAGTTCCCCACAAAGCTCGGTGACGCGTCGCTGCTCCGCAAGAAATCTGTTTGACGAAAAAAATTGTCGCAGCTGCTCATCGTGGTTCTTCTTTTACTTTTGTGTTTTCATCGCAGCGCTGAATACAATCAAACTTCATCGAACAAAGCCCCGAATAAAGCGGCCGAGCAAGCACTGCTGGTAAATTCAATTATACTTCTTCCTCATCTCTTCCGTCTCCTCCCGTTTCCGATTGTTTTTTTCTTGCTCCGCGTCGATGAGGCCTTGCAAACTTGCGATTTCGCGGCGGTGTTCGTCCTCCAGCCGCTCCACGGTGCGTTCAGTATTGGCCGCGTTCCGATCGCGCTCCGTCACGAGTTCCTGCTGCTTCTGGTCGACTCTCCGGTCCAGCTCCTCGCGCATTGCTCGCTGCTTGATCTCGTGCTCCCGCTGCGCGGCGTCCACTTTCTCGAGGCACAAGCGCTCCATCTCGCGAATCCGCCGGTTGGCGTCCTGCTTGAGCCATTCCACCTCGCGATCATGGTCCTCCTTGGCGCGTTCCAGACGCCGCTCATACTCGTCGGCGTCGCGGGTCGAAACCTGCTGCAGCTGCTGAATTTTCTCCGCGTCCTCGCGCTCGCGCTTGTCCAGCAGGGACCGTGTGGTCTCTAATTGCTCCAGCAGCTGCTTCCGCTCGCTGCCAAACTCGGCGCCGTCGCGCTCGTGGTCGCGGGTCACCCGGTCCAACAGCGACGACACCTCGCGCCGGCTCTCCTCCGCGGTGGCGTATTGTCGTTGCAGCTGGGTGAACTGGTCCACCACGGAACTGCGCTCGGCGTGCACCGCAGCCAGCTCGCGCGTCAGTGTATCCTGCCGCTTTTCCAAATCCTCCACCTGGTGCTTCCACAGAGCTTCTTTCGACGACTGTTCTGCCGTCTTGGTCTTCAGCTCCTGCCGAAAGGTCTCCTGTAGCTCCTGTACGCGCCCGTCGTGCCGCCGCTCTTGCTCCGCCACAAAGGCGTCCTTCGAAGTGCGGAGCTGTGGCGAGTACAGTACGGAAAAGAGTACAGATCAAATGTCATCCTTTTGTTGAAGACGCGTCTCGTCTGCTTTCTTTGTTGAAAAAATTGTTTTTTTAGTAAGTACGCAGCAGCATGATCCTAGGTGTACTTCCTGACGATCCTGAGAATCAAGACGAACAACTCTATTACTTCTACTGAGCGAACAAAAACTTGCAAAAATTAGGAGGCTACGAACCTTCTGCATTTGCTCTTTGTGGCGCTGTTCCGCAGTTGTGCCCATCTCCTCGAGCTCGGCGATTCGTCGCTTCAAGCTCTCCGTCTGTCCCAGCACCGCCTTGACTTCGGTTTCCTTTTCGGCCAGGTGGCGCGCGTGTTCGTCCGACGTGGTAGCAAGGTGGTCCTGCAGCGTGAGCACCAACGTCTCGCGCTCCGCCAGACGCGACTGCAGCTTCGTCATCGTCACGTCGTGCATCGCAAGCTCCTTGTCGCGCTCTTCCAACAGCGACAAATTGTACTTGAAGTCGTTCTGCAGGCGGGCAAAATCGTGCCGCAAGTTTACCTACAGGGATTGGAACCAACAAGTAGTCGCAGCGTATGTTATTTATAGTCATACCCTGTTGGCTATTGCGGTACGAAATCTTTGAATGATTGTGGTAGCATGCAAAACAAACGGCACGCGCACGGGAAGAGGCATATGATCAAGCAGTATCTCATAGTTAGTACGACGTCTTCCTCGCGCTTCTGAATCACCGACTCCAGCTCCTGGAAGTGGGCAGCATGCAGTGACTGCATCTCCGCTTCCTTGTGCTTGAACAAGTCTCGCATCGATGTCACGTCGCCGCTCGTGTTGAGCGTTCGTAGAGACGGGGAATTTGGCATGTTGATGTACTTAAAGCCCGAGTAGCCCAACACTGACGTACAACTATCCGGGATGGTTTTTCAGATTCGGGCACAGAGGAACGTCAGCCGCCACGACTGAGACGCATAGCTCGCGGAAGCGGAGCCGCCAAGTGGTCATTTTGCTGATACTTCATATCACAGGTACGGGGGGGCACGATCTGCTGCCATCTGGCGGACGTCTGCCGCTCCTCTTTTGCTCCTACTGCCCACGGAAATTGCGGCTGCGGTAGGCAAAGCTCTAATACAGTGACAGTGACAGTGAGTTGGATAGAATATAAAGATGCTCGAGAATGAGGTAGCGGTGGGCCGCGGCCGTCTCTCGGACTTTGGAACAGACAACTCATACGGACTTGGTGCGAGCTACGGGTCGCTACACCGTACCGCGTAGCACGGCTGCTTCATGCAATCAACGAACACCGAAAAGGCGGCGAGTGTCCGGGAAAAGGGGGCTTACAAGACCACGAACGCTGAGACTCGGGATCTTTCAATCTCACATCGATCGGACGGACGGCGCCTTCGCGCGCGGCACGAGGCCTCGTAGGCTGGCGAGCAGGTACAACGGCCGGGGGCCCTTCGAATGCGCGGCGGCGCCCGAACGTACCTACGGGGCTAGCGCAAGGAGCAGAGGCTGCTTGCAAAACAAAGCGATGCCGGCAGGGCGGTTCCCGTGCCCCACAAAGCTGCGGGGGCGAGCGGGCGCGAAGCGCGGCATCCATGCCCGCCCCCAAAACGAAGAACGAAGGAAGGAAGCACGGGCCCGGCGGCCCAGCAAACAGAAGGGGCCCCGGCCGGGTTGCCTGGCTCGCTGCTAAGGCCCGGCCGGCCGCCCCCCACAAGACACGGGAACACCCCTGGGCGCGCCCGGCCGGGCGCCCACAGTTAGAAAGCGGGCCCGCGGGTGGGCCGCCGGGCCTCACGTCCGTCCGAGCGTGGGCCAGAAAGGCGCGCGGCCCTCCCGCGCCAGCGGCGTAGCGGCTTGAGGGGCGGCCCTGCTTGCGTCCACAGCCAATCCATCCACTCGTGGGTGGGTCCGTTGACAGCATAGCACTGCTGCCCGGCGGCGCTTTTCGCGACATGGTCAGGCGTAGACGCGCCGCCGGCTCCTGTTCGCCCGGAGGAACATCCTGCCGCCCGCCGTGCCGGGGGGCGCGCGGGCGCCTGCCCAGTCGGGGCAGGGCCGCCAGCCACCGGGCAACGCAGCGTCCGGGCGCAAACACCGACAAAATGAAACCGCGGGGGGGCCACCCATCATTCAAATAGAGGCGGGAAACTTCGCCGTCTCGCTTGCGCGCTTCTGCCATTCCACCGCGGGCGCCGGGGTGTAGCAATGCGAGGGCCAAAGCTGCAGCCTGCTGCAGCCCAGCGCGGCGCCCGAGGGAAGCACGGCCGCGCTACCCGTCTTCTCTTCTTTGTTCCCGCGCGCCTCCACTTGTTTCCGGGGCAGGGGGGGCGGTCGCCCTATCCATCGCCAACAGCGCCGCGCCTCTTGTCGGTCGAGCTCCGGGACGGGATGCCCGTCGCGTCCTCCGATGGCCATCAACCAAAAAATCTTACGCCCGCTACGGACCATAGCGGAGCAGCAAGCCCACACGGCGACGGAGCAGGAGCAACCGGGCCCCCCCCCGGCGGAGGGGCCCCCGGCGGGGCCCCGAGCAGTTGCCAGACAGCGCGCCATCCTGGACCCGCAAAGCCCTCGGGACTTCCATGCTTGGCCTGCGAAAATTTCGCGCCACGCAACTCATCGCGGGAAAGGCTGGCGGCTGCTTGCACCAGCGGGCTCACGCCCGCGCCCCGGCATCGATCTGCTGGCCTGTTTCCCGAGAAAGTTGACGCGAAGGGCGCGCCTTGCCCTCACGCGCAAGCTCCCGGATCCTGTAAAAAAGGTCACGCGTGCAACTCGTAGGTCTGCTAGATCTGCTCAAGCTCAACCGCAAGGAAGTACTTTATCTTCAAGAAGAACACGAACAATGCTTCTACTGCAGCACCCGATGAGTGCTCGACTTCCACCAGCCGTTTCTCGCACAATGTCAATGCAGCTCGCAAGGCAACGTTTTTTTGCAACACGCTCGTGGAGAGGGCGCGTTCGAATTACATCACTGCAGCTGCAGCACCTTCTAATGATCCTCTTCCTCTTTAGCAATGTAAAAGTCGTCCGGGTGTACTGGATGACAGAGCATTGGCTTGCTTGAGTGTTTACTTGGGTTGAAAGTCAGAGGATCTTGGTTTTGCCAAGCGTAGTGAAATTCAGCGCTCTCGCGGAGCGAAAGCTCTTTCATTCCATTCACCATGATTGCGACAAGCAGCTGTTCTCCGAACAGGAAGACGACCATGAACAGGAAAAATTGCACCAGCAATTCCAGCGTGCTCGTAGTAGCCAACGCGAGAGGTACCTCGCTCGCAGAAGCAGCGTGACTCTTGCTGCGACTGAGTGCGCCTGCCGCAGCGTTGGGATTGTCGTCGCGACCCGCAAATACGCCAGAAAACGCCTGTTCACTACTTAGCAAGCGGCAGCCCGCCATCAGCACGAACCAGCCCTGGCTCCCCGCGTAGCGACTCGTGTGAAAGGCCGAGAGCAGTAGCACGGCGGTCCCCAGCAATGGCAGGATCACGAAGGCGCAGGTGGAAAAGAAAAGCGGCCGCATAGCCCGTAGAAGAATGCTCTTCGCAAGTTTCAGTTGCGGAAAAAAACCAATGAAGTATCGCAGGGCCAGGGTGTTCATGCAGAGAAGCAAAATCACCAGCGTTGCCTGCAGTCCCCACTGCCCGGAGGAAGCCGCTGCGATCTTCTCGCTCACCGTCAGTGGAATTGCCGTTGTTGTGGACGTGGTAGTTGTACTATTCCCGGTCTGTAGTAACCGGACGATAGAAGATCCAGAATCCTTCAAGCCTTTTTCCGCGATAGAAGTTTCTGTTTCCCTAGCGGGTAAAAACTGATCACCCGAGGACAAAACCGATTCGCTCTGCCAAGATGAACTACTGGTGACAATTTCGGTTATTTCCTGCCGGGCGTTGTTTGGTCCATCGAAAGTACTAGCTCCGTACTGGTAATTTTCTCGGCCGTATGGTGGACCAGCAATTTTACGCCAAAACCACGCAGCGAGGCCTGAGTTCGCCCCCTCGCGCGGTTCGGTGGGGAGGTTTCCTACTTCGCTGGAATCAAAAACCCCAGTCGACATCCCTTCCTCCTCTTCCAATCTCCTACTCGACAAAGAACTCGTCGTGCTGTTGGCGCCGGTTCTCTCCAGCGCCAGCTCCTCCGCCGTGTCGGTGCCGACGGCCCACAGACTGGTGGAAAAGAACATGATCATGAAGGTGAGCAGCACGATGAACAGCAAGAGCTGCAGGCCGTGCGAGTAGAGCGAAAATCGTTCCGCCTCCTCCTTAAAGTGCGGCTTCACGATCCGCCGCAGGGACAGGAGAAACACCGCGATCGAAAAGATGGTGGCGAAAACGATGAAAATGACCTGCCCGGTTGACGCGCCCTTCGTCGTCTGGTACTGCACCTGCAACACGGGGCCCACGCCGCCGGAATTCCGTATGTCGAACAAAAGCCGCGACACAACGAGCCCCTCCTCGTTCGAGTTGTAAAAGAAAGTGTTGAACAGAAAAGCCCGGGCGTAGGCGAGCGTTGTGTCCTTGGCGGTGAGCGCGGTCTGTAGGTCTGTTAGGAAGAGGCTTGCGCCCGTCGAGTCCAGCAAATAATCGGGATCGGCGCTCGCTTCCGGCAGGGGCAGGTCCTCTATGGACGTGCGGCACTGCGCAAAAAAATCTCCGAACATCTTCTGCACGGCAGCAGCGCGGTCATTCGGGCACGGGTAAACCGACTCCGTGTAGGACAAAGATGAACTAGTACTTTGCAGCGCACGTCCGCCTCGTTGCGATCGCATCAGCTGGGAGTCAACGACGGGGCTCTCGTTGGAGGGAGTCTCCTCTTCGGTACTCGACGGCGAAGTAGGTTCCAAAGATCCCGGCAAAGGTTCCGTCGCAACACCGGCGCGATCGCCATCGAAACTACTAGCAAGGAGACCGGTCGTTTTCGGTCTCTGCTCTGGCTGATCTTCCTCGTTAACCAGCTGCAATCGACGAAGAAGCGCCGTCAAATTGGTTCCGTTTGTGCCATTTGTGGCATTGACCACAGGTTCGACAGTGGTAGTGGTTGTGACCGCCGCAAAGCTTGTTGCCGACACGATGCCAGTTGTGATGAGCGTGAGACCTGAGAGGAAGATTGCAGATAAAAACTGATGAAAGAACTACCCGCACAAGGTTACGAATAGTGTTAGGCAGCCCGCAATAACACACGAAAATAGCCAGAACAACATGTTTCGAAACTTTTCATTCCCATCGCACCCCGTCCGATCGGGGTTTCTACGAAAAGAAAGCGCCATCAAGACGACAGGGAAGATCATCAACGTACCAGAAGTCGATATGTTCAAGGCTCCAAGTTTTGTCTCTAACGCCGCAAAGGTTGCATTCTGCAGCACCGCTACGTCGAGTGTCCGCATCACAGCCAAAGCTGCAACTGAGGTACGAGCATTCCCCCCACTGATGGTAATCTCTGTGGTTGCCGTGGCGGTCGTGAGCTGCCGCCGCAACGGCCGCTCTTCCTCCGGCTCCTCCTGCTCTGCAGTATTACCCGTGGAGGTCCCCGCAGGATCTACTGGCGCTAGCAGAAGATTCCGCAGCAGGCGGGCCCACGTGGTGACTGCGGTTGTTTGCGACACGCACACAGCCGCGGTCGCATAAACCGTCCCAGAGACTAGAGACGCACACAAGGTTTCGTACGTGGCTTCGTGGTAGAGGAGCTTCAACGTAGCCACCTCGGCGGTCGTGTAGTTCAAAAACGTCAATGACGCAGTAATGGTGTGCGTGCTCTGCGTTTGCTGCGTTGACAGCGTGCTCCCGAGCGGGGCCAAGACCAGCGTGTTGCTGGCCTGCGACGCCGCGGGCTCCGTCACGTACAGGTGCGCCTTCCCCAGTTGGAATAAGTTGTCCACCGCATTGCTGGCATCTTCGGTGAGTGCCAACGGCAGTGCGCTGCGCCCGAACTCCATAAACGTCGGCCGCGTTCGCACTGCGGGGAGCGACTGCTGTGTGGCGGGGACGCGAGTGTCCCACACACTGAAGGGCGTGCTCAGTATCTGAATTTCTGCGAGGCGGCGTGGACTTATTTCTTCCTCCAAGTCTGGCAGTTCTTGCTCTGGATCATCGGCTGTAAGTTTTCTCTCTGCAGTGCTACTTGTGCTCGCAAGAACGTCATATTCACGAGCAAAAGCAGCTCCCTGCGTGCTCGCGAAGGCTTCTTGCTCCGCTGAAAGCGGATAAGTTGTATCCGTATCGGGAGAAATAGTAGAACCATTTTCGTCGCTCATCAGCTCCCTTGGCGTTGGCGGCTGCTCATCCATTATGCCTAGCAACCTCCGTCGCCTCGCAGCTGGGGGCAGGAACGCGAGTTGCGTTGGCGAAGGCGGCACGAAGGTCTCCCGATAACTCACTCGGCTCTGCAAGTTCAGCTGCACCTGCCGGAGATTAAACGCCGCGCTGCGGTCCGCGTCGAGAAACAAGTAGAGCATGACGACGAAGAGCAGAAACAGCAGGCACTCCACGAACCGGCACTGCAAGTCGAACACCGCCTTCTGTCGCTTGATCCGCCCGCGCTCGATCAGTTCCTGCAGGGTGGGGATTTTCGACGGGTCGACCGGATCCAAGTCAATTTCCATCTGGCCGCGCAGCTTCCGGTGCAGCGCCAGCTGCTGCTTCAAAAACGGGTGGTTGAAGGAGAAGTCCCGCCATTTTTGCCCCTTGGGCGCCAGCGTGTCCACCACGACCAATTCCGTGGTCGCCTTCACCAGGGTGAACCGGTAGTACTGGTTTGAGACCACGTAGTCACTGCCCGCGGGCAGGATGATCTCCCCCAGCGTCATGCTGTCCGGTACCAGCTGGCCCTCGCGGTCGAGGAAAAACACGATCTCCTGCTCCAGCCCCCAGTACTTCGCGGCCTGCTGCTGCAGGCTGAGAATCTTGGCATCCACCTGCACCATGAACACCGCGAGCAAGCTCCCGCTCCCCTCGACGACCGGCTTCCCCGTAACGGACTTCACGTGGTACACGACCTCCACCTTCATCTCGTTCTTTGCGACGTTGGTCGGGGACGAAGCGGTTGAAGCATTTCCGGCTCCACCACCTCCACGACCCGCCGACCCTGTCCCTTTCTGCACGAGAAACTGCACCAGCACGTTGTTGCAGCCGGAGTGGCACTGAAAGAGTGCCTCGTCGGACAGCCCCGCGGACGCGTTTTCCTTCAACTCCGCCAGCCGGCCCTCGGTGGACGCGAGGTCGAGCGTAACGCGCTGCAGATCCTCCTGCGTTTCCAGCACTTCCTTCCCCTTTTTTTGCACCAAGGCGTTGACGAGCTGGCCCTGCTTCGTGAGGTCGTGGACGATGCGCTCCAGCGTATGCACTGCAAAACTATCGTACTCGTACTATTAATCGCAGTCATGCATAACAAATCTCGATCTTAAGGAAAATCCGCATTACATTTCTCATGCTGAGCTAATTTGTGATGCAATTCATACATACTAGTACGTGCACGACACTTTTGCGATGCATACAGCGCGTCCTTCTGCAAAATGCGGTCCACATGCTTCTCATCCACGATCCCCTCCACCACGTCCTGCTCCGTGCCCAGTCGCGGATCCATGATGTCGGGCAGAAAGTATATTCAAATGCCCCCCTCGACGTCGCCACACAGCTTTTAAAGGGAGTGAAAGCCAGGAGCGGTCGGCGACCGTACCTGCATGTGCGGCACGTGTCGCCCCGGAACGCTGGATGATGAAATCACCCGCGAAAAATTTTTATCGAGTCCAGCTCTTACCTCTGCATCTTTGTCCCGAGGTGCGCTTGGTCCTCGCGGCTATCGGTGCCATGCAAACGATCTTCTTGGAAACTCGAGCTGCAAGAACAACCTGTAGTGCCTCTCTACAGCGTCGAACATGATGGCAGCCGCCTCTCCTCTGCATTTGGCTCTCGCGAAAACACTCCGAACATGGAATGGGGCCGAAGATAGAGAGCTGTTCATTTATCGCAGCGCGGTCGCTCTTGATTGTGAATAAGTCGAAATTCGAGAAGATACTCTCCAGCGCACTGTCTCGCCCATAGCGACAGTTCACGACGCTCCAAGGGTCATACGCCGGCAGTAGCTCCGATTCCGGTGCAAGGCACGGATTTCCTGGGATCCCATACGTTGGCGCAGCAATCGCAGCCGAATCTGCTATCTCGCGCAAGCCAGTACAACAGAAAAGCGCCGCTACGACCACGAGATGTGTGTGCCTATCGGCCGCACTGGGAAAATGATGGAATGGTGAGTAGAGGTAAGTACATGACATTGTCCAAAATGAAACCGCCATTGTACAGGTCTTTCGTACGTACACGTGAGATTTTTTGGCCATCGTACGACATTCATCTATTGCCGGTAGCTGGTGGACTAGCTGGTCGAAAAGCTCTGGTGTGTTAAAAGTGTTTGTGATACTCTGCACCGCAAAACAGTTGTCATTGGAAACTTCTAAAAAAATGTGGCTGCACAGGAGTACAACATAAACTTTCCGCGAATTTCTACTGCATGTCTTCAGGTTGATTGTAACGTAAAGAAACATTTGAAAAAACTTTGTAAAGAGGCATTTCTTTGGACATTCTGAGTAAATTATTGCTTGAGTTGTCTATAAACGAAACTTGAACTTGTTGTGAGACTCACTCTACTTGTTGTTTTACATAGCATACTCTGATGAAATGCGAAATGGACTTGAAACTTCGAAAATGTTCTCTCGAAGCGATTAGCGGCGTAATTCATGGTAAGTACCGCCAATGCTTTTCTGCCCTGGTTAAGAAGTATTTCACGGCGGCAGTTGCCTCGTATTAGCCAGGGCAGTTTCGAGATTCAAAATGCGGTTGTGGACGCCCTGCTGTTCCTCTTCTGTGGGCTCCTGCTCTTCCAGCCATTCTGCCTCCCACTGTCGCACGTTGCTCACAATGGTCTCCGCGCACGTGTACGTAGAGGGCATGATGATGGCGAACTGGAAGTACAGTGGCGCCACAACGAACTCGATGAATCCCATTTGACTCTGCGGCTTTTTCACTTTCTCCCGGTCGTTCAGCATCTGCACGGTTAATCCTCGCGACTTCTCCAAATCTCCCTGCAGAAAGAACTCCTCGAGAACCTGTGGACGAACAAGTGTTTTTGAAAGAAAGCTCGCCATCGGATCAGGGGCGGGAATTACGTCGAAAGAAAACAACGAAATAAGTATGCGCTGGCGAAGTGGTTTCCAACAAAACGAAATTGAAGCTCTTTACGAACACGAATAAGTACCAAATAAGCCCACGCTCTGCAAATCGGGAAGGGCTTCATGGGATTGCTGATGTCCGCTGAGTGAAGGATCAAATTCCGCAACAAAGCCGCCTTTTCCGGCTGTTTCCAGAACTCCACTGCCTCCGCGGGCAGTTCCCATTGCGACTGCTGGCCCAGTGAGAGCGCCGCCCCGGACTGGTAGCTGTGACTTTGCAGCTGCCAGTACTCGTGTTGCACCAACTGGATAATTTCGCTGTTTTCCTCGTGGAGGAGTTTGATGTGCGACACCATCGGGAAGTGGTTGATCATGTCGGTGTGCAGAATGGCGTCGATACTGACGCGACGAATCTCCATGTAGTGCGCCTTACTGCAGTTCGCAAAGACCGCGGTCTCCGGATTCACGAAACCCGCCTCAAACATGATGGAGCAGTGCATGTTTTCCAAAGGCGACTTGTCATTGTATTTCAGCGCGAGAGGGTCGTTGCTTTCAACCTGAAGATAATAGACTTTTTTACCACAAACTCTCACTCGATTTCGATCTGCATCTGCTACTTTTCCGAAATACTAGGAGCCAAATGCAACGACAACGACTTCTACTTACTTACACAAAAAATTGCGATTTCGATGCTGACTTAACGCATGAAGATGCTCTTTCACAGATCTCTTTATTCCTATTTGTTGTACCAGGAACGGGTTGTTGTAACCCGGGTGCCCGGCGTCGTGGCAAACCGCGGACAGCAGCATGGCGAACCGATCGGATTTGGAGAAGATGTCCCGCGTCTTGCACAGGTTTAGGAAGCTGTAGACGCCGTGGGCGACGTCGACGGCGTGCAGCCAGTTGTGGTAGGGGTTCGTGTTCACGTACCTGCCCGAAATCTCCTCCAGGAACCGCTGAATCCGCCGCTCGTCGATCTTCAGCGTGTCCTTGATGAACCCACCGAGGTTCATGGCGTCGCCCTGCAAGAACCACAGCACCGCCGCGTAGGTCTGGAAATCGTCCAGCTCGAGCGGGTTGAACTCGAAAGACTCCACGTCCTCCAACGTCAAACCGGCCTGCATCAGCGCGACCCGCTGCAGCCGGAGGAATTCCTCGTCGCGAATCTCCTCCTCCTCTTCGGTCTTGTTCGTTTTCTGCTTGTACACCGCGGTCGCCGTGTACTGCTGGATCTCGTCGTCCAGCTAGAGATGAAACGAGTTTTATGTATAGCGGCCCTTTTGCATCCTCGCTACACACAAAGAAGCGAGTAGTAGTGGTCTTTTCGTTTTCATCATTGTGAACTGTATTCTATTCATTCTGTTGCGAGAAAAAAAAACACAGAGGACTGAGTTACTTCTACGCTAACGCTACCAGTGGAGTACCTGATCCTTCATTTGTTTCGCCATGGTGATGTCAGTCAAAAGAGTGAGTTTGGACGCAATCTTCGCCAGCAGTGCGGTTTCCATCAGACTGCCGTCAAACTCCATTTCATCCTCCTCGTCGTCGATTTCATCCTCCAGATCGTCGTCCTCGTCGTCGTCCCGCTTTATTGCCGACGACATGTCGCTCACACTTTTGAACATGGTCGCAGCCAGGTCGCGGACCTGGAAAAATTGTGATGATGATGATCTGCAGGAGGTTGCTGCACTTGGTCAGAAGTCACTTGCTTCATTAGGCAACCACAACCTATTGCGACAGCGACCAAAAACACGAGGCAGCAATGCCAACGGGAATGGTGAAGTTGTGAAGCGATAAAGTAAATGGTACCTGGTTCAGTAAACTCTCGAGTGGCAAGAGCACGACTTTCTGTATGACGCCCTGCAAGGCCATACTGAAGACCACGAGAAGGGTCATGATGAGCGCAATCAGGACCATGTTCATTCCGGAGTCAAGCTGGTGTGTGTATGTGAAGTTGTACCGCACTTTTGCGATACTGTACGCGTGCGTGCTATTTCCCAATGGCGCGGGGCCGAGCTTGTCAGTTGCCTCCAGTGTCGGGTGAAGTGTGTTCCACTCAGAGCTGGTAAACAGGATGGGATCACTTTTGCGAACAACCTGACATATTCATATTTTTGAGGGCGGGTAATGTCACGATATTAGAAGCGAGTTGAAAAAAACCACAAGACCCCCAGAAAAAAACTACGCCTTCAAGCGCCGGAACTCGTTGAAAGTTAGATGCAAGAAGTCCCTGGAGTAGGATGATTCATCAAACACAAACACCACAGGTCAATACGATGTTCCTATCATTCGGTTCGCTGCTGCCGTCCCGGCCGAAGGTTTCGAGGTAGTGCGTTGCGCCGGGTCCCGAAATATTATCGGTACCGGGGTACACAACCATCTCGCGGTAGTACGGCTTGGATTCCCAGACCGGTTCCGTGGTGCCCCAGTAGAATCTCCTTTCCAGCTCGTAAGGGTAGAACTCCTCCTTGGAAAAGAACCTTGCCATTTCGGCGCTCTTGCTTAGCGTGTCGGTCAGCTGCGTCTGCGCAACCAGATCCGGCCAGACGAGAAGGGACAAGTCCTGTTCCGCCAGTCGCACCGTCACGATCAGCAGACCGGGGATGAGAATCACCATGAAAATGATGACGAAGGAGACCCGAATCGAGACGGCTGCATGTAGTCGGTCGGAAATTTTCCGAGCCGTGCCGGCGTATTCGGAGGTCTGGCGCATGCCCGGCAGCATCTTCAAGATCTTGACCAGCCGAAAGAACCGCCCGGCACGCGCCGCTAGCTTAAACATCCTGGTTACCAGGATGATGGTCGCGTCACCGTCCTCACTCTGATAAAAATTGCATTTAGGAAGATGAACATTTGTTTGCCTAGCTTTATTCATCTCGCACCTCCGCACCTTGCAACTACAAACAAGCACTTCACAACAGAAAAACAAGCACAACTATAGTAGTACAAGTAGTGGGTGTGTCTATGAAAAACAACAAGTAGCCGCAGCCATGAGTACTCTTCTACCTGAGAATAGGTTGCCTCCGCGACGAAGCTGAAGTCTGCGACGACGGAGAGCATTCCGAGGGAGTCCATCCAAAAGAAAAAGGAGTAGGTATACCCAACCGTCCCGAGGCACTGGACGGATATTTCGAAGAGAAACGCGCCAATGACGAAGCCGAGCAGCACGTCCAGCGCCGTGGTGTTTGCCACGTCGCCCACCACCCACAGATCCGGGAAGTACAACGCGATCAAAAGGGTGAGCAGCATGACCATCTGGAACGTGGGGTCCTTTTGCATTTCCCGGGACGGCTTCTCCCAGCTGCGCACCAGGTTGCGCAGCTCCTGCAGCACTTGCGGTTCCCGTTGGAGTAAAACCGCGGACTGCTTCCCCGACCCGGCGGCATTGTTCCGATTGAACGGCGAGACCGTGGCAATCACCGAGATGGGGGACGATATCAAGTTGGAGAAACCGCTTGTTGTTCCTTTCGAGTGCTTGCTCGGCGACGAGGAAGACATCGTTGGGCCGCGGTTTTGCGGCGTTGTGGTTGCGCCGGAGGAAGTGCCGGAAAGCTTCGCGGCCGCGCCGGGGGACGAAATCGATAAGCCGGCCTCCAAATCCGTGGCACTGCCGGAAGAGCCGAAACCGCCGCCGCCGCCCAGCGCCGCGTTCTCCAAGGCTAAAGCTTGCTGCTCCTGCTTCTCCTTCTCGAGCATCTCCGCCAACTCCGTTTTCCAATCGCTGGGCTCCATGCCGAACAGGTTCTCCCAGGTGCGCATGTAGTCGTTCAGCAGTAATGTTCGGTCGTCCTGGGGCCCGAACACCGTGGAGGCAACCTGCACCGGGAGTTTCCCGTCCTCGTCCCGCACAAAGGGGTCCGCGCCCGCGGAACAGAGGGCGGACAGCATCACCTCGTTCGAAGCAGACGGCAACTTCAGTGCGGTCAATAACGTCGGCCCCCGCGCGGGACTGGCGCCGGCGAGGAGCAGTGCCTGGAGCCCCAGGTAGTTGTCGTGCTCGATCGCGATTACCATCGGGATTTTGCTGATTCCTAAAGAGTTTGAGGTGGTCCTCGAGCCGTTATTCGCCACCTTCACCGCGGCACGGTCCTCGAAGGTGCCGTTCTTGTCTGCGTGATACCAGAGCAGCAGCTCCACCAAAATCACCGAGAACATCTGCTCTCCATGAGTTGCCCCGCCGGAACCCGGATTTTTTGCGCTAGACAGGGAAACCGCCGCGCAAAGCGGACTCCAGCCGTAGTGGTCCACAATGTCGTGTCTGGCCCCGCGAGAAAGCAACAGCCTCGCGGCCGCCACGTTCTTGTTCGCGCACGCAAGCAGCAGCGCCGTCTGCCCGCAGTCTGAAAGCGCATTGACGGAGGCACCGTGCTCCAAAAGCAGCTCCAGCATGGTTGTGCCGTTGCGCAGTTGCGGCCGAGACGCGACAAAACCTGGGTTACAGGAAGGTCTTTGATTTCAGCTATTTTGACTACACAGACTTCGACCTAAAGTGCCTTCAAATCAAGCAACGAAGCAAAAACGGTAGCTGAAAAGGAACCTAGCAGCGTGGTGAAGGAATCGTGAAAGTCGTCGTAGCACGGGACGTCGATGCAGATGGACATCGTGCCCAGCATCTTCTTAACCTGCGTGACGTCCCCGCTGGCGACCACATTTCGAAGCTTGGTCAACCCTTCGAGATCGTCCTGCAGCTTGGTCAAAATGACCAAGTTATCACACAGAAAAAAGCTGGCAGGTCACATTTGTAATGCAAAAATAAATACACGAAAAACTCTGCACTGCGTATCCTAAGCAGCATGCTATGAGGCCGCCCATGACAGATTTTTCTGTGTATTAATTTTTGCATTACAAATATGCCCTGCCAGCTTTTTTCTGTGGGATACAAGTCCGCGGGGTTCAGCACTTCATCGCCCATCAGCCGGCTCGCGAGAGCAGCGGACGACGCGCCGCCGGCCCCGCCCGCGTCCTGGGGGTTCGCCAAACCCGGATCCATGACAACCGCACAGTGCGGTCTTCGTCGAGACTAGTGTTCGACGTTTGAAATCACTTCATGTTCGACCAGATTTCATCACGAGCCGTCCTGCTTGAAGATGACCCGTCGATTTTGCTAGAAACAGCTTTTTGAATCAACGTAGCAAAGGATCAACATCATTGTGGCAGCCGCTTCAGCCACATGTAGTGGCGCAATTGCTGAAAAAGACGAAATGAGACAGAAACCAGCGTTCTTGTTGACTTGGTTTAAGTATCTGAAAAAAATCTGTCATCGTGCTGTCCTAGCTACTCACGCTCAAGACCCGTTCATTCTTTCAGAGTGGAACAAAAAAAACGAACAAAGCGAAACACGGTTTGGAAAGCAGATGCGTTTTTCTGACTTCTGCGTCGGTTCTGCTGTAGCTATTCCTGCAACTTCAACATCATGTGTTTGTGTACATGTACATTTGTCCTGACACATTAACATACGATCCACTGCTGGTATAATTTCAGTGACGCGAATACTCATCGACTACAAGAAGGGCGACGCCATGCAAACAGGCGATAGCAGAAGGAGCAAAAGTTGATTTTCTAGGAAACTACAGACGCAGATGCGATAGCGAAGATTCTCGTAGAGATATAAATCAAGTACGAGGCTCTTTTTCGTTCTATAGGGTTCGTTAGGCTTTACGATACATAATCAAGATAGTCATTATTCGACAGTTGCGTAGTTGAAAGACTTGAATTGTGAAGAGTAGAGGAGCAGAAACAATATTCGTCCAGAGTTACGTTTTGATTTTTTCGGTAACTAACGGTTTGTACAGTGTCTTTGTTTTTGAAAGTTAATTTTTTTCCAATGAATCAATGCTAAGTTTTACGTGGATGCAATGTCGAGTTCGAGATCAAATTCGAAGCAAAGCTATTCTTTCTATTTTACAACCAACTATTGAAAAGTTTCCTTCGTAGGGACACAAGCTGCTACTGCTAGCAGGGAGCTTCTCTTTGCTTACGTTGCATCCATCTCATTTATTTCGCGTGAAGCAACACACACACACATACTCTGACATGCGCAACCTTGCAGCAACAGATCAACTGCTGCATAGCGGAGTCGCTCAGAGTCTTTAGTGCTTGCCGTCTTCCTGTGTATTCTTGTTACGTTAAACTGAAAGAGATACAGCTATCTCTAGAACAAGTATTTAGCATTTCTTTTCCCCAAATCGCGATTTTGAAACTTTGTCACTGCAGCAGAAAGCTGGTGCTGTTGTTTCGATTCCGGTTGACGTGTGCCATGTACGCTGCGTCTGTCCGCTGGTAGTCGGGCGTACGTGATCGCGCAGGCGCGACGGCACCGCTGGCAACATTACCAGCCCCCCGCAACATGCGCCGGCCCGGGGACCGCGGTGGCGGTACGCTGCGGCCGCGATTCGCGCGCTCGCGATCCCGATCGCGATTTAACTCGGACCGGTCTGGTTTCCACCAGTCGTTGTCCCACTCCGGCTTTTTCTGTTGCTCCACGATGCGCAGCAGCTTCCGGACCTTGGCTTGCAACTCGGCATTGCGCTCCACGAGATGCAAACTATCCGCAGCGTTAACCATCGCGGACGCCTGCACGAACTGTTGTGGCGCTCCGCCGTATGAAGGCGCTGGTGCTCCGTAGTAGTTCCCTCCTGTTGCTGCGGAGGGCATCGGATACGCGGTCGGCTGCGCAAACCCCGTGGAGGATAGGCCGGGCTGTGCCTGTGGTGCTGTTGGACCCGCTGGCGCGAACGGGTTGCCATTGGAAATGTACGCTTGTAAAGGCTGCTGGACCGGTGCTTGCGGTTCGACCATTGGCGGTTGGGTGGGCGAGTAGTGCTGTTGCGCGAGAAAGCTCGGAGAAAGCGCTAAGTCGCTCTCCGGAATACGACGGCCCCTGTTGGTTGTGGTTCAACGCAAATAGCGCAGCGAAAATGTTGAGCAGTGAATTTCTTTCTTCCCTTGCAATCAAGCTCGTACAAGTTCAAGCGTTCACGTGAGGCAGAATCACACAAGATCAAGGATAACGAAACGATTTGCAATGCATAAGCAAAAGTAGTACTGTGCAGCGTCATGCAACGACCTCCGGGTTCGAATCAGCTCCTCCTCCAACATAATGTTCTGCTTCCTCAGCTGCCCAACAGATTCTTGTAGCACGCGGACCTATGAGGATATTTTTATTCGAGATTGGGAAAGTTCAAACAGCTTCGCGCTTCTTGTAACAGCATAAGCAGCTAAGTATGTACTACTTACTTTTACTTACTTACTAACTTACCTGTTCCGTCAAACTCCTGTTTTCAGCTTGTGTTTGCTCGACCAACCGCCTTGATTCCATAACCTGCATGGTGATTGTCTCGCTTTGGTCTTGCTTCATCCGCTGAAGCTCCCCCCGCGCTGCCGTCAGTTCCGTGACCAAGCGAATCTGCGTGGGTAGGTAAACGTTCTTTTGATCTTGAAGAAGTGATGTGCAAGTGCAGGTCCTTCATACAATAATGACAAAAAAAATAAATGGACGTCGAAGGAAAAGGTAAAGGACGACAAACAAAATTGAAGCGATTTCCACACAACCGAAACGACTTCCTACCTTCTGCTGACTGAGGTCCCTTACGGTCATTTCCAGAATGCTGACTTCCCGCGCGTCGTGCACGCTCCCCGGGAGCGCAAGTCCGGGTGGCGGCATCAAAATCCCGGGTGACGGCGCCCTTGGGTTGTAGCCGGTCGGCGACGGCGACCGCCGGTCCGCGGAGAAGATCATGGGTGGCCGCGTAATGTCGTCCAAGATGATGGCGTCCGCCTGCTCCACGAGCGCGCGGTGCTTTCTGGCAGACAACACCGGCTTGCGGTACGAGGGGGGCCGGCTGGATGGAGGCTGGACCACCGCCTGCTGCTGACCAGTGGGTGTGCGAGCCCGCCGCGCGGCCGCCGCTCCTTCGGGCGTTTTGCCAGTGGGGGAAGGACTGCGTTCCCGCTTACTCGAGGAAACGGACCGTGGGGTGCGCCGTGGAGGCGGTGGAGTACTCTTCTCGCGCGCTGGCGGCGCATTCGGAGGTGCTGCCGGCGGCGGCGGCGAACGCGACTTCTTCCGTGGCGACGCAACCGGTCTACTTTTCGGCGCTGCGGCAGCAGGCGGTGGACTGCCGCTGCGACTACGCTGGGCTCTGCGGGGTCTGGGGTTGTACTTTGGTCGCTCCGCCGACGGGCTACCGGCACGGTGGATCGTCGGGCGGTGGTCGTAACGCCACATCTGCTCCGCAAAGGTCTGTCGTGAAAACACTTGACAAACTATAAAAGTTGTCGTCAAGAACAGTGCACATGAGGATACGAGGGTGCGGGAAGTAGAGACGACGTTCGAAAACGGTCGTAAGGAAAAAAACCTCTGGAACAACTGCATTTCGCAGTACAGCTTCAACGTGCATAGTAATTCATTGCCCTTTCTCACACGACAAGAAGAGAGAAACATTTACGGTTCCAAATACCCTTTCCGGTTCCTGCTTCGCACGCGGGACTTTTGGGCTTCGCACCTGACTGCTCGGGCGCGATTTCTTTTTCGGTTTTTGCTGGATGCGCTTCTCCTTGGAGGACCGTGGGGACTCCCGTAGTTCTTCCTGGATCGTGGGCGGGGCGGCCGGCTGATCCAGGAAGCGCCGTCCGCCGCCCTCTGACGCCGAGCTGCCCTTCGGACACAGGAAATCCTCTTCCGACGTGGGTTGCTTTCTCAACACCTTCTGGGGCGTGTTATTTCCGCTCCGGGACCGCGTCCTCGTACGCGTTTCGACCGATTTCGGAGCGGCCGCCAGGAACTCTTCCGAGCCTTTTGCGTCCGGACTCGCGGATCGCGCGTCGCGCCTTCTCTGCGCCTCGCGCTGCGCGTCCTTTTTCCGCTTCGCACTCTGCAGCTTGACGGCCGCGGCATCCGCCTCCTCTTGGATTTCAGCAATTTGTCTCGCGAGCACCTGGACCTCGTCCTCTTCGACGGGAGCAGTTTCTTCGGGCGCGTTGTTCGTTTGGGCACGGTTCGCAATCCGTTCGCGTTGCCGCCGCTGAATGGATATGGCCGCCTGTTCTTCCTCTCTCTTCTCCTTCTCCAACTTCTCCTCCGCGGCACGGCGGTCGTACACCGCTTGCCAGGCCAGGTCCAGATTGCCGTAACGTCGCCCGGTTTCCAACTCGACGTACCTTTTCAACAGGAACAGATTGTCTTGCTTGCAAGTGCAGAAGTTCTAGTAGCACATAGAGTGGGAGTGCGTTAAGTACACGTTATTTCGTTTTCGCAAAAAGCAATAAACAACGTCAAAAAGAACATGCAAAAGCTATAGTACGCGAAGTATCCGGGTCTGCTTCGCGAGGGCACGGCCTCGAACCCCGGTGGTGGTTTCCCGTTGTTTCCGTTTGCTTTGCCGTTCATCCCAGCACTGTTCAGGGTGTCATTCGAACCCCCGTTACCGTTGACTACCTGCTCGAGGTTCTCCTTGTTCTCTTGCTTTCGCAACCTCCGGTTGTACACCTGCCACGCGGACCGCAACTCGCCGTATTTTTTTCCGGTTTCCGGATCCACAAACACCACGTGCCCGGGCCTTGACGCCGACGTTTTCGTGATCCACCCTGGTGGCGGTTGGTCGGCCACTTCGTCGCCCTTCCTCCGGCGCTCGTACACCTTCCACGCCTGCGATTTGCCGTACTTTTGCCCGGTCTTCTTGTCGATGTACGCAAACTCGCCGGGGCGACTCGCGGACGGGACCGGCTCGAAGCCTGGTGGGTGCACCGGTTTGTTCTCCTCTGCCGGGACAGACGGCGAGGCTGCAACCACCACAACCGGGGGTGCCTGCTCCTGTAGCATCTGCGGAGGAGCCTATTTGGGGAAGAATAATTTCGTTTTCTCTTGATGATGCAGCAGCAGCAGCAGCACATTTGTATGCTTCTACGTCACAAAAAATTCCACTACGCTACCAGAAGTCGATGAAATTGAAAGCACCTGAAACTGGATGACGAAAAATCAAAGCAAACTTTTACTTCCCGCGGAATTTCGTTCGTTGTTGGGACAGCGACAGCAGAAGGCGGTTTCTCGTTCGTGTAGATGTCTTCGGCCTTCAAATTCACTGCGGCATCTTTTGGTGGGGTATCGATCTTGTCTAACATAGCCTTGTCGAGATGCGGTTTGCTTTCCCCCGAACCCTCTTGTTGCGGCAAGCCCTCGTCGACTGGTGGTTGCTTTGGGACCACGACGTCCGCACTGCCCGCAGCGCTGGCCCGCTCTCCCTGGGGGAGATCCTGTGGGGCGGTCGCCGCCCGTTTGTCTTGCTCCTCCCTGGACCTCGAGCGCTCGCGGTCCTGCTGGGCCTTCTTTTTCTGCAGCGCAACCGACACAGTTTCGCTGCTGTCGGAGGACAGCCCTTCCAACACCCGCTGGACATGCAAGTCCTTCGCAAAAATCTTCTCGCCGTCCGAGTCCGCTGCTACGATGCTCTGCATCACGTCGAAGGTCAACGCATTTTCTTGCGTAGTTGGAGCTGATGTGGGGGCGGCGTGCATCGTATTGCCGAGCTCCCCCGGTGCAATTTCGGGGACGGCGGGATTACCTGGTACAGCCCCAGTCGTAGCTGCGCTCTGCCGATGTACCGCCCAAGCTAACTCCAGAGTTCCGTACTTCTTTCCCGTCGCATCTTCCTGATAGACAACCTGACCTGGCCGAGTGCGACTCGACACTTCCGAAAAGCCGGGGGGCGGAGTGTTTGGCAAGTCCATCTTCGAGAAAAATGTGCTAGTACACAGTTATCAGTGTGGTCGTGCTCAGGAGGTGATGGTGAGCGTGGTGAGGCGCTTATGTGATAAAATCATCGTCCGACACAGAAGTTGAGCCGCCTTGTCTCCAACTTCCTACGCTTCTCTCTACATAAGTAGCAAAAAACCTACCCCTAGGCTTAAACTTATCAAGCGTAGGTAAAACTACGATAACGCCAAGAATGTTTCATTCACGATGGTCAGCATTTTCACGATGAGTGATAGATATCAGATAGATATCACCACGCAAAAACAACGACGACGCAAAGAACCGTCCCTACCTCGATGAAAACGCGAAAGCTAATCGATGTATACGAAAATTTTCACGATCGATTCTTATGATGTGCGTTCGCCCCAGCGAAAAACGATCGACGACTTTTTCGAATTCGAATTCAACGTAACTGCTCATTGAGCCTCCTTCGGTACTTGGATAAGTACTGATCTGAAACTTTGACACAAAATGGCTCCTCGGTAAGCCGATTTCCAAACCCGATAAGAACTGAAGTACTCCTCTGCTATCAAGGCAGGAGATTCGCAATGACATCTGAATCGGATGGACTTACGAAAGTTCACTAAGTGCCTCTTGCCCTGCGAAAAACGTATGACACAAGCGTTCGAACTTTACCGCATCAAGATCTATGGAAGTAGGATCATTTTCACGGCGAGGAGATCTAGCGTCAAGCAACCTTGCAGGCACGCCGACACCACTTCGCAACATCTCCTTTAGCTCTCGACCGAAATCCTTGCTCCAGCCCCAGTTCCCACGACGCATGGTGGACGAGGACGAGCTGCCTGTGTTTACAACCCCGTCTTGGCGGCCGGACTCCACTTCTCGGAAGCAGCGCGTGCGCTCTTGCAGCATGGCCCCCGCTTTCACGTAGTCGAGAAGAAATGGGAGTTCGCATTTTTGTTCCAACCAGAAACTGGCCAGGTCCGTTCGCGCCAGCGGAGAATATTCCGTCCGGTCGAATACCTGCGCCGAGGTCAGCGGCTTCGCAGCGAGGACGGCGTTACTACCAACTTTCGGCCGTAAGTACTGGTTCTTCACGCTGTCCGCGTTCAGCAGACTGGGCACCTCAAACGGGGAATGCTTTTTGCTCGATGCGGCCCGTTCGGTAATTGCTGCGGTCCGCCACTGGTCCCGCACGTACTGGTCGAACGCAGGAAGGTCCGCCTCGAACCGTTCGATGTCGGAAAGGGTCAGCTTGTCGTACAAAGATAAATGGAAAGCGCAGCATTGCGCAAACTCGACGTAGTAATACGGATCTCTTGCACTTGCCTTTAGCAGCTTTGGCGCAACGGGCAGCTGATCGACGACGTGAAGGAAGGACAAATCGCGAAAAAAGCCCGGAAGGGTAGCCACCATCTCGTTTACGAGAGCCGGAATCTCTTGCAGTTTCTGGTGTACTCTTCCTTGTGCAGCGGATGTGTTCTTTGTATGAGCGTTTTTATCTCCGCCGCTGGTGTCTGAGGCCGCAGAGTAGAGCTCGTGTTTCCTCAGTAGTAGCTCCAAGCAGTGTCCTAGCTCGTGAAACAACATTTGCACCTCGGCAGGCAGCAACAGCCTCTGTGACGCCCACCGTTTTCGAAACGGCAAAAATTCCGTATGTAGCACGACATGCCCGGGCGCCCACGACTCTATACGCGGTCTCCTTTGAAGATGTCGCGAATCAAGTGGCAACTCCGTTTTCATCTTCCTTTTCGACCCCCCTGTTCTTTCGCCAAAGCATTTTACGTAGATGAACCCTAGGCTACGCTCGCCCGTTTTGGGCGATGGCAGGCCGTACCACGCAGCTTCCCGGGAGTACAGAGTCTCGTTTTCCTCGTCCCCTGTGAGGTCGTTTTTCCGGTGCTCGAACACTTGGAAAACGTGGTAGTTGCGGTAGGTTTCCCAGCCGCTGTTCCACCACGACATCCAGCAGCCGAAAACGCGATGCCTGAGTCCCGGCGAGTCCACTTCCGCAATCCTCAAGTCATACATGCTCGCCAGGTTTTCCACCAGCCTGGGCAGCACGCTGCGAAACGGGAGGTGCTGCGCCAGCTTTTCTTCACTGGACATGGACCGCATGTCGCTTTTGCGAGCGTCTTGCATCTTTTCACCATCGCTTCCTGCAGCGGTTGAGGTGACTACCGTGGTAGAAGACCCGGAACTACCTCCGCACTGCTGTCGTCGCAGCGCGCTGCGGTAGAAGCCGGCGTCGTACACATGAAGAGGATCTTTAAAGGACACTCCCTGCTCGCTCTCCCGCTGCAGCCGCTCCATATCTTGCACGAGAGGCCGAACGTACGGCGTGGCGACTTTGACCACGGTTTCTACCACGTTTTGCAACGTTGTGGTCGGAGACTTTGCGGAGCTTGACGAGGACTCCAAAGCCGTTCTTGCTGTCGAAGACGAAAAACCAGACTCTTGCTTCGCGAGCTCAAACGCCACCCAGCTCGCATAGCCGTGTGCCTGGGCAAGCTCCGTTCTGGCGCGAATGAGTGCGAGCCAAGACGAGTACAAACGCGTTCTTGCAGTTTGGAAAAGAACCTTGTCGTGCCAGCACTTCTGGACTTTGAACCGCGCGGCTGGATGGCTCAAGTACTCTTGGCAGAGGGAGAAATTCTCCTCGTCTAAGGGGAGCGCGTAAACCTGGGCCTTGCGGTCCCACTTCCAACTTTTCGGCAGCGAGCTCACCTCCCCGCTCGCGACGATGCCCCGCGCCTCCTCGGGAGTGAGCTCCACAGTGGCGGAGGAGGTACTTGTAGTAGTGGTTTGGCGGGGATTGGCAGTGCTTCCGTAGAGAGCCTGTAGTTCATGCTGCCATTCCCGGAAGGCGATCCTTTCTTTTTCTGTGTGCGCGTCGAGCTCAGGAATAGAAGCGGACAACCCTTCAGCCACTTGTGTTACAGTCGGGGTAGACGAGGCAGAACAACCCACTCCTGCTTCAGGCGGTTCATCAGCGTCCTGCTGATGCTTCGAAGACACCGTGTGAGTAGACTCCTGTACTCTGGCTTCGCACTGCGCAAGAACCCTTTGCACGACCCAATTCTGCCAGCGCCGCCGCAGGTAGGCCGTCTGGTCAAACAACGTGCGTAGGTGGGAGACTTGCTCCGCCGTCTGATTCTGTGGGCTTCGCAGAATCGGTATCCACGTGCGAATACGTCGCAGTTTCCACAAATCCAACAGTTGCCATCTGGACGACGAGGCAGGTGAGAAGACCAAAGACGCTACCATTTTTGGAAAAAGTAGTAGTAGTTCTAATCGATATGTAGCTTCCCCGCAGCCGCAGCAGTTACTCTGCATGTCATGGGCTCATCCAGAGGTAGGAGACAACACGTGCACTGCTGAAGGAACCCAAGAAAAACGTGCGTGCGTGCCTGAAGAACACAAAAGAAAGTACTTACTCAACCTTTATACGTCACTGAGGCGAAAGGCGAAAGTACTTGACACGCAAACTTCGCCGCGAAAATTGTAGAGAAAACGAAAATTTGCACGAATTCCTAATGTTTCAGAAGACTGGATATGATGATGTGAATGGCTGGAAACCAAAATCTTTTTGTTGCTGATCATACAAAAAAACGCGAACGTCATACAACTTACTGTCATATATGCACATGCAAAACTCAAGAAACCGGAAACAGACGTTTGTGTCTTTCAAAATCCATGGTGGTGCTTCGCTTTCTTTTGAAACACTGTCATCATACGCTAGATCACGCATGCTTATCTGGCGTGCGGGTTTCTGATTCCGCTCGAGTCGTCGCCGCTTTTGCGTCAACCCGCTTCTTGGAATTCGTTCGGGAAAGCTCCTTCGACTTGTCCTGTCGCTTTGCAACAACTTGAGCACCCGCTGTCGGCGCAACCTTCTTCTTCTTAATGGCAGGATCTGGTGATATTTCCTTGTGCGTCGGGCTATTGCCTCCCACAGACGGATTGTCTGTAGTCGTCGGTCGTGCACGGGCTGTCGCCGCTTGTCGTGCACGATTAAGTGGCGCGGTACTGTGTGGACCTTCTTTCTTGCCTGCCTGGCTCCTTGGCTTAACCTTGACCTTCGCCTCTGGAACGAGAACCTCTACCTCAGGTTCATCTTTTTCCTGGCGGAACGACGGTGCAGATGAAAGTGCTTCCTTCGTTGATCGCAAAGCCGCATGTCCGTCTCCTGCATCGCCGGTTTTTGCTCGTCCTTTCTGAAGTGTCACAGGTGCTGGAGCCTCTTTTCTCGTAAAAGACCTTGCTGCCGTTACCGCCCCTGCCGGTGCAACATTCGCAGGCGGTCTTGTGTGCTCAGGCCCAGAAACTGGTTTTTTCGTGATTTGCTCCGCTCGCCGGATCTTCTTCCTCTCCGGGACCGCACTGCGAACAGAAGTATCCCCACGAGCAGATCGCTCTACTGGATCAGATCCTGTACTGTGGTTCTGCTTCCTCGTCGGCTGGCTCGGAGCGTGGGAGCGAGCAGGAGTAAAATGATCACCGACTTCCACCAGCGTGGCATCATCGCGACTGCACGTCACAGAAACATCCTCTCCGACACTGTCTGCACGACGCGGAGCAGCCTTGGTCCTGCTTGACTTCTGCCAAGAAATCGGTGTTTTTTGTTGCACTGCGTTCTCGCTAAAACTGGATTCCGCCGATGCTGATTGCGTCTCTTCCTGCTGCTGCTGCTGCTGCTGTATGTCGTCGGAGCAGGCTGTAGCTGGTACTACTGCTTGTTTGTGATGACACACGGGCACTGGATGGTGATTGCCTTCCCGCGTAATCTTCTCTGGCCTCCGGTTCTCACCTGCATGTGAATGACGATGTTGTATCCCTGGTTCTACACTAGCACTGCCGAAACCGTCGTCTGCGTCGCTAAATCCGTTGGTCATGACATCATCATCAACGTCACCCCGTGCGGCCCGACGATGTTTCGTCTCTCCACCAGGACGCAGTCTTCTTCCTCGGCTGTCTTCCTGTGACGTTTTCATTCGACGGCTTTCGTACTTCTCAATGGACGACTCGGAACTAGATGAAAAGTTGGTGAAACTCCGACTTCTTCGGTTTCTTTTGCGCTGCTTCCGATTCCGCGTTCTTTCGCGGTCAGAACGTGCCGTTTTTTCTTCACCGCTTCTGTTTCTGTCCCAGGAGCCATGCCTGCTTTTGCTTCGAAATAACCGGCGATCTCGACGACGATCAACCATCTGTCTCCTCGACTCCAAGCTGCTTAAGCTGCAACCCGACTCTTCATCGCGCCGGCGGTGCACCGGCTCTCTGCGCTTTTTATGAGCTGCGGAGCGACTTCGGCTGCCCTTCTCCTTGGATCCTTTCCTTGTTCGCCGTTTCTGTTCCTGCTGGCTTCCGCAGGAGCTCGTTCTTGAATGTGAGCCACGACTTGATGGAGTATCGTCTCTGGGCCCTGACGTATCGCTTCTATCGTCATCGTTGCTTTTCGTCCGAGCTTGTTCTCTTTTCTTCCCGCCCTTGGAGTGCCGACTTCTGCGCTTTTTCGTTTTGTCTTGCGACCGTATCTTCGTTCCCGGACGATGATCGGAGGAGCTGTCACTATCGACCTCTTTCTTCTGCTTTTTTTGTCGCTTCTTCCCCACGTCTGCTGGCTGTTCCTGTGGAGGAGATTTTCGCTTGGAACTGAAACACTCGCTGCCCTCCGACGACTCGTGCCGGTGTTTTTTCGCTCCATTCTTGTTTCCGCCTTTCTTCGGAAGTGGGGGCGATCTCTTCTTCCCTCCGCTGCTGCTTCCCCCACTGCTGTGCCTGCTTTCCACGTCCTTCTCCTTCTTCTTGGGAGTGTCAATGTCAACGCGGACTTCAGAAATCTTAGCTTCCAAGTTTTTATCCTTCTCCTTCTTGTCACGACTTTTGTTCTCGTCCCCGCCGGTCCGTCCGATCCAGGCCTTCCGTGCCTTGACCCAGGCCCACCAGCCGTTTTTGCTCCGTCGAGGACTGCCACTGCCGTTGGAACGCTGGTCCTGGTCATCTTCCAGCAGGGTTTTGCCGCTACTCGGCACTTGTTTGGGCTTCTCGACCTCCTTCCGCTTCTTGACTTCCTGTAGTGACGTCGAACACGAAATAAACAAAACCGATAGATACGAAAAAACACGAGAAAGTCTTAGTCTAATCACACCACATGCCTGAGGTTGAGGAACAAGCAATGTGATCATCCGCAAAAAACCTGTACTTTTTCTCCCGCGTCACTGGAGTCCTCCTCAACACTCTTGCTTTTCCCCTTTTCCTCCAGAACACCAGCCTCCTTCTTTTTTCGCTTCGCCTTTTCCTGTGCTTTGGCCCTGCGCTTCGCCCGGTTTTTCGCGTAGTCCTTGCACCAGCGGACGCAGCAACAGGGACACCCGTACTTCCTCACGTAGCAAAAAAAACACACGCTGACCAGGAACAGAATGATGTAGCTCAAGTAGGAGAACCCCCAGCTGAACTCCTCGGGATCCGGGTTGGCCTGGGACGCCACGATCGGCTGCCGCTTGCAGCGAACCTCTCCCGGCCGCAGCGGCACGTCGGGCTCGTCACAGTCCGGCGCTGCGGTCTCGGCCGGCCGCATCTGCGGCTCCGAACTAAGTTGGGACGCACCTGGTGTTCCGGCAGAAGCAGTGGTTTGGCCGGCCGCATTGGAGGCACCGTCCGAAGTAGATCCGTCGTCAGAGGTCCCAGAAGCGGCGGAAGCCGCAGTTCCAACTGGGTTTGTATCGCTAACCCCAGCGCGCTGTTGCAGATTGCGATGCTTAAAAAGCCGAAGTCGTCCTCCATCGCCGGAAGTGCGAGCCCACGCTCGCAGATGTTGCGCAGCGGAGAGACACAGAAAAAGTTTTAAAAAGCCGGTTGACAGCATCGGCAGCTGAAAGAACGCTCGACGTTGATCCTTCATTGCTGCGCCTTGAACAACCTTGCTTCGCGCCACCATCCTCTGTCTTGCTACGAGCGGTCGTGTATCTTGTCGTTGACAAAGGACACTTACCACTTCATCTTCATTGTACTGATAGAGGTAGTGATAAGTGCTTCGACATTGCTGCGTTACAACTTCCGTGTCAGATTTGCAAACACGGCCCGATCTCTCCCCCTTGGCCTCGCAGAAGACGCCGCTTGCTTTTGGAGGCGCTACGCTGTCACGCGTTTTTCACTTTTGTGCTCGTATTCTCTCGACTAACATAATTAAACATGAACACCGATGAACGACGTCGCAGCGCGACTCTTTCTTTCGAAACAATCAATCTCGGGCAAAGACCTGCGCCGGCAGGGCTTCAACAGGGCAGGCCAGCCATGAAAGTGCAATCCCGCCCGGCCGGCGCCTCCAACTACAACACGTCGCAGGGTCTACTAGTGGCTCTGCGGCAACACTACAATCATCAGGAGCGCCGCGCTGGGGCCGCAACGTGCAACGCAGTCTGCCAGCCCCTGCGGGAGGCGCGGCGCACCACGGGAGTGCCAGGGGGGCCACGCCTTGGCCCCTCGGGAAAAGGGCGCACCCACGCAATGTCTGCGCGCCCGGACAGATTACTTACGCAAAAGCAGGCAATGGCTAAACCACCACCAAGCAACACCGCGTCGGCGCGCACAAAACGCCGCCGCGCGCGCCTTCTTCTTGGCTCCTGGCATCGGTTTCCAGGGCGCCGTCGCCCGGTCGCCAGCCCACTGATTCCCACATACATTTTTGCATTTCATCGCATATGTTATGCACCGCGCGCGCCGGGCCGCGTTTGTCCTTGCTGCCCACCAGGACCTTGTTTTTGCGGGCGGGCAGCCGCCCTCACCTGCGGCCCCCGCTATAGGACTGCAGCACAGGCGCGGAGCGTCGAGGCCTTTCGTAGGCCGTGGGACTGTCGGTGGCGATTCGTTTCCGGGCCCACCGGGCTAAAATTCCAGCAGATGATCGCCAGTGTCTGCCAGCCCAAGCCAAAAGATGGCCGCCGGCCCGATCGCAACACACCGCCGACAAGCCAACGCAATGCTCTAGGGCGCCATCTTGGCCTTGGGGCAGGGCTAAGTAATCGCGCGCAGCCCGTGCACTAAAGATTGGAATTGCAGGGGTTATTTATATTTTCTGGCCGGAACAATAACAAGCGTCAGAATCTGCTGTCGTGCTTACTCGTCGCTCTTCAGATATGCGTGCCACTGTTTCGCTCGCGGGGGGCCTCGTACTCAGACCCTCGGTGTCGGTAGACCTCTTTAGCTTTACGCAAACCCTCGGTAGGCCTCTTACGCAAAGCTCTTACGCAAATCCTCGGCTTTCACTTTGGTTTGCGCATTCGATAGACTAACATGAACATAACCGATTTCGCAGTGCCAGTGCGTCTCATTCTTTCATAAGAAATCAATCTCAGGCCAAAACCTGCACCGCCAGTGACTGCCTCAACGAACAGGGTGTGGCATTCTTGATGACATTCATATTGCAACGCAAAATCAAAGTTGCAGTTTAACAAGTAGGTCACTCTAGCCGGAGCGAACTGCGACCTTCATATATTACAATCCCGCCAAGCCGGCGTCTCCAACGCGTTGCTGAGCTGGTGCTATTCATAGCTAGGCGGCAACACTGCAGTCGAGCGCGGCGCCGGGGCTGCAGCGAACAATGCAGTACGCACATGCGAGGCCGAGGCGCTGCGCCCCCCGGCCTGCCACGGGAGCGCCACGTCTTGGACCCTCCAAGGCAGCGCGCTCGTGCCCAATGTCTGCGGCTGCCCATAGGATTACGAACCAGCAGGCAGGGAAAAGGCCACCATCGAAACCACGCAGGCGCACGCCAAGCGCGCGCCACGCGCAAAGCGGCGCCATGTTATCCATCGCCGCCGAACGATGGAGCAACGCCGCCCGCAGCGGCCCCCACTAAGACACTCACAGTAGAAAAGGCGCGGCGCGTCGGCATCCATTTCCGCGACGGTCGGCCCGGTGCTCGTTTTCGGGCGCGCCTTTGTCCACCAGCGCCACAGAAATGACATGCTCGCCCGACGTCGGGTACGTAACGAGCGCCACACAGTGCCCGGACACCAGTGCGAGGCGTTGGGGCAACATCTTGACCCTGGAGAATTGGCGCGATGTGAACCACTCGCAACCTTCGCGCTAAACTTGATTGTAGCGGTTTCTAGCTAGAACAACTCTCCGAACGTACTTATACTCTTAAACCGTGCTTGCTCTCGTCGTTCAGGTATGTGCGCCACGACTGTTTCGCTCGCGGTGAGTGTCTCTCTGACTAGACCCTCTCAGCATCATTTTGAAATTTGGAATTAGGTAGCACATCATCGTCTGCGACGTACCGACACAGACCTGCAACGCGACAAAGCACAAGGATGACCATGGTGAGCATCACCTCCCAACAAGGATGCGGTCCAAATCCATCGAACCACGCGATTCTTTTTCGTCGTTTACCACAAACACCGCATCTCAAACCTGGGGGGTTTTTCTATTCAATTTTTTTCGGCGTTCTAAAACTAAAAATGAATCTGTACACGATGCATTCATAACTCATCCATTTTTGCGTTTGCGGTGAATAAGGTACTTAAACTTATTGCCCTAGAGTTTCTCTTTCTCGAAAGACCAAACAGGTCAAGACTTCAGTAACGGTTTGCGTTTGCCAGCCCCAGCCATAGGAAATCATATACACTCACATTCTTGACTGGTTCACTGCTATTTGTATTGCAAGCGCTTCACATACAGTTTCAATCACACTTTGGCGCTGCAATCTACATTGATTTTCATTTGCTGCAGGACGTTCAATAAACACCATCTACGTTTTGGACTTAGCCGTGAGCAGCATCCCCCGCACGATGTTCTGGTTCCAAACTCGAGCAGACGGCGAGAGCGGCATCTGTTGCTGTGCCCCCGACCTGCCACTCTGCGATCCTTCGGACGAAAACGCACCAGTGCTTTGCCCGCCCTCCCCGGTACTAGACTGGAGAAAACTACTTCCCGAGCCATTCTCCAACGGCGCGAGTGAAAGTCCCGCCCGCTGCGCCAGGAAGTCAAGGTCCAGGTCACTGTCGGGGTGCGCCGTGCGGTATTGCTCGAGCAGCCCGGCGCCCCCATCGCGCTCGATGTGCTCCATTAGCGCTTGCATTTTCCGCACCCGCACGACACAATGCGTGAACCTGCCTCGGCAGCGGCTTTCCTCGCTCGCGGGCTCCTCCGCCGCCACGGACCCTCCGTGGGCCGCGCGGAACGTGTCCAGTGCGGAGGACTCGATGGCCAGCGAGGACGCCAACAGGCTGGATCCACCCATGGCCGACTCGTCGAACAGGGTTGTTCTCTTTGACTTGCGCAACTTTTGCCGCGTGGGTGTGCGGCAGCTGGCGCGGAGCGACGCCCACAGCTCCTCCGAGTCCTGCGGTTCCCGCGCGGCCTCGGCTCTTTGCTTCTCCACCTTCTCGTCCAGCCACTGCAGCAGCTCCCACCCGTCGGGAAAGTTGTCATGGAAAAACTCGTCCACCTCCTCTTTGCTCGGGGAGTCCACCTCGCCCTCGCCGAGCAGCGCGGCGTACAGCCGCGCGACGTCCCGTGTTCGCTTCTCCTCCTCCACCGAGTCCTCGGAAGCAGCAGCTGGAACTACCCCGGTAGTACCACTACACGAGGAGGCCTTTGGCTTCGTTTGCGACGTCAACCGCTTCAAATTCAACGACGACCACAGGTTCTTCTGCCTGGCTCGGTCCTCCGCAGACTTCTCTTTCGCGAGCGCAGCGGCTGCGCGTTCTGCCTCCAATTTGGCCTTCTTCGACCGCTCGTTGGCGAGTCGGCACTTCTCCTTGTCTTGCTCCAGCACATCCAAAATTGCCGCCAGTTCCTGCAACTCACGCGCGTTGTTGTTTCCGCCCCCCGGAGACGCCGTGCTACCAGTAAGGAGTGCCCCGTTCGCCTCTGCCACGGGGTTGTCGCTGGTACCAAAGGCGCCGCCCGCTTTCCCCAGAAGCCGGTCAAGACAGGAGCGCAGCTTGGTTTCTGTTGCTGCTTGGGCTTCGGCCTCCGGCGGTCCAGCGGGCGGAGCATCGACTTGAATCGGCGCCAACTTCCGTGAGCGCAGGGAACGGCTCGTCGTTGGTTGAGCCGGCTCTGCGACTGGAGAGGACGTGACAGGCTCTCTCGGTGGCTGAGCTGGTTGTGAGGGCTGCGAAATAACCCTCACCTGATCGCTCGGGATAACGATCGCAACATCGCGTTTTGGCACCGGTATCAGTGGTGTCGCTCTAGTACTCGAGGCCGGTGCCGGCGGCTCCGGTGCGGTTGCCGGTTGTGGATCGTACACTTGTGGCAGATTTTCTGCGCATCGCCCCAAGTGGCCACCGGGAAGCACAACCGACTCGTTTGCAAACGGGTCAGCCTGGCGCTGCGACCGCGACGCAGATGCGGGCCGCGCCAAGTCCATTGCAGGTGAGGGCATCCGAGTGGGCTGCGCGATCGGGGGCGGTCGGTGGGCCTTTTCCAGGCGGGGCAAGGGCGGCCGAGACGGCACCGGAGAGGAGATTGGGGTACTACTTTCGTCCCCCCGTGAGCCGCCCTCCGGGCTGGGCACCGGCGTATGCTGAACGCGTCGACGCGGCGTGGCGTTATTTGACGTGGACGGCCGACTTGTCATCGGGCTGCGCGTGACGGGTTGCATGGGGACGGTAGCGGTCACTGGGCGCAGCGCCATGGGCGCCATACTGACAAAATTTACGCACTCGCGCTGCGGCGTAGGAGCCGGTTTTTGGTCGATGAAAGAATTCCGGCTGCTGGTGAAGGAGTTTCGGCTGGCACCGCTACTAAAGGAAGACCGGCCCGACCCGTGCGAGAGACGTTCATCATCCCAGTCACCCCGAGTGTCTTCGTCCGCGGGGTAGTACCCGGGTGTACTAGAAGTAGCCCCACCAGCTGGGAGATGTTGGTGCACACCGCCACCTTCTAAACGGTTTAGTTGCTGCATTCTTCTGCTCCCGTGGCGCTGCCAAAGACGGCCGGCTGCCGCTTGGGCGGCGAAATAGGTACTGGGGCCTCCTGGAGCTGGAGGTGCACCAGACCCGCCAGCCGCGCTGGAACCGAAACTGTTGCGCGGTGAACAAGATTCGTCCGAGAATACGTCCTCGATTGTGCTTCTATTGCTTTTGCGCTTCGCGCGGCTGTGCCGGTGGTGCTCCCCGCCATGCGTCGCCGGACGATCGGGAGCGCGAACAGGAGGGCAAGGTGGCCAGTTGTCTTCGCGCTCTCCACCGGGCTCCCGCGGCTCGCCCGGCAACGACGCGGTGCCCACCATGCTGCGATCATCGGGCCCACCCTCGCTGACAAAGGTCTTCCGGCTCTGGCGCGACGATGGGCGCGAAGAACCGTTGAAGGTATGTCGAGCCGGCTCCTCAACCCCATCATCTTCCGCAGCATTTCGACCGGAAAAGGTGCGACGCGTGGGAACCCCGGGTACTTGCCACGTCGAGGCGTCGCGGCAATTCGCACAAGCTGCACCGGATATTAAGGACGCTCCGAGGACAACGTACGCAAGTGCGGCCTGGCTCATACTTTGCGTAGATTTCTTCAATTAGTCACTTTAAGCAAACGACAACGGCGTACAATTATCAGGTTCAAAGAGGATCAACTCCCGCAAGAATTTGAATTTTGCGGAGGATCTTCTTTCCTTACACTTTTTCTTCTGCCAAAACTGAGACTGGAACATGTAATTGTATTGCAATCGATGCAGCGTCAATGATGGAGAAAAGAAAATTGAAAATGCGCCAGCCCGCTGGTATGCCCAATTGGACCTTCGAAAGAACACCAAATCGCGACTCCAGGAACACTTCCCTTGAACCCTTACGCTTTCTTACGCTGCTCTATGAGTACTAGATCTCCACAGACAAAAGCGATGCCTGCTAGTGCTTCGAACCCGTGCTGCTCTCGCAGCTCACTTGCCTGCCATTTCGTTGAAAAAACCGGGCAGTGAAATTGAAGACTCTAGATCGTTAAGCTGCTCCATCTTGTCCAAGCACAGATTGTTCGTTAGCTTTTGGATGTGGATGCCCAACTCCAGCATCTGCTCCAGCATGGCTCCGTCTTGCCCCGGACACACCGAGCTCACTTCTTTCAGCGCGGACGCCGTGTCAGTCAGGGACCGCTTACTCGTTTTGATCACTTCCATCAACCCGAGAAAGGCGCCGCTTTTCGCTAGTGGAAAGGGACAGGCCTCCGCGACGTCCAGCATCGTAGACGCAGCTACGAGGACGCCCTTCCGCAAGATCGCCCGTTCCTCTTCCACGTCGTCCTGTCCGCGCTCAGAAGACAAGCTCGTCAGTAGCGCTTCCCGTGTGGTCAGATCGCGGAGGAGTGCTTTGTTCTGCGCGAGGTTTGCCTCCAGCCGGACCAGCTTCCCTTCGAGGGTCGACTGTCGCTCCAAGTGCGTGATGCGCGTGCGCCGGTTGGTTTCCTGAAAGTTCTGCAAATCCCGAATCTGAGTATGCACTTGCCGTGTCAGGAGTTCGTTGCTGCTTTGCGCCTGCAACTCCAGTTGGTCGCCCGATTCCTGCAAGTGTGGATACGTTGTTTGGATCATTGAAGCAAACGCTAAGGCACAGTACTTGCTCCTGTTGTGCCCGTGCATTGACAGTTTTCTAGGTGCACGCACGTGCCCGAGCCCAACACGATGCAAAAAGAAAACGAAGTAGAAGATAGAAATTTGCAGTACCAGCAGCATGGTCATTTGCTGATCTGAAAGCGTGAGGTCGCGACCGATCCTCGCAATTTCGATCTTGAGGTGCGAGATTTCCAGCTGGGACTTCGCGATGTCCTGCCGCATAGCCGTGATTTGTTTCGAAACCTGATTGGACATGTCCTTGATGGCGTAATTTTCACCCCCGCCGCCCTTCCCCCCGCCTTGCTGCAGCCCATCGCCGCCAGCACCCCCGCCCGACAGCGCAAGGGCGGATGCCTTGTGCTTCCCCAGCATCCGGAGTCGGTTGTTCAGTTGCGTTTGTCGCTTCTTCAGGGTCCCGCCGCGCGCTCCGTACTCCTCGATTAGGTCGGAGTCGCGCAAAGTTCCGGAAACGCCCCACTTCGCGTTCACCGCCAGCATATCCAGCGCCAACTCCCCGTTTTCGAGTAAAGGCCCGTACCAGGGGACGGGCGACTGTTGATCTACTTCCACGCCTGCGTCTCTATTTCCGCTTTTATTCGCACCACCCCCGACACCCCGCCCACCCGCGGCACCGGCATTCGCTGCTCCGCCCACCTCCTGTGGCACAAACGCGTTCCGGGAGCCATAGATGGTCGCGGCCGCCTCCCCCCAGACGAACAGCCGCCCGCTCACGGTCGTCGCGCAGCTGCTCCGCCCGTTCGCCGCAATCCGCTGGACCGCCTCGCCGCCGAAGAAGCTCGGGGAGAGCAGCTCCGGGTTCCGCACCACGAACTGCGCCTTGTCAAAGTGCGTCAAGGGGACCCCGAGCTGACCCGACTTGCCCTTGCCCCACGCGAACACCTGCCCGTCCGCGGTGAGCGCGAGACTGTGGTCGGTGCCGCACGCGATCTGGATATCAAATGCAAAAATGTCTGGGTCTGGAAGAATGCAACTTGTCATGCTAAATTTTTTTATTTTTTTTTGCTAGGCAATTCGCACGCAGTTTTCAGTTTTCAGGAGCGCCCCGCGGTCGGAATACTTCTGGCGGTAGACGTGGACCAGGGATTTTGCGGCTTCGCGCCGCGACGACCAAATGGGGTCCCATCACCCCCCCTCCGCTTTCGAGAATCTCGTTTGTGCGTGCGTGCTGCAAAAGTTCGACATCGGTGGTCGACAGAACATCGAGATCAAGCTCGAAGGGAAAAAAAGCAACGGCCACAAACGAAAATCATCGGCGAGGATCCGCGGAGCCGGTGTGGGGGTACATACCGCACCAGAACGCGCGGATTCGTTTTTCTTCACGTGTCGAGCCGTAAGCAGCGGCACACGCCACATCTCTTCATCTTGCAGCGTCCGGAAAGATGTGCTTTGGGGGCATAGCAGTGCGGGGGGATACTATCTACACCGGCTGAGCTGAGCCTGAATTTGTCATGCAAATTTTTGGTTTTTGAATTATATAGCGGCCTTCTTCTAGAGCTAACAAGTCACCCAGTCAAAGCGGTCGGTTTTCGCTAAATCCGAATCATGCTAAATCCGAATCATGCAAAAATCCGTGTTGCATGATTACCAAAAGAGGCCCACTTTTGAACAAGTTTAGAGGCAGTTTCTCATGCAGAATAGGCATGGGAGAGAACTCACAGACTCTGTCATGCTAGGTCCCGCATTCCAGACCTCAAGGGTCATGGAAAACCTGCATGACAAGTCCACACTCTTCCAGACCCAGACACTTTTGCAGGTGATACTGGATGCAGTGCAGCATTTTGGCGTCCTTGCGGATGGTGTTGATCAGCCCCGGCTTCGGGTCGAAGTCGTTCAGCCCCGCATTCCCCCGCCCGATCTGCTCCTGACTGCCCCAGCTGTAGATCAACCCGTCATCGGAGAGTAACAGCACGTGGTTGGCACCGCACTCGACCTGCGCCACCAGCGGCGCGTCGGTGTCCGGGGTGCCGGCCATTGTTCCGGCACAAGGACGCCAGGAATTATGTGATCACCGCGGCGAGGACTGGCGCGAATCGTCGATCAGATGGATCTTCTGCCCCAAGTAGCTCCTCGGCGGATGCAATGGTTCTCGAGCTATACGTTTGCAGTCGTCGGGAAGTGATCTTACCGTTTTCTATTCGCTGTGACGCATTGACCGACAATGTTTCTTTGAGTCTAAGAAGATGTTTTTCTTTCTGTCGCGTCGTCCTGTACTTAGTGTACGTGTAGCGCAGTTTCACCGGACAAACGCAGCGTATGGCATACACGCTGCAACACTCTCAAAGACAATCAAAGTTTCAGTTGTCGACTCGCCCAATAGACACATTTCTCGGCCCACGGTCACTGTGTGCGCGCTAGCGAAACAGTTTTGTACAGGGTTCAACTCATCATCATCTTGTTCCGAGTAGGTTACATTCGGGCCGTGCCGCGTGATCTGAGCAGCCAGTTGTTCATCGCAACCGAAACCGAAAAATCGCTTTTGCTGGCCCCTCGAGAGATGCAGATTCGTCTCTCAACTATTGCACAGTAAGAGGCTACTGAAACGTGGACTCGAAAACGAAAGAAGCCTACCGTTACGTAAAACATCTTGTCTGCTTGCGATGATTATCATAAAGAGGCTGAAGCAGTGTGTAGATCTACTACTTCGTGTACATTAGTACTGAGATAAAGTTAGAAGTGTATAAAGGCTAAAGCTTGAAACTTTGTTACATTTTTTTGCAGAAACTAGCTCCAGTTCTTCAGTCTATCTTACCACAACGTGAAGCGCAAAATAAAACTCGTTGTATCTTCGATTTTTGTGAAACTCATTTGATTTCTTCGTACGGTGTGCGAAGCAAGTGCTGAAAAGCAACCGATGCCTCACTAGTTCTAGCTTTTCACCTGAGTCTTGGAAGGACTGTTGGACGCTCCTGCCCCGGCAAGAACGTTGTGTTCCGCAACTTGCTCCGCGAGGGTCGCTAGCAAGGACTGCCCGTAGTTCTTGCTCTTCGGTTTCTCCGGAGATGTGCTTCGCGCACGCAGAGCCGGCATTTCCTCGACAGGCAACCCGAGCCCAAGCATCTTTTGCATGGATGGCCGTGACATGTTTTGTGATGTCATGACGCGGTTTGGCGCAAAGTGGTCTGCAGAGTGCATGTTGTTCATCGTGGGTGCTGGCATAGTGGTGCTGGGACGCGCACCAGAGCCTCCCGCGACGCCGTGCCGTCTCTGCGAAGATGAACTCCGGTGCGTACTGCGCGAGGACGCTGCTGGTGCCACGCGTCGGAAAAACTCGGCCGCAGAGCCTTGATTCAGGTGGAAGCGCGCCGTCGCGCCGGCCCCGTCGCTTTTGCCGGCGTCTCCGCGCTCTAACGGGTCTTCTAAAAAGCAGCGCAACACCCCGTCCCCGCCCGCGAAGAAAATGTGTCGCCGGCCCGCCAAAATGGCTTCCGCCACGGCGTACACCGGGGCTGATTTCCGGTGGTAGTTGACCAAATCGCCGTTTTTGATCAGTCCCACCTCGGTCCCACCGTACACCGTAGTGGAGACGGGAATCGCGTCGGGATCGCGAAAATTGAACTTCTTGTCCAGCAACATGCTGCTGTTCAAACCTCCACCTGCGGCTTGACCACTCCGCGTTCCGGTAGATGAAGTTGCTGGCGTTCCGCCCGACGCGAGCTCGATTGGCTTCGCCTCCAACACGCAGTACAGCGCGCATGGCAGGCCAAATTCGTGCAGGCATTCGTAGGTAAGGGAGTTCTTTTTCCGGTTTTGCAACTCCTCTTGGAATTGGGACATGATCATGCCAGAAGTTTGTTCAAGTTGTTGCTGCGCCGCATCACCACCATCTTTAATATTTTCTCCTGTTGTACTATCCGTATTCATCTTGTTCACGCTCTTGCGGCGGCGCGGCGGCTTTTTCAGGAGCTTGATCTCTTTTGTATGCTCCATGGAGGATTCGAGCGCGACGGTGCTGGGGTGGGTCAAGGACGGCTCGGGGTCTATGAGAAGGTCCACCTCATCGTCATACAGTGTCTGCTGCTTCGAGAAGGACGAGTCCAGCAATCCACGGGTGTGCTTCTGATCCTTCAATTTCCAGAAGCTGATGGTGCCGTCGGCCGTGCAGGCGGCGACGCGAAACGGCTTGGTTTTCTTGGGCTTGTTTTTCGGCTTGTTCCGCGTGCTAGGCAAATGCAACGAGCCACCATCCATACCGACGACACGAATCGATGTTTCTTGTGTTACGAGAAAGTCGTTTTGCCGCTTCTTCCTTTTCTTCCGCTTCAGTGAACTGCTTCGCCGCCGAGTGCTCGCGTTCGCATTTTCTTGCCGCGAACTTCGTGCGGACCCGCGTCTAGATGTCGGGGAAGGAAGATTTTCCTTGCCGTGCGGCAATGACGGATTTCCCTCAAAATCCGTGAAATCGGCGCTATGCTCTCCGTCCGTATCGTCTCCGTCGGTATCCGTCCGGTCGGTCACCGATAATTGCTGACTACGATTAGGGTTGAACTTAGCTGGAGAGCTCCTTGCATTCTGCGCACTAGAAGCACTATCCTCGCTGGTGAGCGCGACGAGCCCGGTGATTTTCGCGGACGGAATCTCCATCGTGCGCCCGAAATTCGCCATGCACTCCGCCGGCCCCGAGTCACGCAACCGCAGCGCGACGATGCCTCCGCCGGAAGCCAACCCAACGAGCAGTATTTTGTCTTGCCGCATCAGCAGCAGCTTCTGCGGCTCGCGCTCGAAACGGTACTCCACTCCCTCGCGCTCCAGCTTCTTGCGCTCTTTCTTCTTCTCTTCCTTTTCCGCTTTGACGCGCGCCTCGATCGGGTTCCGCACGATGCCCCGTGCTTTGTCGCGCTGCGCGATGAGGGAGAGTTGAGGCTTCGGCGGTGGTTTATTCGGCTTATGAGGAGATGAGATGTGGTGCTGCGGTGAGGACAAAGCATCGGCACCATCAGCTTCTTCGACGAAACCCACCGCTCGCTGCACCACAAGTTTGATCTTCGAGTTCTCGTCAGCCGCCGTGGTGTTCAACAATAAACCAGCTTTGTTTCTACTAGACCGCAATGATGTTGACGGAGTTGCCGTGGTCGTTGTGTTCCTCCTACTTTTACTAGGATGCTGCAGCACAGTTGCGGCGAGGCAGTCGCCCCGGCTCTGCGGACGACTTTTCACTGGTTCGTCCAATTCGTCGTCACTCTGCCCCGGGAGATCATGACCCCCCGGCCCCACCAGGTTGTGTTTCTGCATATGTTCATCTCTTGCGTCCTCTTCGCCCGCGTCATCAAAATCGGCATCTTCGAGCAGCGATGCGCTGACTACGGGCGTTTTTCCCCGCGGCGCGGCGTCGCGCCCGCGACTCGTCACGTTGCGCTTCGGCGGAAGACTGCTGCGCTGGTCCTTCTTCGTCGTGAATTCTTTCTCTACTTCACCCGCTTTCGGCGAGCCGGCGCGCATCGAGCTGCTGCGCAGAGCCGCGATGGCTGTGCGAGTAGCCGCAATGGCAGGATTCGCATTCGAGGACGAGTGCACCGGTCGGGTTCCTACGGTTGACGTTGTTTCCTTGTTTGATGTTCCCGCGGGTTCTGAAGAACCGCCGACCGGGTCTTTCCACTGCGGCTTGCGGGTGCGCTGCGTCCGAGTTTGCTCATACACCGCTAACAGCTCCTCCAACGGAAGGGTCGGTGCGATCTTCTTGTAGAACTTAGCCGCATCGGGGTTGCTGCTGTTCCTGTACTCCTTCGCCACTTCGGCCAGCGTTTGCCCGCCCGCCGTGCGGATCATGTTCATCGTGGCGCGCAGGCTCTTGCGCAACGATTCGTCGCAGTTCGCGAGCATGGCGGCGAACCGATGGCTGTCTTGCTCAATGTCCTGCAACACCCGGTTCTGTTCCTGCCACCGACTCCAGAGCTCAGCCGCGGCTTCGCGCTTTCTGCGCCGTCGACGCAGCTCGTCCTCCGTTAGCGGGCGCAGAATTTCGCCGTCCAGCACCTGAGAAACATCACGAGTTGCTTGTTTAGTACTTGCGCCAGTGTCAAAAATACTGAAAGCGCGTAAGCATTGGCATCTGAGTAAATGATCGGTGTCAGAACAGCCATCGAGAAAAACATGCATCGTATCGACCATTTCACGAGCAGGTATCACAATGAATGAAAAATCTAAAGTACATTTTCCAAAACTGGTGGCGGTGGCGGCGTCAGGGCCCGAGCGGGAGTGCGAAGTTGCTTTCGACGACCCGGCTCCGACGCACGACGCTCTCGCACGCTAAGCGGTGGGTAGTCACTGAATGCCGAATCCGCGGGCGAGTCCCGCGGCAACTTCAGTTTCGCCGGTGATGGCATTTGCGGTCCTCCCCGCCTGGCATCTGCTAATGCCGCGACAACTGATCTAGCCCGATCAGTTGCGTTCGCGGCGGGTCGGCCACGAGCTTTATTACCTTCCTTCGCAAGCTTCGTATCTTTCTTGCTCCCACCACCAACTGTTACCACACGGCCCGCGGCCTCCGACAAGGCAGTGGCTTTCTGCTTCGCCTTCCGAGCGTCGTCGTCGTGCAACGCAGCATCGCACAATTGCATTCTCCGCAGTGTTTTGTCGCTCCCTATGGAGAAAACGGACTTGCGCTCCGCACTGCACACGAGGTGGCGCAAAGGATGTGTCTCGTGGGGCAGCACTCGGGCCAATGGGCGTAGCTCTTCGTCCGGAAAAAGATCCTCGTCCCACCGTAATCGTCTCCACTTCGGTTTGTCGATTTTCTTTCTCGCTTTGCTTTCTTCGGCATTTTGCGCTCTCATCTCTTTGCTTCGCTGATTCTTCTTCCGCTTTGGCGGGGGTACACCAACGACCATTGCAGTAGCCTGCTCTACTGTTTTTCGCTTTTTCTTTCCTTTCTTAGCACTCTTCTTCTTCGCATCCTTGTCGTGTCCCACTCTAGCACCGTCCGCTGTGTGTGCATCCTCGCCCGAAGTGTCTCCGCCCGCACTGGAAGACGAAGACATGGACTTCTCGTCGTGCGAAAACAGTGTGGACGCGTCGCTGCCAGCCGTTGACGAGCGGCGCATGCGTCTCCGCAGGCTCGCGCCGGCCGGATCTTCGCCCCAAAAGCGATGGTAGATGCCGTCGCGAATCACCGTGTCGTCGCTGTCCGCGTCGCTGCTGACGGATTCAGCGTCCGTCAGCTGGACTTTGTTGTCTTGCAGCTCCACCCCCTGAATGCTGTATTCCGCGGCTGCGTCTGTCGCTACAGGCCCGGGGCTCGCCGGCAAATCTGTGGTCTCCTTCTTGCCAGATGAATTTTCGTTGTCTTCACGTTGCCTAGTTGCTTCAACGTGTGGTTCAACACGGTCTCTACCTTGCTGTTGCTCGACACTATCGGTCCTCGCGCTCGCTGAAGTTGTAGATTTTCGTCTCTCTTCCTTCCCACGGACGGTCGGCTGCGTGCTGTCCGGCTCTTCGCAAGACGAGGAGGACGAACTCGACGGTACGGCCGTGCTTGCTAGTTCCAGTGTTCCCCACCGTTCCACGAAGGAAGCCTCGTCGGCCTTCAGTTCGCCCGCGATGTAGAATTCCTCCAGCTTTTTCTTCTCCTTTCGACGTTCCGGAATGAAAATAGTACCCTCCACAAACTCCTCTGCATCCTCTGCCTCCGGGTCCAGAAACAGCGGAAAGCGGCCCTCTTTCGACAACCGGCTCTTCGTGGTTGCGGATGAAATACCGTACCGGCTGTCGTACTCCTCAATGGACTCCTGCTCTTGCAATGGCTGCCCGGCTAGGTGTACTGGGGGTTGTTCTCCTGCTTCATCGCTCGGCTTCTTCAACATCTCGGCAACATCTTCGCCTTCTGCACCGATTCCGCGCTGATCTGCTGATCTCGGGGGGAAGACCGCATCGTTTGCAACTTCTCCTCTGCGGGGCCCGGCAGGATTCTCATTCTCCTGCTCGAGATCATTGTGAAAAATCAGCGGTCCTTGCTTGGATGAGCTCAAGCCTGCGGGTGGAATCCGCAGCTGCTCAGAACTCGGGACGCGATAGTTCGCCAGCTCCTCACTGCCCTGCCGCGTTTTCAACTGCACCATCAGTTTTTCGAAGTGCCTTTTCCTGCGCCCGAGCTTGTTTTGTTGCAGCAACGGGGCCACATCCCAGCACAAGAGACACCCATCCTCTCCGCCGGAGTAGAGGTAGATAGGCTTGTCTACTTCCGCAAGCTCCGACACCGCGGTCGGTGGCTTCTTCAGAACTGACGTCGAAGAAGATGACGCCGACTTGCTTGCTGTCGCTGGAAGCCGCTCGGGGAGCACTTGCAGTCCGGTGATCGGCTTGCTGTGTCCCTGTAGGATGCCTACCGGATGCCGCAAGTCAGTCAAACCGTAGACGACGATGGCGCCACTACCGGTGCCGACAAAAATGTGCCCTTCTTCCACCAGTAGAACGTGGATGCTCTCCTGCGGGGGCCATACACGCGTCTCGGATATCAGCATGTTTTCTCAGCGAAAGTGAATAAGTATTCACATGATTACGTCTCTACCTCGAGACTCGCGTCGGCGCATCGCAACAACGTACTGAAACGAAGTGCGTCAAAAGCTTGTGTGCGGAATTCACGCTATAAATTTTAGGTGAAATAAATGGAATGTCAGAAATGGCTTTGTGATGCTCTGGGCAGGAACGAAAGGTCGATAAGGCCGAACCGCAGTGACGGACACGTCAAAGTCAGCGAAGAAACGGGTCGAGCAGGCACTTCTGCTTGAGAAGACCTGCTGCCAAAATTCCGCTCTCTGTTCGAACCCATACTGGTCTCACTCTTCGCCTCACCCATCGCTCGTAGCGTCAAATCCCTCCTTTCAGTGCCAAGACGCGGACATCTTCGTGCGTAGCAGATGAAAACCAACATCGGGACGCACCGACGCATCCCTGAGAGCCTCAGCTGCGGAGTCCGAGATTAAAGATTGAGATAGCGGAAAATTTCAATTTGAAAAACGAAAAATAAAAGAAACAGAATTTCACAAGAAAGTACATTCCGGTTCCGGAAGCTCAAAATACAAACGAAAAACAAACCAACGAGGCTGCGATAACGTTTCACAGTCCGTCGTCTTTGTTTTTTTGAACGGTAAAAGACTTACTTGCTACACCTCCACGGAATGCCACCTATACGAAGTACGACGGTAAAAATGAACCACAAGAAGATGCTAAGTGAGTAGATACGTCAGAGCTTTTTGGATTTGAGTTAACCATTCCATGTCAAACTGGTGACAAATAGTTCTACGGCGAAGCTAATGATCGCAAGAACCTACTGTGTAAAAAGCATCGTGACACCTGTTTGGTGGAGCCAAAACAGTTGCAACGTAAAATTCTTTTTCAAGAACGTAATTGAGTAAAAGTGAAGTTTCATTTTGAACAATCGAAGAAGCTCGTGGTTTACAAAGTTCTGAAGATTCCTAGTACGTTTTTAGAGTGTGACTTTATTCTGCAAAGGTACGTTAAGTAAGACTGGGACTACAAGATAGTTAAGTAAGTTCTGTGCGGCAAGACGTAAAAGTCGCCTCCTACTCAAAAATATTGAGGGTTTTTCTACTAGCACGATGCAAATTGATCACGATCGCAAATCAGTTCAAACGAGTTCTGTGATTTTGACTGTCTTGGAGAGCTACAAGCAACATGACTAAAAGTTTATTTGGCTGGCTACGGGAAGTAGAATCAATGCAATACTTGTTCCGGAAACTGTATATTCTGCTTCAAAATTGTCCATGATAATTTTTGGTCGTGCCTCACGACAAGCTAGCTGTCTTCAATGTCCTCCTCCTGCAGAGAAGCCTCCGACTCGCTCTCGTCTTCACCCTCGAGAATACCTGTCGTGGATGAAATTGGAATTTTTCGGAACCAATGCATGAAACGAAAAACAACTGCATGACTCGACAGTTATCCGTGTGACGCTAGTAGATGATGACATGTTGTTTCGCTTCTCGTCACAATTCCTCAGCAAGAGCACAAAACGAAGACCAAGACAGGAGAAATGAGATTGATATAACGAGTAGATTATACCTTCGCCAAACGGTACTTGCTTGTTGATTTTCTGTGCCAAAACGTTGGGCTCTAGTGGCCAGGAATCCACGTTGTACGGGTTCGCGCCAGCACCCGTACCGACGTCCCACAAGTCACCATATGCGTCTTCGTCCTCGTCCGCAAGTGGCGGTGGTGGCACTGATGTGAGAGTGAGAGCAGTTGTGACAGTAAGCATTTACATTTTATCTCTCAACGATTATATTCTCAGCGATTCCATTCCGAATCCGATTTTGATTTTCTACAGAAAAAATAAAGAATCGCTGCGCAGTCATCAACCTGGTTGACTCCCGTACGCGTACACTAGTAAAGTAGCGTGATCAAGATCATAATTGAAGAGGACTCTCAACGTCAAGAAAAGGAAGAAACCCAAAGCCAAACCACTAAATTTTACTGAAAATCTCTCCCGCGGGGTGTTTCTGTTTGGTAATTTCGATGGGTGAGTCGCCAAAGGTTTCCGTGTGCTTGAAAAATTGGCGCTGCTGTTTCGCGATCAAGGCCCAGCGCATGGCGCGCATCCGCTCCGCGTTCAATTTTTCGCCCGTAGACTTGAGCTTCTCCGTCTGGCATATTAGAGTTTGAGCTTTGATGACTTGTTCGTAATGTTGACTTATACACTTGCATGTACAACGGGAAGCATCACGATCAACGCGTAGTGAGACGATGGCAGCTATGCGCAAAACAGAAGCTCGATGTCGATGGCATCAACAAAACTTTCGTGTGTGTTCATAATAAATCATTCTGTACCAGTAACTGCACGGCTCGGCTCTCCGCGGACTCTCCGTAGCCCTCCGCGCATTCCCGCAATCGTGCTTCTGCTCGGGCGGCGAGCTGCCGTTCGTTCCACAGGTGTTGACGTGAGAGTTTTAGTTGGGAGGTCAGATTCGTCACCTGCGCATCCCGACTGCGCAGCTTCTGGTTGAGTGTTTCCACCGTGGAGCGCATTGCCTGCAGCTCCTTCTCGGACCCGCTCTTGGTGGAACTCGTACGTTTCAGCTCCTGCATCGTGTCGTAGGCAAAGTCTTTCGTTCTCTGCTCGTCGCTGGGCGTCAAAGTCTTCTTTGGCGGGTTGGCGAACCGCAAACAGTCCCAACTTTCTGTCTGGACATGGAGGGTCCTGGTTCCGTGGTACACATCAAAACTCGTGCCGACCTCACACGTCTTCTTGCTGGTACTGGCAGTCGCCGTCTTGGCTAGTCGGTCCATCTTGCGTAGTAGCAGTTGCGTCCTGTTGGAGTAGTGGAAAATTAAAATTTTCATTTTTCATCCGTAACCGTATTTCTCCCCTGCATAAGGCAGTAGAAAAAGAGCTGACGAGGACCAAAGCGTGACAGAATTCTCTTCAGAAGTCATCTTCAACATCGTCAAAAAAATTTATAGTCAACAGCACTATGCTGCTGCAGGTACAAATTACCTTGGAGATGCCTTCTCTTCGCTCAGATCCGTGATGCTATCCTCGTCGAGGTCCTTGTCTAGCGGGCTCGGCAGCGCATCTATCTTGTAACTCCGCCCTCGCGGCCAACACCACGACAGCTTCCGTCTTCTCCGCTTCGAAGATGATTGCGCAAACGCGAATTCCTCCGCCAGTGTTGTCTTCTCTGGACCGCTTGATGCATGGTTGTGTGCTTGCTTATAACTTGACTTAGTGGACGAAGACGACATGATCCTGCCCGGTCGGCTGCTGCTGCTACTTGCAGTGCTCGCGGACTGCGCTTCCTGACCACTCGAGGACGACGTTGTTGAGAACGCGGTCGTGAATTGTGGTGCGTTCAAGTCTTCAAAATTTCCTCCGACTCTGGTATCCGAGTACCTCACCTCGCTGCCGGGGCGCGTCACGGATCGCGAACCGCTGCGAAACACTCCCATCCTAGGAACGTGCAGTGCCGTTGTGCACCTTCTTGCAGGTGGTCCTCTGGATCGCTCGTTGATTCCAATGTAGATGACGGAAGGCAAAGTTGTATGCAGGTATGTAGTTGAAGATAATGCCGTGGCAAATAATGTCAAGAACCTCTGTCTGGTCTTTATGTTCACCTTCTAGCAGCACTTGTCATCCAATGCATTTTTTGTATCTTCTGGCCATTTTGATTCATCACGAAGCAAAGCACACATCGAAACGCCACGGAGCACTCACAAGACGCTCAACATCGATCACACTTCTATACTTGTTTCTGCACCATCAACGGATCAACATTTCCATTCGTGTCTAGCTCTGTGCGTCCCTTCTATACTCGCTCTCTGCGTGTCTAGTCCGTAAACAAGGCGAAGTAGAATCGAATTCTCTCAGGCGAAACGGCCATAGTGATACTTGCGTACGATGCACGACGCGCTTCCTTGCCTGCAGTTTTCCATGTTCGTACCTTTTTTCTCCGTGGCGCAAACCTGGATATCGTTAGAGTCCGGTGCGGGTTTCTGTCTTTCTTTTTCGTCCGTCATTGCGGTCGCGGCACAATTTTTCATTGGGAAAGTTGACTTTTTCTGTCCGAGCTGCGGCGCAACACGAAGACTCCGTCCGTGTTCGTATTAATTTCAGCAGAAGTTGATGATAATGAACAAAGACAGCGTATCGAAGTGAATCTAGATCTTCTCGAAGTCGAGGCGGGTCCTGAGTACCCGCGCTCCAACTAACAAGGTAGCAAAGAAGCTGTTGAATACTATACTGTACTCTGGTTTCCGAAGGAGTTTAGTAGAGGAGAGGAAGGAAGTACAAAGTAAAAGAAGGTCAACTAACTTATCGGTCAAAACCACTCACACCTGGATCTAAAGCAAGATCAAGAATGAGCGACTTTATTGCGTGGGTCGTTTAAAGTTTTGTTTTCGACACAGGAAAGATATAGGGAAAGGAATCAGAAGTGCGAAATTGTGGCGGCAGCTTTGCAGCAAGAAAGTGCAAACTAAAGCGTAGACCCTCAAAAATCAGTGTCCTTGCTATGACATCAGGCTCGATTGCCGGACGGGGGTGCGTTTTCGTTGGTGGGCCGCTTCTTCTTTCGTTCGTCGCTGTAGCGACGCCCTTTCACGTTGAAAAACACCCCAGTGCGGCCGCCCATGAAACTCGTGGAACACTGACTGCTGGTATCTCCGAAGGAGCTTTTTGCGTCGGGATCCAGCGGTGGAAGAGCGCTGTTCCGCAGGAAGTTCTGCAAGTTGTTCACATTTTGCCCACTCAAAGGAGCACTTTCCCGCTGCTCCGCCATCGGTTCCTTGGTTTTTTCCGTCTCCTTTCCGGCCCCCGCGCCACCCGGCTGCAAGGCCTGGAAGTGAAAGGCATTTTTGTTGTCGTCGGCCGGAATGTTCTCGAAGCAAGGCTGCAGTATCTGGTGGTCCAGGCTGGAAGAGTGCGGCCGAAGGTGCGAATCAACCTGCAACTGCATGGAGGGCAGCAAATCCATGGACCGGCTGTTCGCCACCGGAGTGCGGTTGTTCAGCGGTGTAGACCCGGAGTAGGTGCCGTCCACGAACTGTTTCCGGGCCGACGTCGACGCGAAGACCCTGGAGTTTTGGTAGAACTCGTGGAATTCGCGACTCGGGTCCTCCTGGGCACTGCTGAAACTGTGGTCGTGCAGACGCGACGCACTGGCGGCGCCGATCCGCTGCCCCGCGGCACTGACGAAGGAACTGCTGCCGTGGTTGTTGTTATTCTGCGGGGTTCGCAGAACCGATTGGTTCAAGTTGCTATGCATTTCGTCGTGCTTCGCAGGGGGCGTCTGGGGCTTCTTCACCAGCTTCACCAGGTCCTCGGAGACCACGATCCTGTTTTGCATCTGCTCTGCAGACAGCAGCGCTTCCGAGGACGGCTTCGTTGGCGTGGGACCGGCGGGGGCCTGGTAGTCCGCGGCTATGGGCACATCGTGGTCGAACGGGGTGGGCGGCACGGAAAGTCCAGGGCCTGTCCCCAAATGCGCGTCGTGGGAATTGTTCATGATGTGGCTCTCGTCCGTGTCTAGCAGCCACGAACCGCGTTCTGGCGAAACCTTCTTCATCCCTGGGGGCTGATGCGGATGTTGGCCAGTCATCGGAATCGCGCCTGGCAGGCTATGCCCCGGATCACCTATTGCAGGATTTGTTTGTGACAACACGCCTGAACTCCCGCCAGCTGCCGAAGCGCCAAAAATTGCTGTCCGTGCAGCTGGATCAAGCGGTATACCCGTGAACAGAGATTTCCCCGGCGCAGGTCCCCCCGCTCCGAATATGTTGCTAGCGGTGCTGCTGCTACTGCCACCATAAGTGGTGCTTCCGACATTGTGCGTCACAGACGACGTCGCGGGTTGTCCACTTCGTCCGCTCGGACGGAAAATGTTGGACGAAAACGTGCTCCCAGCTGCGCTACTCCCTGCTGATTGCGCTCCTATGGGGGGATGATGTGCGGACGTGCCTCCGAACACACTCGCTGAGAATGATCCCGGTCGTTGTTGGTGGGCTATTTGTGGTGGCGCTACTTCAACATCTGGCTTGCTGAACAATGAAGCGCCGACCGCGGCTCGCTTCGAGTGCTCTTCCAGAACCTGCTCAAAGTTGTCCTCATCGTTTCCGTATGGGATCCGCCCCGTAATAGCAGCAGGTGGCTTCGCACTCGAAGAGGCACTAGAATTACCAGCCGCGCCGACCGCTCCCGTGAGGCGCTGCTGCATTTCCGACAGGTTTTCGCGGATGGCGCGCATGTCCGATCTGGACTGCGGGACGGGCGACTCTTCTGGATTCAAAAGCCGGTCGTTGACGTTCATGATGTTCAACCCAGAGGTGTCGATCTTCGACTGCGCTGCGGCACCAGCACCCCCGAGATCCGACCCCTTCCGCCGCCCGCGCGCCGGTGTGGACCCGGGCGGCGCGGGCTCCAGGTCGTCGTCTTCGAAATCCATCCGCGAGCCGATCCGATTGCGCAAGTCGTCTTCTGGTGCTTCTTGCTTCATCTGAACCGACAAGGGTATTGGATTTCGCGAAGCGGTTTTATGGTTTTCGTCCTGCTGCATCATGATCTCTGCGGGGTGCTGCGAGGTCGTGGACACGAAGCTCGCTTGACATCGCTCGTCGGCCACGACAGCAGGTTGTTCTCTTCTCATACTGACGTTCAAGCCGGAGCCGCTCGGGGCACCACCACCCGTACCAGTAAAGCGACTGGAGGAAGACGTAGCAGCTGAGGTGCCGGTGAGAATTACCGTCGGCGCGGTCGGCGGCCGGCCCGAACGCGAGGCACGATCCGCGGCGGTGACCACCGGCACCGTTTGTCGCAAATGCGCCTCCACTTCGGCCTCAGGGGCACGCAGCACCTCGGATGCGGTCGCGATCCGGTCTAGGGACTTACGCGCTTCCCTTGATTTTCGCCCCGGCTTGATGTAGCGCAGGTTGAAGTCGCGTTGCTGCAAAAGATCGATGCGCTCGCGCTCCGCGAAAAGCTTGCTCTCCAACTGAGTCAGCCGCCGAACGTCTCGCGTCTTGCGGTCCCGGAAGTCTTGGCACTTGCGCCGCAATTTTCGTTCTTCCTCCTGCTTTTCCTGCTGGAACTCGCGCTCAAGCGAGCGGTGCTCCCGCCGTCGCTGCTGGATCAGGTCCGCGATGTTTTCGCGCTGCTTGCGCAGGTCCTCGGTCTGCTTCACAACTTTTTCCAGGTGCGCGCGCTTCGCTTGCAGTTCCGCGGCCTGAAAATGAATTCAAATTTGTCAAGCACATCGCGAACAGTAAATTGCTGCACAATAAAAATCCGATCCATATCCAATCGGTGATGAGCATGAGATCGCCAAACAAATGACAAATGAGCAAACTAAATAGACCAAAAAACGTTGAATACTCCTGTTTTAGCTTCCTGTTCGCTGTCCGCCTTCAGCCGATTGTAGATTTTTTCCTTTTCCGAGACTTGCCCGGTCAGCTTCACCTTGTTGGTCTCGGAATGCTCCTGCTTTTCGCGGAGAACGGCGATCTTCTCCAAGTAGCTCTCCCGTTGCTTCTGGAGTTCCTGCAGCAGCGCCTGCGCGTCCTGTAGCTCCTGCTGCTTCTGGGCCATGGCCGCCTCAAACTTCTGGCCGTCGGCCATGTGCTGCCGGCACTTGTTGCGCGCCTCGTCGCGGACCTTGTAGGTCGCCTCGCGCTTCTCCTCGTTGGACTTCTCGCACTCCGTCAGCTCCAGCTCCTTCTTCGCGAGGGTTTTCGTGGCGTCCTGCAGCTGCGAACGCTCCTTCAGCAGCTCCTTCTGCTCCGCAACCGTGATGGGTTGGTCGCGGAGGATCTGATAGTGATAGATATGTAGGCCGCGTAAGAAAATAAGTAATAGGAGATGGCAGGAGCCCAGATTGCCATATTGCGGGTCGATCACGATATCGAATACAGTAGGGGTGAGAACCGCCTTGCAAATCAAACTTCGCTACCTACATGTTGATGTTGAACTTGAAACTGTGCATCTACTGTTGTAAGATTCTCATACCTTATCCAAGCGCTCCTTCTCAGTCTCGAGCTTCTGCTGCTCCCGGTCTCGGACGTCCGCTTTGGCCTGCAGCTGTCGCAACGCATCCTGCAACTCTGCGAGCTTGCGCTTTTCCGCGCTGAGGTTGGTCTTCTTGCGCGTTAAATCGTTGCGCAGCCGGGACACGCGGTCCTTCACTTCCGGCAGCCGGGGCCGCTTCTCTGCTTCCGTGAGACGAGTTTCGAGCGCGGTCCTATAGGGTTAGGGAAAAGGAATACATGGTAACAGCAACGATGTTGATAGAAATTTCTGAAATCACTAAAAACTCTCGATGCTGGTGCAATGACAGGACAAACGAATTATTGGAACGGATTCCCCCCTTGACCTTTGCAACAAAGATGTGCTATAATTTTCCAACAAGTTTATTTCTACCTCTCCTTCGCCAAATCGATGAGGGTCGTTTCCCGCGCTTTGCGGATGGCCTCCGCCTGGGCCCGCTTCTCCCCGTGCAGTTCTTGCACCACCTCGTCCTGTCCGTGCAGGAAGGCCTTGTAGGTCCGCGCTAGTATGTCGAAACGGCGGCGCCACTCCAGGTCCTGCCAACTCTTGCTGCGGGCACCGGACGACGGCGCACCGCGGGCGCTCACGGGCATCAGGGGCTCCTCGCCGCGGAGATAAGGCTGGATCAGTTTCATGTCGATGGAAAGCAGTTCCACCACCCAGTGCAAACTGGCCAGCACCGAGGGCCACGTCGTGGGCGCACCGACGAGCAAAAGAGAGGCCTTCGTCACGTTCAGCGGATACCTTTTGCAGGTTTTGGGATGGAATGTTCAATAGCGCAGGCGAACAAGTTGAGTTTCGACGCAAATGTTGTATCATTTGAACTTTTCTCTGTGCACCAAATTATTTGTACTTACTTCCATTTTCACTTTCTCCATACCTGATGCGCTGGAGTGCCTCTGGAAGTTCCTCGTCCATTTTCTTGGTCAGCGGCGTGTTGGGATCGATTTGCGCGAACAGAAACTGCATGAGCCCGTAGAACTCCTTCCCGCTTGGGCCCTGGATAAATTTCGGCGAGAGGGAATGCGGGTACCCGGTGGACGTCAGGAACGTGGTTATCTGCTTCACCGCACTCAGCATCCAACTTTTGTCAAAGACGGGTCGCGGGTCCTTCATCTATTTTCATTTTATTTTTTTTCATCGGCAACAGAAAAAGTTCCAAACACTAACACATGAAGTGACGAAATAGAAGAAGGAAGCATCGCTTCACCAACGTTCCCAATGTTCATCTTCATTACCGAAGAAGCAACACCAACACCAAAGCAGTTGTGAAAAAATACCTTTGCCATCCGCCCGCTGAGGTGCTTAACGGAGCTCCCGGGAATGAGCGACTTTCGGTGCTCTGACTGTGGCGTTGCATTTCCGAAAGGCGTACGTTGCGGCGACCGCGCCCTACGGGAGGAGCGCCCGGCTGCGTACGAGGAGCCGGCCGGCGCCGGACGCGGCGTCGTGATGTCAGGCATGATCTTCGTCGAGAGGATGAAGGTCTTCAGCACAGAAAACCTCCGACGCGGAAAGTAGAGAAGGACGAACTCTTTTTATGCATCTTCCAGACCCTCATTGCTTGGTGTTCTTCTGGCGTATGTATAGACTCTTCTGCTTACTTTTACACAAAAAAACGCTTCAAGAAAAAGAACAACAGACGAATTCTTGCACTTGACTCCTTCCTATGTACTTTAAGCGTTGAATTCTTTGGGCCAGTAGTCCGGTCAGTCCTCGCGAAGTTTGTCTCAGTTGCCTTTTTCCAAAAGATCCAGATCGTTCGATGCCGATTCCGTCAAAATGCACAATTTTCTTCACGCTCTCAAGCTATTGGTCGAAACAACGAAGCGCAAGCGACGTCCTCCCGAGTCGAAATCGACATCGAGCTGAGGAAGAAACAATTCGAACTGTAGAGCGAAAGTGTGGCGAGAACAGTCGACAGCGAAAAGAAAAAGAATGCCACCGCTTCGTGACAATAAACACGCTGGGCTGTTTTTTCTGATGATAATTTAAATCTGTCCGACTCTAAGCCTTAGATTGATTGTCCCTTTTATCGACTCCTATTCTTCTACGTCCCTGGAGTCTCATATATCGTTTTTTAGTCGGACGTACCTTTTTTCTGATATATCGTTTGAGCCGGACGCACAACTGAAACTGTTAGGAATTCTGAACACATTCACAGCATACGAATAGCGGTCGAGTTCGCATCTTTCTGTTTGGAATGATTCAGAACGGAGTACTGATTCACATCTGTATACAGGTGGTGTTTCAAGATGGATTGATTCGTTTGGTTTGGTCAACCAGACCACAAAGACGACGAGACGACTAAGCTAAACGGTTAGGATCGTTACTGTGCTGAAGATCAAGATCGATGGAACCACGCAGGGGAGCTTGAACACGCATTGCATGCTGTGTGCATAAAGCTCTAGTCAACATTCCCCCCCCCAAGCGCAAGCCGTTTTTCGAAAATCGCAGCAAGTAAAAGCTGTGCGACAAAATCACCACCAGAAGCTTGCAATGAAAAAGCAAAGCAGAATGGTGGATCACAAGTTTTTCTTTCAAAAGCGATCAGGATGGCTACGGCATGAAAAAGCGCAAGGGGCTCCGGCGTATACAAGTTCCTTTCTAAGCCCAAAGGTCTTCAAGTGAAAAGAAGAGACCGGGCACGCCTACCACAGTGAAACAAGCGTCGACCTCCTCAGGGTCTTCGGACACTTTCACTTTCCTCTTGTTCGTCATGTGCGGATTGTGGTGGAAGACGTGATCTCGAACCTCACGAGGCACATTGTTCTTTGTGAGGCAATCAGCTTTCATGTGCTCAGTGGGACAGAACTTAATCTTTTCGCATTCATCCGCAACTTTGTGGTAGCGCAGGGCAACGTGGCGGCTACGCGGGCGCTGTGCATCGCCTGGCGTCTTGGCGACCGTGATGGCGGTCTGATTGTCCATCCAAAGGTCTTCGCTAGCATCGCGATCTTCAAGAAAACCCTTGAAGGTGCATGTCTCGGACATGATCAGTCCATCAGAGCCAGCTACAAACTCTGCTTCGAATGTGGAATGCGTTCTGACCGATTGGCGCGCGGTCTTCCACACGATGGGGGCGCCTCTGTAGTACAGCAGAGCGCCAGACGTGCTTTTCAACGTTACAAAACAAGATGCAAAACTTGCGTCGGTGAAGAGATTCCAGTCTTTCAACTTTTCTCCCTTTTGCAGAAGTGATCCGTATACCTGCTTGAACTTTTGTTCGTTCTCGGGTGAGTAGTCGATGCCTACGTCTTCGGTGTGAATGACATAGCGCAAAACTTTCTTTACGCATGCGACTACTGCTTTGGTGCAGGGCTTGCTTGCTACCTTTGCGAGGCAGTTAACGGGCTGCGCGATGTCGGGCCTACAAATCGTTACGCACCATTGCAGGGCACCTACAGCTTCCCGCAACGGGAATTTCACTTCGGGCGAGGCGGTATCGTACAGAGCTGATTCGGTGAAGCATGGATTGTCAACTTTCTTACAACCAACCATGCCAAACTTCGGAGCTAGTTTTGTTCGGATGTAACTCTGCATGCAAATGCGTACTTTGTACTTGTTCGGGTTGTAGTGGACGTCTGCACCGAGCTGATCATACAAAAGATCACCATTTGGCTGGTGTTCGGGCTCAATGATCTTGCCAGGAAACTCTTTCAAAATCAAACTGACTTCATGCCTAAGCTCGTGCTCGTCCGGGCCTGTTGCGGTGTTGTCATCTACATAAACTCCCATCTTCATATACTTACTGAACTTCTTGTAACTCTGGAAGTTGTTGCCTGTGGCCTTGGAGAGCTTTCTCCACAACCCTTTTTCTGTTGACTGTGTCCAACCGAGACTGACTAACTTCTTTTCGTAGTGCTTTGCCCACAGCCTCGGGGATTGTGGTAACCCATAAAGGGCACGAACTAGCTTCCGAATACCATCGTCGTTTTGCTCACGCCATTCCTTTGGCAGACGAATGAAAATTTCCGAATCGATCAAGCTCTGTACGAATGCGTTGTCAATGTCAAACAAAATTATGGCATCACCATGCGCGGCGGCATCGATCAGCAGGTAGCGCGAGGCTCCAAAGCTGATTACGGGCGCGTAAACTTCTAACTCACCGCCGGGCTTGTAGAGATTACCTAGGACGACAGCACGGCACTTGAACTTGCCACAGCGCTTGCGGCTAAGCACCAATGCTATCGGGACCACGCCTGTGGTCTTAGCGCGTTCTAACTCTTCTGGAGTAGGCACTCTCCACGTCTGAAACGCCTCAAGCTTGCACTTCTCGAGGGATTTGGCTTCTAACCAGTGCGGCGCATCTGGCGAGCTCATCGCGGCAACGTTCGCGAACTGTGGAAGTGCTTCGACTAACTCTTCACCCTCTTCGAAATCGTCTACGACGCTGTCACATACATAACAATCATTGATCACTTCTGCAAAGTCGGCATAAAACGCATCTGAGTTCTCGGCTTCGGACAATTGCTGCTTTGTTCTTCGCGTGCGTTGCGTTTTGTCCTTTGCCCCTTTGGGCCTACCGCGCGGGCGCTTGGTCTTTTCGCGACCAAAGACCACTTCAGGGTCTGGCTCATGGTGTTCAACCGTGTTCCGGGCGGGCGCGCGCGATGAAACTGAATCAGGTGCGGAATGCGGATTTTGTACTTGCGAATTGTCACCACTGGCATGCTGATTTGACTGAAGATTGATGTCTTTGAACGAGGCAGAGGATGCGTTATGAGCGTGTTCTTGTGAAGCTGCTTTCTCGACTTCTAAAAGTGGCAGGGAGTTGGACCCGCCAACCCCCCCAGAACCTGAGACCTCTGAACCACCCGGATTTTTGCGCACAGGAGCACAATCCCGATCAGAACCAACCACCCGGGCATTGTCCTTCGAGCCACAGATAGTCTGCAGGAGCTGGTCGTCTGAAACTACGACGCCACCGCGGTACCCTGGGCGTAGAGAGTCAACATTGTCGATCAAAACTGACTCGACAAACTTCACGGCGTTTGTTTCGTAAACTGCCCAGCGCAAAGCGCCGGCCTTGGAGTATCGATCATCCTTAACGTAAGTTCCAACTAGATAGCACGAGGACTGATCGCAATACCCAAGAAAGACTCCTTTCGTGTACTTCTCTACAAGTTTCTTGACCCCTTCTACTGGCTGTCTCAGGAAATAAGCGAGGCAACCGAAGCGACGCATCCTGGAGTCAAAATTCGAAGTCTTCAATATCTCATCGGGCTCTTGGGGTTCTGTGCGAGAAACTTTCCGGTCATTTTGCAGTGACTTCCTCTGTCGACAAGCTTCCAAAGGTGAGAGACCATTGAACTGAGGGGCGCGCTTGTAGAATTTCCGCTGTAAGCGATTCCACGTGTATACAAAGTAAGAAGCGGCATAATCCCAAAGTCTCAAGTCGACACCCACTAGATTAGCCCTTAAACCGGGACCCAGAGTACCCATGAAGCGTTCGCACACACCATTTTTCTGTGGTACGTATGGGACTGAGTGCTGCCGAAAAACGGAGAGCGCTTGGAGCGTATCCTCCCACTTCTTTGCTCTGAACGTGGGGTCGTTGTCACTGCGGACAAACCATACGACCTTATCTGTCAAGTCGATGCTGTCCGATGCGCGAAGTTGCTTGATTAGCCGTTCTACGACTGCGTAGGCCTGATCTTTGTGCTTCAACTTGAACTCAAACACACGCGCAACAGCAGGGCAAATGAAAATCAATAGCCATGAATTGCCTGTCAAGCTGACGGGTTTGACTGGACCCCAAAAGTCAGCATCAAGTTGCTTTAGCGGTGTTGGATCAGAGTACTTCTGTGGTCGTTCTTTCCTAGCACCTGACCTGCCACCCTTTGCGAGGGCGCATTCAGGGCAAAACACCTCTTCACCTGGGACATGGATGTGGCCACGTCTTCGGTGTCGGTCTAACTTGGACAAGTAGCATAAATGCTCAAAATCCTCTACGCAGTCGGCCAAGGCATCTCCAGTGAAAATAGAAGCAGACTCATCGAGCTGTCCTACGCGGCGCTTTTTGCAGCAGTTGGATAAGCAATCAGGTGTGAAAAGATTGCAACCAAAACGCGACGCAGACAAAGCGTCTTCCTCTGACAAAACCTCTTCAAATTCTCTGCAGTATAAAGCCACACCCGTGCCGAAAAGCTCACCATCAGGCAAAAATGGTAAGTCAGGCGGGTTATTTTCTAATGGCACTGCGACATCTGCGAATCTTGAAACTATCTCAGACTTGGCTACTGCTTTTGGTTCTAGCTTTACTGACCAACCCATTGCGTTCAGGGTGGTTGTAGGTAAAAGGCGGCGCACGGGCAAAGCGCTGTGAAAAATACCTACTGAGTAACCAAGTCGATTCGTCTTCAGCCTACCTATCCTTGGAGGATTTTTCGCTTGCAAAGTGCCTCCGACTCCATTGATTTTCACAGGATTGGAGCGAAAGGACACAAAATCGCTAAGCACACTCGACACGTAATGAGTAGTGCCACTGTCGAGGATATCCCTGTTTGTCCTCTGTTTTCTTTCCTCTGCCGAACCTTCATCCAAAATGGATTTGTTGATCTTGCACTCTATAATCGGCATTGATTGATCGATCTTGCACAGTAACGATTTTTGATTGTAACTAGTAGCATCGTGACTTGTGTAAAAGCACGAATAGTAGTTGTCGTCGTCATCAAATACATCGCTCTTTTCATCAGTGTTCTTCGACACATCAACGAAATTTGATTCCAACTCAGCATCGATTTTCACATCGTGATTTGAATCCATCAGCATCGATTTATCATCGACATCATCAGCAGAATCGTGGTCCTTATGTCACCACTTGCGACCCTTCTGGTGAGACTTGTAGCCACCTTTCTTCACGCCGTGTTTGCCACCGCCCTTGCCACCACCACCGCCCTTCTTGTGGTTGTTGCCGTAGTTGTTCGCGGGTGGTGGGGCAGTGTTCTTCTCCTGCTGGCGTTTCTTGCGATAGCAGTAATGAACGTCATGTCCTGGACGTTGGCAATACGTACACCAGAGGCCTCCTTGATTCTGCGCGTTGTTACCATAGGGCTGATTTCGATTCGCATAGGTATTGGAATTGTAGTTTTTGTTGTTGTGTTTTCCCTGTCCTTTGTGACCCTTATTCATCATAACTAAGGCGGTTTGGTTATTGATGGACTGACACATCAATTGCTGCTCGAAGGTCGCGCCTTCCGGTGCGACGATGAAGTTGGAATTTTTGTTACCAGAAGAAGAAGATGATGATGATGCACCAGCAAGGAACGCATTGGGGTTTGCGTTTGCGGGGGCGACGTTCGTTCGTGCTAAATGCAAAGTCGCTTGCTGTTCCTTTTCAATATTCATTCTGCCTGATTTGATGAAGTCCATCACCATTGCCAGTCCTTCTTTCTCCCAAGTAGCTGTAGTACTGTTCAAATTTCTGATCTCCGCCATGATTGTTTTCATGCAAGTCGGGTCAAGTCGGAATTTGAGGACGTCCCACATCTGGCGATTGATCGCAGCCGCATCTGGGTATCTGTCTTTCAGAAGGAGGATTTTGCTGTACTTTTCTGCGTAGATCCAAATAGAAAAATCTCCATCCTTCTCCATGTCGTAGCAGACAGTAATCAATTCGTTGTTGGTTGTGTCACTGTCAATTGAAGATGCTTTCTGATCCCAGTGCGATGACAGAAGGAAGTAACATTTTACAAAACCCACTGTCTGGCTGTTCGTGATCAATTTTGCTGCGTCGTCTTGCAATGCATTCAAAAACGTGGACTCGAGGGAAAACACATCTTGCTTTTGCTGTGCTGTCAAACCAGGCTGAACATTTTGAAAGTTCGTCTGCTGGGTGTTGTCGTTCAAAATTGCCTGCCATTGTGCGTCCAATTCCAATACCATGCTCATCATCGATTTGATTTTATGCTTCCACATCGTCCAGCCCTCGGAGTTCTTTATCTCCGGGCAGATGATCTTCCGATCTACCGTCGGCATACCGTCGGGATTCGTAAATCAATCTATTCCAAAAAGAGATTTTTGCGTGTAGATGCCGATGGTGTTCCGACGGAAAAATTTGGACTTGTGGATGGCGAAGTTGTTCGTTGGCTCGCGATTACCGGTCTCACCGGCGGCACCAAGTGTGAATCAGAATGTTAGGAATTCTGAACACATTCACAGCATACGAATAGCGGTCGAGTTCGCATCTTTCTGTTTGGAATGATTCAGAACGGAGTACTGATTCACATCTGTATACAGGTGGTGTTTCAAGATGGATTGATTCGTTTGGTTTGGTCAACCAGACCACAAAGACGACGAGACGACTAAGCTAAACGGTTAGGATCGTTACTGTGCTGAAGATCAAGATCGATGGAACCACGCAGGGGAGCTTGAACACGCATTGCATGCTGTGTGCATAAAGCTCTAGTCAACAGAAACGCAATTTCTTCTCGAAATTCATAGTTACATGCTGCACTGAATAATTAAGAATAAATCAAAAATGAATTTTTTTTTTTTTTTAAATACAAATCACAAAAATAACGCAGCGAAATATCACATAGACAACTTCAGATCGGAAAAAGAGGTGATCCAGGCTCGTCGTCCTTGTTCTATCGCGGCATCGTATTCGTGGTTCGTAAGTGCCATCTGACCCCTTCGCCTTTCGGCTCCAGACTGCTTGTCCCTTCTCGTCGCGACATGCTACAGTTGTTCACATGGTCAGCAGGCGGTGAGTCACACCACCGAGTTGCCTTCAATCTCGCTGTGCAAGAGAGTCGACAACTGTAGTGATGCAACAGCACAGGCGCTGCATTGCTCTTCCTTTTTTCGGTGGTGATTCTGTACCTGATCCGAGTGGCCCACTGCCCCGCCCCTCACGCCTAAAAAACTAAGCCTAAAGGTCGGGAAATCTCGAATCACAATTGCGTGAGTTTTGAAGAAGCAACTTTTGGGATCCTGTTTTGCCATGACATGCATGACTGGGCGCAGCGCGATGTTGATGGTCCTACTGGGCTCTTTTTGGAAGTATTGCTACAGGAGGAAGGCAGAGAAGGGGGTAGTTGCTGACTTGTATTTTCACTTCGAGTCCGGCTCGAAAAAGTAAACGCATGATGAGAATATTCAGAAACTTCCCCCAAGCAAGCCCTCTGAGATGCACGGCTGCGCTTTTTACGTAGCAGCAAGCCTTTCCCCTTCCCCCTGCAGTATGCTTCTTTGTTGCTTTTTAATTCTTGTCAAAAATGCTCTTTGGTATTGTCGGCGTGGGTTTGGAGACAGTGTGGCAGCGTGACTCCTGAGACCTTAGAGGGGTGAGGCAACATCAACCCTCCTACACAGTCGAGCATGAGTGAGAACTTCAACACCGCAGCAACTCAAGGAAGGGAGCAGAAGCCGGGCGAAGAAATTCACACCCGAACTTTAGGTCTCCTGTTTTGGGTCCATTTGTAAAGAAATAAAAAGCGACTCGCTGGGGCCTTTTTTAACGTTAGGAGTCACGCACTAGCGACATCTTTATCTTTGCCCTTCCTTTGCGTCCCCGCCCGAAAAAAAAATGCGAGCTAGTAACAGATAGAGAATGTCGTTGAGTCTGTTGGGGCATCAGGCGTAGTGGACATCTAAGCTACCTACTCCACTACCCCATCCTTTGCCCCAACTGTGGAATCCGTTTGGTTTTGTGTGTTGCTTTAGCCAATCGAACAACGAGCGCTAACGCTGTAAAACCGCGATACGCAAACAGATATCGAAATCGAGACTCTCTATCCTGCTCAGTTAGCCCTCCCCATACGAACCTCTAGGCGATACGAACCTCCAGACAAAAGCAAAGCTTAAACTCAGTTAAAAGTGTTTCTTTGTAAGTAATTGAATTTATTTGGTCGCTTACTACCCCGGAGCTTGTGCCACGGTGAAAATTGGAACGATTCTCGTCGTAATGCTTCGCGTTGAGGATGAAACTGTGAAAGCGACCAGTTGTGGTTGTGAAATTGAAAAAGAAAAGCATTGACTCCGTACTAAATTGCAGGAGATGTCATCCGGTCTCTCGAAACAGCTCCAAGTATACTCAGGTCAAGTAACCTGACAGTTCGTTGGCTGCAACTACAACCCGTTTTATTTGGTAAAAGCTCGCTTCGGCCTTAGATGAGTTCCAGCTCGTCAATGCCTTCCTGGAAAGCTTGCGCGAATTTGTCGCCGTCGCCGTCCGATGCCTCCCCGGCCTTTTTGAAAATCGTGCAAAAGTCGTTGATGGCCTTGATCGCAGCGTCCTTGCCGTCCCGCTCCTGGACGAAAACCGCGATCTGCAAAATGTCCGAGTAGTACTTGAAGCCGCCCGCTTTAATCGCCTCGTTCTCCTCGGCAAACGCCGATCTCTTCCGCGTTCGGGTCCTCTGCCCACGCCTCGCCGAAGGCGGTGAACATGTCCATGGCACCAGAAAAGGTCGGGCCGCCCATTTTGTTTTAAGACTTCTGACTGGGGATGTGTATTAAAAAAGTAAAAGAGCTTTTAGTCTTTTACTTTACTTGGCGGGTATTAAATTTATTCGATGAAGTAGATGAAGTTCTGTATTTAGAGTAGGTGTTTTCCTTTTCACTCTCTGATAATGACCTCAGACACAGGAGCTACTTGTTCTCCGGGTTCTTAGGTGCGGACCTGTTTTTTGACACATAGCCTTTGAGTTTGCATTTCTTATTCTTTGCTTTCATCTTGAGAATGAGTTCGACGAGCGCGACAGAATCGTCGACCAAAGCTTCGAAGATCTACATCAATCTACTTCTTTGACATGCAATGCATCAAAGCGAGGACCGACAAGGCACGGGATACCGAAAAGGGAAATTTTTGCTACACGCGCGAACCGAATGCTGCCGTATTGGAATGGCTACTCGAATGGTCTACCGAGTATCTAAACGGGGCTGATTGACAAATGACCGATTTTCATTTCATTACTTAGGGGACGAGGCTATCACGGGCGATGAGAGGCAAACGGCGGTCACAAGAAGCCGCGACATTGGAACCCAATCCGGACTCGCCCTGCGGCGCCGTGCACTTGCTGGGCAAACGATCGGCGGTCCCCGGTTCCGGGGATTTCAGTCCGATATCGCGCCCGCCGCGATCGGCCATACCGCCGGGCGAGGCAAAAACGGCCCCACGGATTTTTGCCCGGAATCGGCCTCCCGCGGCTCCGGAGATTTTCGCCCGATTTTGCGTCCGCCACGGTCGACCATACCGCCGGGCGAAGCAAAAACGGCCCCACGGATTTTTGCCCGAAATCGGCCTCCCCAGGTTCCGGGGATTTTCGTCCGCTTTCGCGCTCGCCACGGCCGGCCATACCGCCGGGCGAAGCAAAAACGGCCCCACGGATTTTTGCCCGAAATCGGCCTCCCCAGG